GCTCTCGAAGGCTGCATAACTATCACTGAAAATCATTTGATTCTCGGACATCAAATTCTGCTGAGATACCGCCTGCGCCGTCTCGCGCTGACAATAGCGTCTGCCGCCGGACCCTGGCCCTATTGTGGAGCCGCGGTGTGGTCCGACTGAGAAGGTGTTGAATGTGAAAGGAGGGACGATCGTAAACCTCTCTTACTGCGACGACAGAGAGAAGGTCGGGCTGCAGCGCGCCGGACTATTAATCGGCACTGAGCGGTGCCCTTTGTGGTCGCCCCGCGCGCTCACAAGGAGTCACACAGGGCTGCATTGTTGGCGCCGTGCAACTTCGATGAGCTCTATTCACAGCGATCATAGTGTACGCTGGATTACAGGTGCTTGGCCCGATTTGGCAATCAGCCATAAATAGAGGTGCTACATATGCCAGACGGGTTGGTCTATTGTTCGGTAATGCTGTGAAAGTTACGGTACAGGTCCTTATGTGAAATACGGCGAGACATTCATTCGTGGCTACAATCGTAAGAGCGTGCCTCTTGAGCCGAGCTAGTTAAAACAGTGTCTGTTGAACAAGGAAGATATAATCGCTTCTTCTAAATTCATTTGAATTATTTTCTTTAGAAATAAGCTCACACGGTGACATGTCAGGTCTCTTTTTAGCTCCATGAACGTATCGAACCGAAGCGAGCAAAATCGCTCCTACCTAACCAAGAAAGTGGCATCGACAGTTTTATAGATACCAAGCAGTAAACGGTGACGATCCTCCCTTCCACATATATGAGAACAAACAAAAGCCAGATGCTTCTCACTTCGGGGGTCTCCTTTTGCGGGCAATGAGCCGGCACGCTAATCCGACAACTGACAAATGCCTCGCACGTGCAACAAGACGGGACCACGACCGACGAAGTTGTCTAATGTGCACTTTGTGGAGTCGATTTGTTGGCGCCCTTCTCGGGGCCGGTCTGTCCAGAGTTGGCGCCAGACGTGCCAGACAGGGGGCCTAGGGTCTGGCTCCTGTCATTTTAATGAGCTCGTTATCACCCATTACTCTGCCAGAGAGCAGATCTCCCACACTTCGAAATGTGCTGATTGAGCACGACAGGGCAAAGCTGACCGCGTTGTTAAAAACAAAACGAAATTTTTATTCTGTTCGACATGTATTATATGAATTTTGGATACACCATAAATCCTTTGGTCCTAAAAAAGAAACTGTAAATAAAGATCACAAATCCACCGAACGCGTCATGACCAAAAACAGCGAATAGTTCCCGGGATATATTTCTTGGCATGGTTGCATCGTTTACATTTTCCTTTATATGCATACCAGCTATAACAGTTTTAATAATGCGTAACAAAATTTAAACACAAAAAGAAGCATTAACGATGCGTCTGCGGTAGGTCCCGACCCAAAAGTCCCCGCTACATGAGACCTGTAAAACGAGCCTATCTTGCCTGATGACAGAGACCATGGGTCCGCCTGTGTCTCATCAAACGCAGTGGTCTGTCGACCGGTCCGGCGGTCGCTCCAACGCGGGTGGCCACCGGAAGGTCCCAGATTGCAGTCGTCATTGCAGACTCTTTCGGTGCTATTCCACCGAGCCAGCACGGCTTGGTTATTAGCCGAACGCTTGATAAGCCGTCTCAGACCGGATTGATGAACTTCCGGCAGCCCTCAACTCAGCACCCTAATTTCGCAATTATGTGGAATGTTAGAGCAGGCCTGTGTATTACACAAAGTAATTAAGTTGGCGACATTTCGACGCTCTACTGGAACACTTTCAGTCCCGAGAAGAACGTCAGGTCGGTCAGACAGCTCAGACATTATTTATTTTACAGGTCAAAAATAGTCTGAAGTTGTCCGTGTTAAGGGTAGAAAATAAGTACCGAGAGCACCAGCCCATCAAGGAATGAGAGAACGGCCGAAACTAGGTCTGATATACCAGAAACATATGTCTATAGCAAATCATTTATAATTTTCATTTATATTTCTAACGCCCTCCGAATCCACCGCACATTTTTTTCTGAATAAAACGGCACCCAGAATAGCGTAAGACCTAACGTATTTCAAAGTTGGTATTTGGTAAGCCCTTTCCAATTCACTGCATCTTCCATCCATGCATGCGGCGCCGGCGCTTCGCGCTCAGCTCAGTGTCTCCGTCAATATTCGGTCCGTTATCTACTGAAATAATCCGCTCTTTCTTCCACTGCTCGTTAAGTTGCATACCGACGTCATTTCTCATAGCAGCGCTATCGGCCATTCCTTCCACCACAGACGGCCTGCCGCCGGTAACCACCTCCGCAATCCGCTCATCGCTCAACGTTTCCTTCCTTCTACAACCCCTCCTCTACCGTCCGGATCACCTCTATTCCCGCAGAAACCATCTCTCTGCGCCGACTGCGACCGGTCGGCCCCGTCAATTCCAGCGGCGATCCGCCACTGATCCCGACAGTCCTCCTCAATATAGCACCAATCTCCGCGGCGGCCGGTCGCTGCCACCCAATCGGCGCCCAATCCGCGCCGCTAAGCCCGCCGCCGTTTGCTCGCCGGCCGCGCTGCGGAGCGCTCTGGGACTCTGCCGGCTCGGCGGGCTCAGCGTGGTTCTCATTTCACGGGCGCGCGACCGCCGCAGCGCCGACGCTCATTTCACGCGCCATATCCGGCGCCGATATCGTCACTTTAGACGGGCGACGCGATAAACCAGGCCGCCGACGGCCGCCCGACTCCGGTAAAGAGACGACGACGCGACGCAGACGCGCACGACGCGACGCAGACGACGCGACGGCAGCGACGGTGGTCCAGACGGCAGGATATGGTGCCAACGGCCGCGATGGTCGTCTTGTAGGAGCGAAACAAACGGAAACGCGAAAGGGATGACCGGTGGAAGTGGAAAGAAACGTGGATAATCCAGCATAAGTTTGCTTATTTGGCCCGGCAAACAAAATACCACTTTCTGGGAGATGATATGCCGTCATTATTGTTTAAACGTAATGGAGAGGTGTAGGTATAAGTAACTGAAATAAATGGAACACTCATAACAGTCGTGATACAACTTTTGAAGCAGAGTATGCGACGCTTATTCGATCTAGCTCGCAACCACATACCAATCGCTTGATAAATAAAAACGAACAGTGCGTCATACACGCAAGGCAAACAGATGTCACAGCGCACTTTTGACACCACTGAGGTGTGTTCTGCGCCACAGCTGCTGATGATGCCACCGTCTAACACATGCACGCGTCGAAATTCACCCCAGCATGTGCAGATCGCGTCATAACCTGTAACATTCGCTCCGTTTAGGACAAAACAGCTGCTCAGAGCGACCGCAACGGGTGTGGTTCGTGACCGAAGTCTGTTCAGGTGTTACAGTGACGGTTTCTTGTCGATCTCGTGTCACGGGGTGTCACGCTCGTGTCACTGTGTCACGGGATAACGACCGAGATGACACATCTGCGGTTAGCGCGCCGCCGCGCGGGTCAGGTGTGGGGTTGTAATGCAAGTAAGGCCTACGGCCTACCATGCCGACTGAGATGAGGGAACTCGGGGAAACGTCAGAGGCCTAACTCTGAGTCACCCAAGGCATGCAGCGAATACCTAATGCAGAGACATTATGGGCTCAGGGCTGTCTGTCTCACAGAAAAAAAATATTCAGGTTTCTTGTCTAATGGTCAGAACGGTCGCCCGGTGTTCACACTAGCGATTCATGTGTGAATTAGTTGTTCCCAGGGCTGCGGAGTCGGAGTCGGAGTCGGAGTCGGAGTCGGTCGGAGTCGACAGTTGTGACCGAAGTCGGAGTCGAAGTCGGAGTCGATTTTAGAAACCCGAGCCGGAGTCGGAGTCGGAGTCACCGAAAATTTGTCGACTCCGCAGCCCTGCTAGGTCTGCGGAGTCGGAGTCGGGAGTTGGAGTCGGTCGGAGTCGACAATTCTGCCCGGAGTCGGAGTCGGAGTCGGAGCTGGTTTTTGAAAGCCGGAGTCGGAGTCGGAGTCGGAGTCGCCGAAAATCCATCGACTCCGCAGCCCTGGTTGTTCCAGTAGGTAATAACTCACGCGGTAAGAACTCCTTGCCTTCTTTCCTCTCTTCTCTCTCTCTCTCTCTCTCTCTCTCTCTCTCTCTCTCTCTCTCTCTCTCTCTCTCTCTCTCTCTCTCTCTCTCTCTCTCTCTCTCTCTCTCTTCTCTCTCTCTCTCTCTCTCTCTCTCTTTCCCTCTTCCCCCTCTCTCTCTCTGTCTTTCTCTTCTCTTCTTATTTCTTCAGTTTCCTCTCCATCTAACCATGCTCTCCCCCGTCCCACACCGCCACATCGCTCACTCTCCGATAGCTCCGATCGGCGGATCGTGTTTCAATAACCGGAGGAGGGCCGGCAGCACGGATAATCAGCCGAGCCCGATACCCGTCCGATTTGTCACTCAGATTAGAGGATCGTCCGGCCAAGATTGATCGCCCACCAGCTCTTCAGGCAAATTAGAAATATGGCGGTGCGGCAATCGCAGCGCGACCGCGCGGCAATCGTGGCGCGACCGGTCGCCGTTCGAGTAAATTAGCTTAGCGCTGGACATGAATCCATCACTGGGTCGGTAATTGGTAATTGGCACGCTGCCAGCATTGTTTCACTGGTGGCTACAATTTGTCGCAGCTGCCTGAGAAGCTCGGGGATGTCCGATCTGAGATGGGCCAATTTTCGCCCCGGGCGAGCGGCCGGAGCCCGTCGGAGGGTTGATCACCGCAGCTCGACAGAGGGAGAGATGCCTGATCGGTCACCGCGGGCTGACCCCGCGCCCCGTGACACGCGACACGGACCGATCGGTCACGGCCCGTGCCCGTGTCTGCACGGATACGGACACGCCAGTTACCGATTGGTGATGACCGGGTTATGGCACCGGCAGGGGGAGAGGGATGATCGGGAATCGGGACATGCCAACCCCAGAAGGTGGCAAGCGGTGGGATGAAAGGCATATGCTTGATGCAGAGGATCTGAAAGCAACAAACATGCAATGCATAAGTGTATGATTGACTTTATTGCCGTTCGTTATATTGCATGTAACAGCATTGCACTTCGCAGCAGTTCATTTGTTTACACACTCAACTACGCATCTTCAAAATGTGCAAACTTCTAAGTTCTATCGAGCACGCAGCAATCGATGATACGCCAAACTTAATGAAGGGAAAATGAACATACCATCGTAATAAAATGCGAATATAACAATGCTATCAATATATAATAAGACTCATAAGCACTAAGCAAACATTGCTAATGTAAATATAAAGTAATTAATTTAATCATTAAACGAATAACATATTAAGGAAGCATAATAACTCTACGTCACAGACGGCAACCTAAAAACCATTACTATCACATGTCAGTGCCTATAATTACGTCTTCCTTGTCTCGATACACATACAAGCACACACATGTACACATATTTTCATGTCACTTGACTGCATACGTAAAGTCGATCAACGAAAGACTCGGTGACTAGCCACGTCTCTATCTAGTGCGGTATGGTTTGCCGGGCGCTCTAAAACCACTAAAGTGGCTTTCTTTTGCAATATATCATTTGCAAAATTGCAACATAACCGAGAGCAACTGAAAACGGAAACAATACGGTCTCAACGCATATGGCCTTCACTCCACAAGTTGCGTTACGCCCCTAACACCAAACACCACTCACTTTAGCATTTTCAGCAGAAGCAGTATTTTCCCTCTGCGTGAAATTATTGGCTTCGTCTTTGACGTTCGCATTGATTGCTCATATCTATTCGTTGTCCATATAAGTCTGTTCTCATTCAGCATAGCCCGGGTGATTCAATTCAAACTCAGAACCGCTCCAACGGGATTCGGTTCAATGCGATGCCGGACAGTTGATCATCAGGGACTAGTTTCCAGCCAGTCTTCACAAGACTATTCCCGGCTCTGATTACAACTAGTCATAAGGCCTGTGAGAGCAACTAGCTAGGGACAGTTTCTTCAAGTTCAGTCACCAGATAGGTTCATATCACCGCCATATGTGCATCCATCCAGAGGATCGCTCTCCGACTCGCAGTCTGAAAACTGCAGCTCGTCGGAGTTGTGGCACGAGCCCGGGAAAACCGGCTGCTCTGCGCCCACAGCCGGCTCGGAATATACTGGCGTTTGGCTGCTTTCAACGGACTCGTGGTATGGCATTGTCTGTCTGTGTTCGGGTGTTTCGTTGAACAGGGGATTCTGGAGACCAACGGATGATCCCTGATAGATCGCCTGGTCGCTTTTTGAACATGTTTCCGGAAAAGCTAACTGTTGACTGCTCTCTGGAGATTCAAAGAATAGCTGCTGATTCATAACTTCAGCCGCGGCTGTTGTAAACACCGTGTGATGTTCTCTTTGATCAGCTGACTCTGCAAACAGCAGCTGCTGACCACTGTCCACCACAGGCTCTGAACAGACTGCCTGTCCGCCATCAGCCGTCTCTTCAGCGGGGCTACTCACCGGCAGGGTTTCGTCTTCGTCAGTGTCACCATACTCCGTCTGTCCATCCACCGCCACCCTCAGGTATGGTGTCTGTTCAGTGCTGGTCTGTTCGGGGTGTACAAACACCGGCTGAGGCTCTGTTCCGTCCGTCTGTGTGTAAACCAGCTGGTGTCGGCCGTCCGCCGCCGAGACGAGCGCTGATTGGTGGCTGCTGGCTACCGTGAGCAGATCGGAGAACACGGTGCCGTCGGGAGCGGAGAAAGGCACGGCGGTGGTCCAGTCGAGCCCCGGGCACAGGGTGGAGAGCGGCGCCGGCAGACCGTCACCTGGCAATGAAACAGCGGGTGTCAATTCACATGGGAATGGTGCACCAGCTGATGCAGGCACGTCACAACATAATGCGCATTGAATTCATTCCCAATGTGACACCATAGACGAACTGCATTTCTCTATGTAGATTGCTGTCACAGACAGCATTGTACTTGTCAAGCAGTACCCTGAAAGAGAGCCTAAAACCGAGTTCAGAGGGCACACGCAAGTCTCAGAGCTAGACTGAGAGGACCTCAAACATACCTGATGTGGTTCGAGAGCTTTTGGTACTCGGTGAACCCACGGGTTTCGAATCCTCGACCAACATAGAGCCTCCACTCTCTAGCCCTAAATCTAGACCTACTCGAGATTATCGGACAGGCGGTGGGTAGTAGTTACCGATTGTGATGGTAGGTGTCAGCACTGGCGGCGTCGGCTCGAGGGGCAGCATCAGGTCCTTTGTCAGGTCACTCAGGCTGATCACTGGAAACAAGCAAACAGACATGCACCTTAATATATAAAGATGCCATTTACATGCAAAACAAATTCAGTTCAATATGAAATGTATGCTGATGCAAACATTTTTGTCTGCAAATAGCGAGATATTCGGAGGCATAAAAAACCGAGAGCATCAAGAACCCCCTTCGCCTCAAAATGATTTCCAATACATATTATGGAAACTCTCGAGACCCCGGCTGTTTCAGACTCAAACTATCGCTGCTTAGCTCTCGTTCTTACGTGGGGCCGAGGTGGGAGGTCGCTGGTCCTCCGGTGGCGCCACCTGGGTCGACAGGCCAGGTCCGCTGCTGCCGCCCGCGGCGCAGACTGACGAGGAGGCCGTCAGCTGCTTGTATGTGACGTTCTCGCCCTTCCTCCATTTGGCTCGGCGGTTCTGGAACCATACCTGCCAAAATATTTGAGCAATTTGAGCAATCAGAGAATTGAAGAATGCTCAACAATTCGCATGGTTCCCCTTGAATCTGCTGGTTTAGATGCAAGCATCGACTGAATGACTGATTCAGATTCAACATATGCCAGAAGTTGTCTAAAATGTAGCAGCGTTTGGTTTCGAACTGAAATATGTGACACCTGACTCAATGAGCTGACGCCTGCTCTTCCAGTTTCAACCTTACGCTTCTTCCAACTCACTGTCATGCATTATCAACGCTCCGAACCTCCCTCTGTCATGCCCACCGACCCTTCCGATCACCGAGCTCCCCCTCCACAACTGACCTGCACCCTGGCCTCTGTGAGGTCAGCGCTGGCGGCTATCTGCTCCCGGAGCACCACGTCTGGGTAGTGGGTAGCCTGAAAGGCCCGCTCCAACTGGTGCAGCTGCTGGCTCGTGAACGTTGTCCTGTGCGCAGAGGTGAATGGCAGTCATACCAGGGGAGGTTACGTTCAGTTAGGTTACGGACGGGCATGAGGGTAGAGCTAGAGTCACTTCACATAGAAGTTTATCGAGCAGAGTTGGTTTGAAGGTTCGAAGAAGCGTCTTGATATTAATTGGTGTTTCAATTACGATGCATCACACAAAAGTAAGTAGACAGGGGTGAGTGACCGTGATGAGCATGAGAATGCGTAACAAAAAAAAAAAAAAATACTGACACAAAGCCATTTCCGACACAGACGAAGCAGCGGTTCAGTTTAAAAAATCAGTTGCTCGATGAAATCTGTCCCAAACCAAACTCCGTAGCCTGCGCCGGTCGGTTTACCGGTATCGGCGCTGTTTCCTTTTCAGCGGTCCGGACAGTGACGTCAGAGTGATGACGTCACCACTGGCCGTGTGGATGGTGGTCAGGTCGTCCAGCAGGCCATCGGGGCTACAGTCGGGCCGAGGAGGAGGCTCCTCAGAGACAGTCGGCAGGGCTCCAGCCACACAGAGAGCTGGAAGGTAACGGGAGCTTAAATTTGCCGTCAGAACAGTCAGTGGCGCAGTTCCTGGAAAAGGTACAATAATAGCTGCAAATCACTTGATACCTACCGATCAAAGATTTATCGTCAAAAATCACCATCCAAAACACCTTCTCAAAGTTAACCCTCGCCGGCACAGGGGGGGGGGTGATGCACCCCCCCCCCCTAAGGTTTTTCGCGAATAACTCGCGTAAAAAGCGGCCGATCGCGACGAAACTTTCAGTACCCTCGCATTGATCAATTTTACACCTACCCTGAAAATTTCATGACCCTGACCCCAACGACCTTTGACCTGTGACCTCTTTTCCGAGACCATGTTTGGCCGGAATCGCGATTCGGCGTATGTCGGCTAACATTAGCCGCGCGTTTGCAAGCTTTTTGTGGTTTCAAACGTTCAAACATGTGATTTGATGTCGCTCCCATACATTAGGGTGGGTGTCAAGGTCACCTGAAGGTCAGGTCAGGTCATTGACCTTTGGTGACCTCGGGTGACCTCGGTTCACTTTTTCGAGTTTTACATGTTTCTAGGCTAGTTTTTGGAGCTGAATTCGAATTTGGCAACCATTTGAACATTTACGAAGTAGTTTTGGTGCCTTCGTAACATGTTACGAAGCTGTCAGAGGCGGTTGACACGTATTACGAATACCCGTCACAACCCCTACCAGTTGACCTGACCTGACCTGACCCGACCTGGTCTAAATGCTTAAAGACATCATCTCTGATCAAAACTAACACGATATTCGTGATCAGCACCCCGGAAAACCACATAGCAGCCACAATTTACGACTTTCTAACAGGTCCCGATTTTCCCGGTTTTCGGGTCATTGACCTGACCTGGAAGGTCACCCGATGACCTAGGACCTTAAAATTGGGTATCATCGGCTTCGTCTCGTGACGGGCAACACGCTCGTTTTTTCCGCGAAGCTCTAGCTCGATCAGGGGCCAAACGCGAGGGGGGGTCGTACCAACCAACCCCCCCCCCCCCCTTGTGCCGTCGAAGGACGCAAAATGGCCTGTGCCGGCGAGGGTTAAAATCCGATCAACGTATGCCTTCATAATCCTCCATATATCATTATGACTTTGCATTACGCAACACATGTCACAGGCTACTTCGAGCACTGCAATCAGCGCAGTCTGCCGCGTAACGGTATTCACCGTCTTTGTAGTGCGGCGCAGCATAACTTCAGGCGTTTACAACTAGTGCCATCTAGCGGGCTGAGATATAAGTTCCCATTAAGTACGGTAACGCCCGGACGATGTCTTTTCAGTCTTTTATGAAGGAAAGGAGTTACACTTTTGGGGTATAAGGTGATGGGAAATCACCTGTGGTAGGCTATGGAGCAAAACAATAGACCATTCCTTTTTGCCAGGTTAATCGCTACTTTGTAGGTAAAAGAACGCACGCTAAAAAAAGAAACGTTAAGAGAAATAGGTAACAATTCCATTAAAAATAAAAAAGACGAGTGATTTATGCGATATGACATTTTAAGCTCCAGAAACTTCAGCCTGACACCATCAGCAGCCCTAGCAAGGCGCCCAGCCCCAGCCCCACCGGCCGCCGGCGGCGGCGGCGGCGGTAGGGTCGCCGTAATTACATTTACCTGTAATTGAATTGGCTGAAATCTGGTCAAGAGCGGGGCTTCCTAAGCGCTGAGCGCGGGCCGGGAGACCGTGAGGGACCGGCTACGGGCTCCACACGGTGCACGTGGGGTCCAGTGGCTGCAGTGGAGGGTGGCTGGGTGGTGACTGAGGTAACACGAGTGATTGGAACGAACGGGAGAGTCACACACGGGATGTGAGGCGGAACGGTGAGAAGAAACGTTGATAGCGGTGACGTGTTTACTACGACACGAGGAGCTGAGTCGAGAGGTGTGTGCAATACTTGCGAGCGTAACAGAAATAGGCGCGAGCATGGCAATGGATGATGGGCTTGCAACTTGCAAGTTGTAACAGTATGTAACCTGACTGATTGAATTTCCGACATCAGATATCGGACGAATGGGCCGTCTAAAGGGACATCTACATATCTCACCTGACTGATCGTGTGTCTCGCAGGGCGCGTCGAAGGGTCTCGGAGACAGAAACGGCAGCTCCACGCAGCGAGATGTCCAGGGCAGCATCTTGACGTCCGTCAGCGGCGCAGAGCAGGAGACTCGGAGACACTCACAGAGGAGACCAGTGAGAGCGGACGAAAGGACCAAGGAAGGACCACCCTTGAGACCACACTGAGGACCACGATAGGGACCACAGAAGGGACCACCGAGCAGATCACACGCTTCCGCTCGCACATACCCCGGACGCCGCGCAAGTCCAGGGTTTTTGGCAGCTGGCCCCGGAGTTCTCAGCTGCCTCAGACAGATGCGTTGGTGTCCGGCTCTTCAGCGGCGAGGGAACGTCTGGAGAGGTCTGAGGGAACGGAACGACTGGATGCCGCCGGCCACCGACTCTGACTAGTGCTGTGTGTTTGGTCGTGAAGCGGGTGATAGAGCAGACCGCCAGTCCCACTCTCGCTCAGTCAGTGTGGTCCTGCACCCCTCCGCTCGGACCCGAAGGAAGCCCAACAAGTCACTCCGCGCCGCGCGTCGCACCAGGATTTGTCGCGCTTGGCTGACCGATAAATCAATAGGAAGGCATCGCAGCTGGCGCAAAATGTGCACAAACTTACCGCAAATGTGATTCAAATAACCCGACACCGTACGATTTTTGTGACAGGGAATTAATGTCATAGTCATGGAATGTAGCATATCTGTCAAAAGTCCCAAGCATCACGAATCATGTCATTTACGTGATACCAAGTTTGTTGAGATAAACTGATGTCGCCGAGTTTGTTGTTGTGTGGAATGAACGAAAATGAAAAGAGCAGACATGACTACAATGAGTTGTGGCAGATGCATCGGCCGGCTGAGAAGATAAGACGCGTTGTAATAATGGCATAGTGATTGAACTGCCAAAAAAAAAAAGTGGAATGAAATGCCCACTTTCATGCTCGCTTCCCGAAACCCCACAACAATAGTGCACACGAAATGATAGATTTAGACAACCTGTATTGTTACACAATGAAAGCGGCACAATCGCTGTGCAGCATCACTTACGCCATAAAATATTAATTTAACGATGCCCTAGCCTTAAGTACAATGGTAATTATGCCGTGTCATGTCATGCCACTTCAAAGCAGCTTTGATTAGCCACACTCAACAGACGCCTACCCGAAATGATCTGCTGACAAAAAAAAGACGAAAAAGTTTGGAGCCGAAGCGATAAACAATCAAAACACCACTGTTCACAAACGCAAAAGGCCCTGAATCCAATAATCATTCACCTTGTGAGACTGGACTATTCTCGAGTCAATCATCAGGAAATCAGCACAACACCTACACAACAGATGAGTCGATTGACGGACGTACACCTAACTGAGGGGCATCTGCGTCGGCCAACCAGCAATATAAGCATGAACAACCCGCATGCGAATCGAAAGCCAGCAACATTTCCGAGGCCACGGAGATATTTGTAGACAAAGGGCCTTACTGTGTCTCTAGCATTCAACCATAAATAGCACGCCAGCCTGTGTCCGACCTTGACTACATATGCACTACCGCAAGTGAAACACGCCACAACCGCCTACCAGCCAATAAACAAACCAACCTGTCAACCACTCAGCTAACAACCGGCTACCCATCCGCCCAGAGGGCCGGGCCGACCGACCGACCAGCCGTTCATCCACCGAGGAGCCAGCACGGTAACCCTAGGTAGCCAGACTGGTAAAGCCGCTGTAACCAGCCTGGTAACCGCCTGTAACCAGCCCAATGGCGAGCCTGCCCGACCGCCGGCCTCAATCCAGAATGGCTTACAGTCATCTAGCTAGATAATGATGCCAAATGATGACTTCGATTAATCCCGATTTTTTAAAAGAAATTCCCAGCTTCCTGGCAATTCTATGAAGATTTCTACTTTGTGAAATAGCAAATGTTCTCGCTAGCGGCTAGCTTACGACTAGCAATGGACCGACTGTCTTACAACGGCGAATGGGAGCGAGTCATGAGAAACTCGTTCTATGAGAAAGGCAGAACGGGAACCTGATTCCTATCAGGGGATTCCTGAATGGCAGGCCGGCATGGAGTCTATCTTTGCAAGGCTAAATGGAGGCAAATCTAAGAAGGCTATCCGCTACTTTTTCTCTCTCTCCCTATTCTGCCTAGCCGGGCGGTTGTACCCAGCCCATAAGAAAGTTGAACTACCAGAACCGTACAGACATTCCGTTACGGTTGACCCTAGTGAATGGTGATTTGAACAGGGGGATCTACCGGCTGCCGCAGGCGACACGATACTATACTCAGTCAATGCACTCCAGAGCCAACCACGGCCTACTCACGATAAAGCTGAGTCAAAACGGCGGCAGGCCGAGAGGGACGCCCGGTGCGCCGAGCTGACTGACCAGGCGCGGATACCGCGTCTTCCTGGGGCGTTCTCTCGGCGCCGCGGGCGGCCGGCCGACGCAGGCGGACAGCGAGCCCGGTGTGGACGACCGGTCTCCAGTGTCAATCGGCTCCGCAACGGAGATGACTTCAGGACTGGGAGGTACGGCTGATAGACGGCGCCGAGGTGGGGCGCGCTGTCCGCCTGCAGTCCGCGGGCCGCCCGGACCTAAGTACTGACGCGAATTATGACGTAGCGGCGCCGGGGGCGGCGGCCGCGGGCGGGGCGGTTGAGCGGCGGGACCGAGGCCGACAGCGGCGGCCGGTCGGTCGCGCGTCTAGGGGACGGAGCGGCTCTCTACAACTCCTTCTTCTCCTCGGGCGCGGCCGGCGTGGGCGCTGCCGAGGGTCCGGGCGCGGCCGCCTCCGCCGCCTCCGCGGCCGCCGCCACTGTGTTGGCCGCGTCCGGCTCGGCCGCTCGCTGCGGTCGCACGCGCTTCACACCACACAGTCGCATCACGTGGTGAATGGCCGGCACGATCAGCGGCCACGTGAGGAAGAACAGGTGCCCGCACAGGTAGACCGACTTGAACAGGGGCCACCAGCGCCGGCGCACCACGGCCACGAACGGGATACACGAGTAGCCCAGGAATACAACCGTGTAGAGCCGCAGCACCAGCTCGACGGGGAAGCGCAGCCACGTCTCGGTGCAGAGTGACACGAACGACGGGTACTGCAGCAGCGCCCCCTCCACCTGGTCGACATGAGGGCACACACTCGGTTAGAAATACGGAAACGGTCCAGGCATGTCAACAGTCGCTCCTCACAGTAACAGAAAGTCAGAAAATGGTAACATCCACAAACAAAGTTAAAGACAAAAGGCACGTATGCGCATACAAATATACAAACACACAGACCGTTAGTTTTACAAATACCTGCACAGTAACATACTAATGTAATACACATCAAACACCGCATTGCGAGAGTCACACCAACAAACGACCACCAAGCCAAATACCAAAGGCAAGCTTCGAGCACAAAGTATGACAGCTTTACATACCAGTATAGCGCCTTTTGGGGCGACTAACGGAGCGAGCGAGGGGGTGAGTCTTGCACGTGCGAAATTTCGAGGGGGTACCTCCAACTGACTTGTGCACGGCACCCTACTGACCGGTTTCTAGCGATGTGCCAAATTTGAGCACAATCGGCCCAGCCGTTCTCGAGATCTGGAAGCGGCACCCTGCACGTGCGCACGTGCAGAATGGGTCCCAACTGACTTGTGCACGGCACCCTACTAACTGGTCCCTAACCGTGTACCAAATTTGAGCGCCATCGGTCCAGCCGTTCTCGAGATCTGGAAACGACCCCTGCACGTGCGCACGTGCAGCAGCACCCCAACTCTGGCACATGGATATGCAGTGCCTAGTGGGTGCCTACCTACATGCCAACTTTCAGCGCAATCGGCCAAGTAGTTACCGAGATATTGCAACAATTACAAAACTGACACCTCTTCGTTTTGCGCGTGGCACGTGCATAAGGGGTCACCCACATGCATCGGGAATAGTCCAATACTTGGTAGAAGGAATGAAGCTACCCTACAAAAATTACCCCGTGTAAATCGGTCAAGTGGTTGCTGAGATATAGGGTAAGGGCGGGTAAGAGTACGCGGGCGATAAGAGTACGCATCAGCTGTTTCGGTTGCTTAGCAACGCGGGTTTGTCGAGTTCATGAAGTGACATGAAGCCGCCAGTGCGTGCTTGTCACCAACGGAACGTGGGCGTTGAGCGGCGACGCTGTTGAGTTTAAGGCGATGAATATTATTTTCGAGCGTTATGATATTATTATGGTATGGTAAAATAATTTTGATACTTGGCAGTTGAGATAAGGTACATTTCCGTGATTGTTGTGGGAAACTTGTGAGGTTATCTGGGGAAATACTGTGCAGTGCAATATTCTGTTTGCGAAGTTTTGCACAACGTTTCGGGGTTGTTTTGTGCGCGAATTGCATGTACGGTAAGAGGACGCACTGTCCAGGAGGGTAAGAGTACGCAGTATTATACATTAAATCGAATATACAGAAATATAAAATTATTAATCTATCGCTCAACGACGTTTGTTTTGTAGGTATATCATCAATGGAGCACTGTGATGCAGATGCGTACCCGAAATTCTTCCAAATACGAGTTATTCTCCCTTTTGATTGTACATTTTTTTAAGAAACACACGACATGATTATTTCCTGATTTATAGACTTGAAAGATGTATTTTATGTTTTTCTTTTTGGATACTAGAATTAACTTAAGTGCCCTCTGAGTTTGAAGTTAAGCATTTGGACAGTACAAGCTGAATAGGTGTGTGTTCATATGCTTGCGTACTCCACCCGCCTGGCGTGCGTACTCTTACACACCCCATATGGTAAGAGTACGCAACTGCAGCGGTTCAGAAAATGTCAGTTTTAGACCACTTCCATTTACGCTGAAGGATCGTTGCCCCATGGGTTGATAGCTAATTCAATGAACTTTAATATTCCCTATTTGCGATTTCTTTCTTTCAAATATTAAACAAATGAGAGCAAGAAATCCACTAAGTGCGTACTCTTATACGACTTCACCCTAAGCCTCGCAAAAGCGTCCGCACGGCCGGCCGGCCGGCCGGCCGCTCATACTCAGAAATTTCCGTTAATCTAAGGAAAGACTACGCTCGCTTCGCTCGCTCCGTAAAAACCCCAGTTCCATCGCTCCTACCCTTTTTCATCCTCCATCCTCTCACCTTTCGCTCCCAGAGGATGATAACGAACTCCATAAAGAATAGGACGAAGTAGCCCAGGTGGTATCCGTGCCATACCGCCAGAAACATGAGCGTCAGGAACTGGGACGCATACCGACTGCCCAGGAAACGCAGACGCTTGTACACGTACCTGCCGAGGCAAGAGTGGCGGTCAGAGCACGGCGTGGGTGTGGGTCTACGGCAGGGAGAGCTAGGAGATACCTAATAATAAAAGACTACAATACGTGGGTGGAAATGTTTTACCTTAAGTATTTACCTTAAGTATTTACCTTAAGTAAAGGTCATTAGATAGTACCCTTTCGAGTAATAAGACCCTTTACTCAAGAGGCGCCTCCTCCTCTTCTGATGAAGACGAGTTGGCTGCCATGCTTGTTGTCGCCATAAAATGACGACCACTGTTGTTAGTGACAGTAGCTACTGTTGTTAATACGATGAGTAGCCACTCTTGAGCATTAGTAGGAGAAGTTGTAGTTAACTTGTCGGGGTGGTCCTTCCATTCTTTCCCAAGTCTGAACTTAAAAACATCGACATTTGGTGCTTCAATAGTGTTCCTAGACAGCTTGTTCCACGCCCGAGTCACTCGTGCCGCGAAGAAGGCTTTCCTAGGTCCCAACTGATGCTGAACCTGCAGCTTTTGACCATGACTTCGGGTGGTACGGCTAAGAGAGTTCTTGAACATGCTGTTGCGACAACACGAGCACTCTCTTTGGTAGTTCACCGTGTCGAAGCCTTTTAAGATTTTGAATGTCTCGATAATATCTGATCTTTGCCTTCGGAATTCAAGGGTAGGCAAATTGAGGCTTCTGAGACGATCTGTGTACGACAGGTGAGACAGCCCCTTCACCAGTCTCGTTGCCCGCCGTTGCACCTGCTCGAGTGCGTCTTTATCCTTCTTAAATTTGGGGCTCCATATAACAGCGGCATACTCAAGATGGGGTCTCACGATGCTCTTGTACAAGGCTTGGCTTGTGCAGATGTGCCAACTGCCTAAGACTGCAGCTGCTATCGATAAACATAAGACATTTGATAACAAAGATAACTGGACTGGCAGATAATCAAAATGCTAGATGAAAGGAAGCACACACAAAAAAAAAAAACTTCACGAAGCTAGCCAATTGATAAAAACAGAAAGATCACCATATGGAAAAACACAAAACTGAAAACGCCCACTTATATCTACTCAACAAGGCCCCTTTTACTTCACAAACCCTCCACTCTCTTCGATCCCATTCTCAATTCCCCTCTCCCCCCCCCAAACACCCAAACTGCCTATCAGACTCAACCTGCGCCCCGCCGCGCCGACTCACTTGGCCACCCAGGCGTTGGTGTTGACATTGAACGCCGAGGGGTAGACCTGGAACTTGGTGGCGTTCTCGTAGATGCGGATACGCACGTTGGCCAGACCGTCCCAGAGGTGCTTGCCCTTCGTGTCGCGCCCGTTGTAGGTCAGACCTGGCGGCGCGAAGGAGGAGCGGTGTCAGAGGTCAGACACAGACCAGTTGGTGGCGCCACCAGTCGGTGCACCAACGACTGTGTGATGTGGATATAGAATGAACTAGCAATACATGCCGTTGATTTATGTGAGATAATAATATGTGACAGGATTATGAGCGATACGATTACCTTCATTACATTACCTCATAAATTCCTATATGAGTGGTAGTGTCTAGTGTGTCATCGAAATGTACCTTGTGGTAATGTCCTTAAAGGCGACGACCTCATAAATTGATACGTTTGACTTAACTCAGGCACGCATGAAACAATCAAACTTAGACTCCTCAAAACAGCAGAAACTGATCCAGACTTTAAAGACAAAAAAGTCACAGAGGTAAAACAAGTAGTAAAGCCTTCCACGATCTCGCCAATCATGATGCCGACTTTCACCGACTCACCAATCATGATGCACCCTCCCTCTGCGATCAGCCAGGCCGCCATGTAACGCATGAACACCACCTTGACCCAGATGCCGATCCAGAACATACGGCTCCAGAAGCTCAGGTCCTGTGGGGCGAGCGTGAACAGGACACGTGTAAGCAACCGGCTGGAGACTTCAATGGCATTAAGTGTTCAATAGTCAATACAATAGAATAAAATAATGCTTGACAAAAAATGTAAGGTGGATGAACATCAATACATGACATAAAAAAGATCCATCTCAATGTATTCCACACAAGTACATAACCTGATTACATTATCAACATTCCTAATACCATCAGTCATTTACAATGCTTATGAAACTCTAAAAAGCAGGAAGTAATAACAGTCTCCTGTAAAACAGAAGAGCTCGGCTTAAAACTTCATGACTGACAGCCATGACTCGTGCCTTATCGTTTCCACTCCGCAAATGAAGGGCTGGGCACGGACGTAAACCTTCTTTTACTCCCCATATAGTTGACGAGGTCCGGCATTCGGCCCACCGGTGGGCCGGTGGGCTGAATTCCCACGGCGACTAACAGATCACGGTCACGCCACAGGGCCTGTCCCTGCGTCGTCTGTCGCAGTCCGTCGGCCGACTCAGTCAGTACTGTCAGTTCTCACTCAGTCATGTTGGCCGCTGCACCGCAACTCCCGAGTCAAAGCGCCTTCTCTTCCCTGGCACACCGCCCAGTCTAGTTATCCCATCGTCTCCCTTTACTACATATTCCTAGTTTTCCTCGATTCTCATCAGTCTACATGGTCTCTTCTCGTATATCCCATCTCCAAAACTCGTCTCGCAACTCTGTTACCCCATTCCCTGTCCGTTCCTAACCGTTTCACTCCGTTTCGTTTCCTCCCTTCTCGTGCGTACCTGGAACGCCTGGCTGTAGAAGTACTCGTCGGGCACTACCAGAGTGTAGAGAGCCTGGTGCAGCAGGATGTAGGCCCAGCCGAGCGCCAGCCGCACCAGCGCCGGAGCGATCGAGTCCGGCTCGCCGTTCTTGTCAGCCTGGAGATGGAGGGAAGAAGGGAGGATAACAGTTAGGTGCGGGCGTGTTACACTGAAACACTTGGTGCTGTGTGACCGAACTGCTACAACTTGCGATGAAAGAACTAAAATAATAACATTCGTGTTTAGAGCCAGGAGTCAAGGTAAGCAAGAGGGGGAAATCAACGGATTGGTATTGCAAACGCGTTTCTATTTATGCTTCATATCCTGCAGTAACGACAAGAAAATTAGATGGTGGAAGTTGATGTTCGCGTGTCTACAAAAAGACAAATGTAACCCCGCACTGTATCTGACAAGCTGCTGTCTAAAACTTCATTTCCTCGTAGGACAAAACGACGGCCATAGCTCAATCCTACGCCCCATCCTTCACAGTGACTCCCGTCTAAAGTTAACGCCACCCTTTTCAACTTCATAATTCCCAGACGTCCGGCAAACACACTAGTTTCCAAGCCTGTCCGCAGCCCCTCCCTTCCCCCCTGCCCCGACCCAAATGACCCGTGCTCGGTCCGGTTATATCGACTTCAATCGGCGCCGGTCGCCGCCACATCACAGGCTCACTGCAATATGCATGTGGTCGGTGGGCGGCTGGCACAGCAAACAACGGAATAGGACGTGGGTGGGGGGGGGAGGAAACAGTTCGCAGAAAGGTGAGGTGGAAGGGACAGGGGTAATGCGAGACTGAATAACGAGTAGAATGTACTTAACTCGTGATATTCGCATGGGGCAACGTGATGGGCGTTTGCTGACCGGGTTAGATCATCGAGAATGTCTGAGTGCTTAAGCTATCAGATAAGAGTGAAGTGGGAACATACACGATAAACTAATCGGAAACAACCAAACAGACAGACTCAAATTACATTGAGTCCGCATGGTCGGACTCGGGCCCCTGTCAGTCGTCGAGCGGTCGGCTGACCCTACCCAGATCCATGCGGCCACGCGAGGGTCACGTGCTCATACGGACCCTGACAGATGACAGATAGACCACGTCACGTGGTCTGGTGCCACCGCCGCCGCCTGCCACGCTCCGCCACCGAGTCTGTCTCGTCACCAGCTGTGCCTCCATGGACCCGGTGCTCCTGTCGCGATGACCGTGATAGTACCCCGCACCACGGAAGGTCAACTCCGACCGCATACCGGCGGCGGGGCCCGGAACAGGGGAGCCCAGGCGGCTGGGGACGGAATATTAACGATTAGGTAATACTGACAGTGTGACGCGTACCTACTGCCGCGAACGGAACAGTGGTACCAAAGAAATAGACTAAAACCGATTTACAATATCTGCCTGTGTCCTGGCCCAGCAGCTGAGCTATCGGAACTCTACTCGAACCAACCGTGACAGTCTATCCAAACCACACGGTCTGACTAAATCCAGTCCGGTTCAATGCGGCTCAGCTGCCCCTCTCTGCTTAGTATTTCTGCAGATGCTCGTCAATATGCACCCCGCTGCAGGGTGCTGACTCAGGGATCATCGATGACTCAACGTCAGTCAGCATTCACAGCACTGGGAGTCGACTCAGCGAACTTAGCAGCGGTAGGAATGCAACGCTGCTCTCCGTGGTGCAGAATTGCGTCGTGGGGAAAGAACACGTCTAAAAATTCTGCGAGCTGCGTCAGTCCCTAGGAATACTGTGAGAGGCCTCAAGCGAAGATAGAATGTTTGTAAACGACCACGGCGCTATAAACACCTTATTCGCTGAACCATCGTCGGGCTAGTGCCAATGACGTCATGCATTTAACGTGCACAATAACCAGCCATGCTTCCATTAGCACGGTCATCGTTCACCAGTTCATCATCGTTCATCCATCGTGTCAGGCCGGTGACGTCAGCCCCCGGTCCATTCGTTCAGCCAATCACCGGTCGCCAAAACAACAGACAAACACGATCGCGTCGTTATTGGGCGTTCCCCGGCCCCGGCCATCGTCGTTCGATGCTCATTGTCTCTGCATGTGCCGTCGGACTGCGACAAATTTCAGTTTGTTCAGTTTGAAACAGTCAACTGCACCAGATGTCAGATAACTGTTTCAGACCATGTCAGCTTGTGTCAGGCAGTGTCAATTTGTAGCAGGTCGCGTCACTATACGCTTTCTGTTTCTGCTTTGTAAATTTAAGGTATTTCCGCTATACATTAGTCCGGTCGGTATTTTATGACCCGTGTCAGCAAGAGCCGGTCCAAGCCGTTCTGTAAATCCAGCCCTCGTAACTAGCCGGCGGGTATGCTAGCATACACCGGCGGGATCGATTGCACCGAGATTACCAGCGAACCCGACGGCCGCCGGGTCTGGCCGGGTCGGGGTCATGACCCTGTGCACCTGTTGGTTGGGTCCTGAGGCACAGCTGCGAAGTGGCGAACGGTCCGCAGTCCGCACAAAGTGAACGGAAAAAGCAGCGAGATTGAGTCAACCCACAGACGGGTGATGGATAGAATTGTGCGGCTAGACCTGAGGCTCGGTGGAATGAATCGGGAATCGGGATTTCGTGGCATTGGTGCTGAAGTGAAAGAAATGTAAAAAGTGTATGCATAAATAATCCATTAAATAACAATTTGAGAGCATAAAAATTGCAAGCTTGGTTATTTCACCGGAGACAAGCTTCAAACTGCTCATTCTGACTAAGCATTTACAGCCCGAGCACGCTAGACTGGGTGCCAAAACATCAGATACCGCTGAGTGCGCAAATACTACTCAAAAACACAGAAATAGACCGAGACGAGAGCCACTCCATCTCCCATATCGCAGGGGTAAGCCCGACCCTGGACTCTCCAGACTCCAACCCTCCACTCAGACTCTGGACTCCACGACAAAACCCCAGCTCTCGGTTCTGGACTTTCGACTTTGAACTCTCGGACTGTCTAGCCCCAACCTTTGACCCTGCAACAGCCCAGCTGACCCGCCGGCACCATCCCGCACGGCCGTAGGAGCGGCAGCGGCAGCAACAGCGGCAGCGGCAGCTGTTGACTGGTGACGGCCGACGGCGACGGCTGGCAGTGCAGGCCGCCGCCGCCCCGTGGGGCTCCGATACAAACGTCACGTGGCCTCCCGCCCGCTAAATCAGCAGCCACAAATAGCTGCTCCCCGCGGCCGCCCGGGTGGTGCCGACAGCCGCACGCGTCCTGACAGCAGCCAACGGCGCGCAGCCGCGGGGGGGGGGGGCGGACACGGCGCCAGGGGGGACACGTGACACAGTAAACTAACGTGACAGTGTTTGTGAAACGTCGGCGGGCTGGGAGGGAGAAAGGGATATGTTTTTGTTGTTTGGAGATAGTGCGAGCCAAACAGTAAAATATAAAAACCATTCGAGTGAACATTTTTAAAAAGCTCAGTCCGATTGCTTTGAATGCGTGGATTTCTGACAGAAGTTTACCGCCCGATGTGAAATATCAAGCAAATAAATCACTTAATAAATCCATCTAGTCGAGCGCGCCGCAGCTCGCACCAGCTAGAGCATGGGATTTGCTTCATTATAAAGCAGCAGCTATGTTCCTACTTCCTTGTGGGCAGAATTATCAGAACATCTTCTTAAAAATATCCATAAAGACTCACGAGCCTAGCGTCCTCTGGTCCAGTCTAACCCTTACCAAGCTACCTCGGCACCACCGAACCCCCTCCTTTTACCCTCCCCCCCCCCCCCCATCCCCGCGGCGCCCGTCGCGCTCACTCACCGCGTACTTGATCTGGCCGTCGGTAAACAGCTGATAGCGGCGCAGGGAGAACTGCGGCCCGACAATCATCGCCGACGGGAAGAAGGCGTGACCGGCCACTTCGAGCAGCGACGGCCGCGAAAAGAGGGCCGTGTCCTTCTGGTCGGGACGCAGCTCGGACTGTCGGCAGGAAGGGCAAAATAACGACCGGTCACTCATACGAGTATTGAAGTCTCAAGTGCATGGAAGCGTAAGTATTGAATATGTTACGTTTTTGGTGGAGAAAGTACAAAAGAGAGGAAGGTGGCGACGGGTGGACAGAGGCTAGAAAGGATGCATGGTAAGAGGACAGAGCAACCATTCGAAATAACTTTTGGTCAGGTAATGGCAAGGAATTTAAGTAGGTAATGGTTTGACAGCTTCGCTAACAGGCGGTAGCCAGTTGTCATTCTAAATGACGAATATATCGCGTGATTGATATGATAAGCACACTTCCAAGGACCATTAACATTGTGTTAAGTACCAGTTAGCATAATAATAATAACGGCAGTACTTTGACACTAGGACAGGCCGGAGCTGCCAAACCGAGCGGCCCCGGCCTGCGTCATCCCGTGACCGGCTGACCAAGGTGGCGGCGGCGGCGGCGGCCAGCTCGGGCGGACGTCATCAGCGCACGGCCCGTCGCCCGCCGGCCTTGTTATGGCATCGACCGCTCCAAATCGGGCGGCAATCCTGCCTCACTAGCCGGCGCCGAACATCGATCGCTTGACCCGTCACCGCGCCGACGGCCGCCGTCCCCGCACACCCACGCGCCCCCGGGCCGGGGCGCTCCGTGTCTCCGGGTCAGGACGCCCCCTCCGCTCCGGGTCCGGGTCAGGGTATCCCCGCGGGACCCCGTCCCAGCCGAGACCGCGTCCGTCACTGGAACTTTGCTCAATTAATGCTCACTCAAAGTCCGCGTTACACGCAGCGTTACCAAGATAATAGCACGGCAATATGGCTCTATTAACAGAGGATGGTCGCCAAACAATCGTAATTGTCTGGCAGGCCACTATAGATGTTTATGGCCAGCTGAATGACAAACAAATCACATAGGCTGTTACAAGCTAGTTGGATATCCGAGAACGATTACACGGATAGTGTAGCGCGCAATATCTCAGCACAGCCAAATGCATCCGCTCGGCGCTCAGCGAATTGCGATCGTAATCTTACCAATCAAACCGGTGTTATACGATACCATTTTGACCTTTGGAAAGATAAATGTTAACTGTCCTGCAGAATGATAGCACTGGAAAACTTCACATGATATCACGCCAGTGCTATATCCTTGCGGACATGATTGTAGACCGAACTTCATGTCAGCCGCCCGGTAACGAAATACTACCACTCGTTCGTCAGCTTACGGAACTCGTTACGTACTCCAACTACCGCACAAGTAAATACCTACACGGTGATGATGATGAATTGGAGTTTTTGGGCGATCGGACTACAGTGGTCATCGGCGCCCAGCCTACACAGTGTGCAGCTGATTCCTGAGCACGTACCCGAATCCCGAACTCAAACTCAACCATTACCTGTCCCCGTCCATGCCAACCCACCTTATCCTTGTGGCCGTCGAACATGTCAAAGGCGACGCCGATCAGCTTCAGCGTCAGCACACAGTGCGGCGTGCTCCAGTTGACGTCGTAGCCGTCCGTCTGCGAGAACACGTAGCCTGGTGGCGGTGGAAGGGAGGAGCTCGGTCACGGGCCGGGTAGTCAGAGGAAACGTAGCCTGGCGGCAGCGGGGGGGGGGGGGGGAGCGGGGTCACGGGACCGGGCAGAGAGGAGACATAGCCTGGCGGCGGTGGAAGGGAGCGGGGTCACGGGACGGGATAGTCAGAGAGGAGACGTAGCCTGGCGGCGGTGGAAGGGGAGCGGGATCACGGGACCGGGCAGAGTAGAGCACCAGTGACACCGAGGGAGGTACGGGAGCAAGGGTGAGACTAAATGCTTACTTCGAAATCTAAGCTGCGTTGCGGCATTGGCGGTTATGTGCGGCGTGTATGCCGCATGATTAGTAAGCGGCGACCACTAAATTAAAAACTCAATAGCTTTGACCTGTTTTCAATGGATAACACTGCATACCAAAAATGTCCATCGCTCTCGTCATAGGATATTTAGATTTAAATAACTAATTTATCTACATCATTGTTTTGAACCAAATTAATACTCAGCCGCGAACGTATAAGGTATAACCCCTTGCCGTTTCGCTCCTGATCAAGCTAGAGCTTCGCGGAAAAAACGAGCGTGTTGCCCGTGACGAGAGAAAGCCGATGATACCCAATTTTAAGGTCCTAGGTCATCGGTTGACCTTCCAGGTCAGGTCAATGACCCAAAAGGCGGGAAAATTGGGACCTGTTAGAACGTCGTAGTGTGGCTGCTATGGGGTTTTTCGGGGTGCTGATCACGAAATCATGCTAGTTTTGATCACAGATGATGTCTTCATTCATTTAGGCCAGGTCGGGTTAGGTCAGGTCAGGTCAACCAGTAGAGGTCCTGCCAGGTATTTGTAGTAGGTGTCAACCGCCTCTGACAGCCTCGTAACATGTTACGAAGGCACCAAAACTACTTTGTAAACGTTCATGTGGTTGCTTAATTCGAATTCAGCTCGAAAAAACTGACCTAGAAACATGTCAAACTCGAAAAAGTGAACCGAGGTCACCAAAGGTCAATGACCTGACCTGACCTTCAGGTGACCTTGACACCCACCCTAATGCATGGGGGCAACATCATATCACATGTTTGAACGCTTGAAGCCACGAAAAGACTGCAAACGCGCTGCTAAATGCTAATGCGAGCCGACATACGCTGAATCGCGGTTCCGGCCAAACATGGTCTCGAAAAGTAGGTCACAGGTCAAAGGTCATTTGGGTCAGGGTCATGAAATTTTCAGGATGGGTGTTAAATTGATCAATGCGAGGGTACTGAAAGTTTCGTCGCGATCAGCCGCTTTTTAAGCGAGTTATTCGCGAAAAAACCTTAGGGGGGTTGCATCAACCCCCCCCCCCCCCTGTGCGGGCGAGGTCATGTTTTGATAGCAAGACTGAAACAGACTTTTTTGGGTAGCCAGGAAATCGCATGCCAGAGCCTATTCAAATTCTTTTATCGGCCTTTATATGCACCAGTCGCATACAGGTACGGGATTTAGCATACGATTTCCAGACAATCGAAAGACTGTTTGGAGCCAACAAAGGAAGGAATGAGTGAGTTAAGTTGAAAGTATTAATTTGGTTCAAAATGATGATGTAGATAACCTAGTTATTTAAAGCTAAATATCTTATGACGAGAGCGGTTGGCATTTTTGGTATGCAGTGTTATTCATTGAGAACCGGTCGGAGCGTTTGAGTCTTTAATTTAGTGGTCGCCGCTTACTAATCATGCGGCATACACGCCGCACATAACCGCCAATGCCGCAACGCAGCTTAGATTTCGAAGTAAGCATTTAGTCCCACCGCGGGAGCAAGGGCTCCAAGGAATCGTCATGTGATACTATTTAGGTAATTGAAATGCGGCCAATATAAAACATGACCAGCTATTCACTACTTGACATTCTCATTCAATGTTTGCATCGAGACTCAAGCCTCCTTATTAGAATTAGCATTACCTACCTTTCAGCCCCGGCCGTGTTCGTCCACTCCACTTATACCCCAGCTCTGATCACCAGCTCTTACCTACGATGAGGTAGCCCATTTGGAAGATGAATGAGAAGACCACCGAGCCGACGGTGCCACCGGCTACCAGCAGGGTGATGTACAGCACCGCCGTGCAAGCGACGAAGTGAAGCGCCTGGACGCCTGGGGAGCGGCAGAGTGGGGTCGAATCACGTCAGGTAGCGAAGCTGGAGCAGGTGGGGCATGCAGCCAGGCTAAGCTCTTGGTATATAATAAGCCCTTGGATACACAGCGTGGGCCACCAATACCTATATCCACAGACACTGATAGATGCTCGCTATGGAGAGCAGCTACAGGAATAAACAAGATTATCTGAATGCTCATTGCATTCCCAGGCAGCATCGAGCATTCTCAGACAGAGTGTTTGACATGAGGTTCTCAATTTATGTACCAACTTGCATTAAACAAAATGAAATGAAAGATAAAGGTGCTATCTAAATTACACATTTCAAGCAAATAGTCATTTCCGACTTACCAAAATTAAAATAGCCCATTCCCAGGCCAGAGAAGATAAAGAAGATGTGCTGTAATGCCTGAGACTGGTTTCTGAGGAATTTTCTGTGTGCAAGTGCCACTGGGTAACCTGAAATTGATCAGAGCATTGATCATTACTCAACTGCAGTACAAGTAAACTACTGAAGCTGATTAAACTGAACAGCTTCTCCAGCAACAATGAAACATGTGTCAACAAAAATGTAGGTGTTATTTGTTTAATTAACTTTGCTTATAACAAGCATGCATTATCAAGAACAAGTTAAGTTAATAATCACATCCACTGCAACATGAGGAAGTAACAAATTAAAACTGATAAACTCAACCTAACTCCAATTCAACATCAACTTACCAAACATGAGTGAGAGCATGAGTCTGAGAGCGGCCTCATCTGCTCCAATGGAGCCAGCCACCATGCCAATCACCCCCATCTTGGAGAGTTACCGAGCAGTCCTGCAGGCAGAACAGTGAGAAAAGTACCTTCAAAACTAGCAGTGCTGAATGGCAATGGACAGAATGGATGGTAACGAGACAAAGATGGTAATGCTTAAAATGCAGATAGGTAAGTTGGTATATGTCAAGTTTAGGTCCTAACTACAATTGTGACGCTGTTGATACGAATATGAAACAGCAAAAATTTTAGGTTTTAGGTTAGGTTAGGTTAGGGTAGGTTTGTAGGTTGTAGGTTGGTAGGTTATAGGTAAGTAGGTAAGGTTAGGTCAGGTTCGATTATGTTTTTTCTTTTATTTGCGAGACAAATGAGTATCATTTTTGGATTCAGGATGTCAAATAATGTAAAAATATGAAAAATTTATCAATGAAATCTTCTTAGGACTTAAACTTGACATTTACCGGTAAGTTACCTAACTCAACATTTCTAAACATGCAAAATATGCTGTAACCTCATTCAATTATGAATGAATTAAGGATGAAACTGGCTATCTCAGGAGTCTGTAAATCTCACACAAGTGCATATTCAAATACACCAAATACTGAAGCGACTGGTGCGATATAAATGCATTTATGTTTAGGGACCTTGGATCTAGTACCTATCCGACGTCCTGAAAAGGTACTGAAAGGCAAAAGCCTGCTACAGCCATAGTGCTCTTACTAGTCTACACTGTTTTTTTAATGTGCAACCCAGCTCACATGTAGACCCTATATTGGTATAGGCAAGGCTACATATCTACATAATAAACGGGATATTAATATTAGAATTGGGCTCTAAAGCAGATAAAAACAATAATGACGCAGATGAGACAGATAATGGAAAGGTCCGGTAGTCAACATAAAATGTACCTTAACATGTACTTTCCCAGAAATAATACCAAAGAAAGAGGACTAAATTGAAGACCACTTAAGCACTCAAACCGGAGATTTACAGGAAAACGTACGCCACTTACAAACAAATCAATACAAATAAATACAATAAATACAAACAAATACAATCAAATCAAGTTGAAATACGCAACCGAAGTCGTGACGTCACGATAAGTGGCTGGGGCATAATCAGCTGACGGCCCCGTGCTAAAGCAATGGGGCAATATTTTGCCGATCTTTCCCAAGAAAACTGGACCTAGTTAGATAGTTTTAGTAGCTGAATTTAGGACAACGATGTATGATCTATTTTTCTATGAAAAAATATTGCGAAATCTAACAACGTAAAGCACAAAATTTCGTGAAAACCTAATTGGCGGCGAAGTTGACGCAGAAATATAAAACATTTTAGATCAAGAGGTTTAAAATAATGGATTTAAAATAAAAAAGATTTTCAAAATAACTTATATGGTGAATTTCCTCCTTTTCTTTTTACAAATAAAAAAATATTTATCCAGCTCAAACTCAAATATGTCAAACCTTACGCATCAAAATCCTCCCGACGCGGTCACAGTTCGCATCTCAAGGTCATGTATTTGGTGCGTCAAGTTCGCCGCCCGTAACAATTTCGCGAAATTCGGTCCTTTCCACTTTGAAACATAGCATTTTTTGGGCGTAGAAAAATAGAATATACTCAGTTTACTTAGAAACTGGCCCCCAAACTATCTAACTAGGTCCAGTTTGTTCTAAAAATGCTGATAAAATTTCGTCCCATTGCTTTAACACAGGGCCGTCAGCTGATTATGCCCCAGCCACTAGTCATGACGTCACACTTCGGTTGCGTATTGAAAATCGAGCTTTTCACGTTCCTCCCATTCAAGGCATAACAGTCAGCTGATTATAGGTAAAAAGTGATTCCAATTTTTTACTTCATTTACCTTGGATTCAGTGAGATCTCGATTTTCGTTCCCGACTAAAATTCGTTGGTGAGGGAATCCGGAATAGGTATCATGGCGCTATCTGATGTCCGAAATAATAGCGATACAAGCAAAATAAAGAAAAAAATTGCAGCTTAATTCTAACCAGGGCTGCGGAGTCGGAGTCGGTCGGAGTCGACAGTTGTGACCGGAGTCGGAGTCGGAGTCGGAGTCGATTTTAGAAACCCGATCCGGAGCTGGAGTCGGAGTCACCGAAAATCTGTCGACTCCGCAGCCCTGCTAGGTCTGCGGAGTCGGAGTCGGGAGTTGGAGTCGGTCGGAGTCGACAATTCTGCCCGGAGTCGGAGTCGGAGTCGGAGCTGGTTTTTGAAAGCCGGAGTCGGAGTCGGAGTCGGAGTCGCCGAAAATTCATCGACTCCGCAGCCCTGATTCTAACTACCGAGCAAGATTGTTCGACCGTCGACGCATAACCGAGCAGCCGACGAGCCTGGACGACACCTATCCGTGCTTCTATCCTCAGGATACAAAAATCCTTCTCCTCCACGCCGCAACCCCCTTCCGGGCTGGACAGGCAACTTTATCTCATGCGGGCTGCTCCCTTGGAGCGGCACCGCTGCTCCCGAGGGAGCGCACCCCGTAGCCGGGTGCAGTGAGTGCCTTGGGGCTGGGTGGCCTGTCCTCTGGACGGGCTCAGCCCCGGCGACTCACTAGGGTGCCTGCCCAGACCAATGTCTCCCCCTAATTCCTATCATCCTTCCGGCTCTGCAATGGTCTTGTCGACCGAAAGGGCCTAACCCAACAAAACAAACAAAAAACAGAGCCTGGACGAGCCGTCATCGTTTATTCGAGGATAGGGTGCGCCTAGTTATTCCATCCGCACTTGCGGCTTCGCAGTGATCCACGGCTTTGGGGGAAGGGAGGAGCTTATAAGACGTGAATATATTTATATATGCCTCATGTCTATAGACTTACAATGTTTTATGTTTATCAACCAGGCATGGCACAGCCGATCATTCCAAAGTTTCTTTGAAAGGAACACTTTCGTCAAGTCACGATTCACGAATACAACTCAAGGTAGTAGTTACTCAACTGATCACAGAACCTGCTCACCTATCCGGTGTTTCCCTGATCTGTCCTATGACCACCTCTTATACAGCCTAAGCTGTCTTAGAAACTCACCACAACGCTTATCAACCGGCGACCACTGGCTACTCCGCCCGGGTATCAACACTCGGATCCACCCCACTCGGTACCCCCGCACGGTGTCTCGGACAGTATCTGTACTCCGCCCGCCCCCGCTGCCGCCCGTCAGCGTACGCTGCGCTGAGTGCAGCTGCACTGGCGCGCGCGGCTGGGAACGACTATCACCGGCTCAGCTGCAGACGCCGCCGCGTGCCGCGCGCCGCCGGCTGTTTGTATATTTCGGTCACACCCCGGCGGCGCGGCGCTCGGGATCGGACCGGTCGGTGGGTCCGGCAGCGCGCTCGGTCGGAAAGGGGCGGGCTCCAACGGCGCGGGGCGGGGCTTCCCGGTCAGCTGATGTTGGCGTGATCACCGACCGGTGGCGTGATCAGGGCCCCGCGGCCCTCGGGGTTATAGCGCCTCGCCGTTCAACGCGTGCGACTCTATATAAGCGCCATGCTTCAGTGTTCAATATTAACCCAGCAGCATCTCGTATCAATCAGCAATAACAAGAAATGCTGCGATAATATTGCGCCAGTTGTTTATGATTTATATGTTTATTTATATGTTAAAAATTCATTTTGCTCTCGTAACCGACTCTGCAGAGTGCAGAGTGCAGCATGCCTTAGGGCGGTTATTATCTCTATAAACAAATATTGCAGCCGGAAGCTCGAACTTGCTTTCTGTCGATAAAAGAAAGTCATAACAGAACAATGTTCACAGGGACGTAATGTAAAAAATTATTTATGCGCCCGTGTTTTTAAACGGGAACATCAAATATAGTGAAAAGTGATTCAAAAAGGAAAAGTACCACGAATAGGAAAAAATGGTAGCATTCTTTGTTTCATATACAACGCACCAGAGACGTATCTAGTTTTAGCCCTGATCGGCGGCCGGCTAGTACTCTTGCCCGCGCTCACATACGTGCACGTTACCCCGGCAACGGGCTATTGACCAATGAGAAGCGAGAAAAGTGTTACGTCACTGCGATTTTTCATATACCTGTGCCCCCCGGGCCCTGTTTCACCGGTGATAGCAGCAAGCTGCTATCACGTTTCGCGAGCTGACGTCATGTCGTGACGCCATACTGTTGTCGTAATGGGTAGTTCCGGCGCACGATTGCCGCGACCTTGGCGGCGGCATTAAGTGACGTATGAGCCTAAAAGTAAGAGTTTACGCAGTCATGATAGTATATATATTTTTGATATATATTTTTTCAATATGATGTATTTAAAGGAAGTTGGGTTTAGGAAAAAATTTTGACATTAACTTCGAACATTTAGCTGATGACGTAAAACAATATTGCGGCAATCGTGCGCCAGAATTGCCCCTTTCGTCAGCAGTATGACGTCATCACATTACGTCAGCTCGCGCAATTTGATAGTAGCTTGCTGCTATCACCGGTGAAACAGGGCCCTGGGCCCTGTTTCACCGGTGAAACAGGGCCCTGGGCCCTGTTTCACCGGTGATAGCAGCAAGCTGCTATCACGTTTCGCGAGCTGACGTCATGTCGTGACGCCATACTGTTGTCGTAATGGGTAGTTCCGGCGCACGATTGCCGCGACCTTGGCGGCGGCATTAAGTGACGTATGAGCCTAAAAGTAAGAGTTTACGCAGTCATGATAGTATATATATTTTTGATATATATTTTTTCAATATGATGTCATCATCATCATCATCATAGTTTATTAGGCACCAAAGTTGGCAAGAAAGTAAGAAAAAAAAAGGCACACACAAAACATCACACAAAGCATGACAGTGGGTGAGCAGGGGCCACACATTGATGTCGCAGGCGACACTCACTCCCGCTCCGGGCATGTCAATAGCCGGAGCAGGCGGCGAGATACTTGGTCCCGGCGACTCATCAGGAAGGCAAGCGAGTCAGCTAGGCCATCGGGAGCCCGTTGGGGGTAGATACGGTCGCTGCACGGCCGCCCTGCTGCCACCCCGAGGAGTGCAGAAAGGTTGCAGTCACACATCTCATGAAGCTGTATCAGTAATGAGCCCACTAGCTCAGTCGGGCACATAGCCAGCTTGGTGATTCCTGACAGCAGCGCCTGCTGCAGCCGGTGCTCTGAGCGCATCGCATCTTTCAAAGCGCGGAAACACGCTGCCCGCAGCAGTTCATGTGCTGGTTGGATGTCGGCAGCAGCGAGAAGCGCCGAATGGTGGGCGGAGCGAGGCAGGCCAAGAACCACCTTGATGGAAGTCGCTTGAGCGGAACAGAGGATCGTCATGTCCCTTGCATTGAGCGGGGCGGCCACGCAGCCATATGTGAGCGCCGGTTGAATGATAGTCTTCCACAAGAAGCACTTGTCGGCTGAATGATGTGTGTAAAAGTGAGTTTTTATGTTGTTAATTTGGAGGAAATGGTTGGAATAAAATAAGTTATTTCTATTTCTATTGGTTGGAGTTTTTATTCAAAAGATTTCGGTCTATAGCATTGATATTTACTGAAAATACCTTCGTTTGAATAAATTGCAGATATTTGGCAACTGAAGTGTTAGGTAAGCATAAATGATGCGTAAAAAGGTAAGAGACACCCTGATTATCATTTAAGAAACGAAAATATATGAATTTCCCTTATAAGACTCGCTCAATATGCTACTCCGCGGTTTATGCCCCGAGGGTGTCCAACGGTTCCTGTTAGTTTGTCATTGGCGCTCGGCTCGCGCGCGAGCCGACGTCACCGCCTGTGACGTCGGCTCGCGAAATACGTCATACCCTGCACACAAAATAGCCGGCTGCCGAACAGCGCTCCGCTTTTTGTATGCGTTGTGCCTGCCTAACTGGATTCCGCCTGGAAGATTATCAGAATAATTCAAATTTGAATTATTAGAATGTTATTTATAAGCACGGGTAAGGTTTTGTTGATGAGCAAGGGGTGGACACTGGTCATGGTGGATCCAGAAAGGCGGCTTTCGATGCTGCGGCGGTTCTACTCTGACTCAATAAGCTCCTTTGTTTTGGTTTTTCTCAGTTGGGGAAACTACGAGGAGCCAAACAAAAATTGGATTAGCCAATCGGCAGCTGGAGTGGGCGGGGCGATGACCATATATGGTCATAAAATCAGACAACTTCATCTTTTCAATGAATTTTAGCATTCAAATGAAAAAATAAGGCATAAGAATGTTTTTTAACCACACAAGGCCACCACTCACCCGGTGCATATTTAACTGGCGGCCCTAAATCGCAGAGTTACAACGCAAGGTCAAACCGTGATTGGCAAATATGGCGGATTGAAACAGGCGCCAAAAACTGTAAGCAGTACCGTGGTTTATAAATGTCATTATTTTTATTATTTTGTTTATGGTTTTTCTAATTGTAGTTAAGTTATTATTTTAGAATTAAATATTTTTGTTTATTGTAATTAAATTAAATCTTTTAACAATTTTCTTTCATAAAACCAATCCATTTATTGAATGGCCAGCTGATTGCGATGCCCAGAACCTGCAGAAAAGCCGTTTTCCTATCGCCATTTTCGAGTCAATTCGCCGAATTTAATCAAATCACACCAATACCTAGTGAAAAATGGAAGCCTTTTCTCTCCAATAAGTGGACGCGATACCGCAAGTACCGGCTTGTAATACCGTTTTTCACCCTTAGTAGCGGGGGCTGCATTTATGCCCATATATGGTCATCAAAAGTCCATTTATTGACCAATCCATTTTTTGACGTTCGCCTCGTAGTTTCCCCAACTGTTCTGGAAATTCCTAAGATTTTGCTGGTGCTTTTGTTTGCTTGCTTATTTGGTGCTATGCTGATGGATGAAAATTTTAAGCCATCAAAATTGTTAAGTTTCCCTTTAATGAGAGGAAGGCAAATAGATGTTGTCATTTGTATGCTGGGGAGGGACAAGTGACCCTAATGCCTCTCGCCCCTTGGATCTGCCAGTGAGGACTGAGGGTAGGCAAGTGGGTATTGGTGCTTGGTGGGGCAGGTATCACCAACAGTAAATGGTTTATGCATAGTGGCCTCATAATGTACCGGCCTTGTATGTTTTCATCAGAAAGCTATTGGTGGGGCCCGCCGCATAGATCTCAGCAAGAGGACAATTAATTGATGATGATGTTGTGATATCATGATGCTCAGCTCATGTTGTGAAAAATATTTTGCTATGGAAGCTAATGGATGTCAATGGAAGCACCAGGTTGATATTTATGTCCTAATGACCAATAGGTACTGATCTAAGTTTCTTTTTAGGCTGTTGCCAATTCCCAATGGTGTATTACATTTATGGTCATTTCATTGCTTCAAACAAATGGCAGACAGATACATCAGAATTCAGGACACTTAAATGCTTTGCTAGTGCTCAAAGTAGCAAAGCAGTATCCATCCATTGTGCATGGCTGATGGGAAAGTCCTCTTTGGATTTGCTGGTGCAATAAGTATTGTGCAGTTTGTTTTTGCTCACTACCTACATCCTGTTTGTGTGATATTGACAATGTTCAGTTCAGGGTTTATGCCTCCACTCATGGTGGCACTGTCCAGTGCCCATTCCTCATTGTCATCGATTGATGTATATAGTCACAAGCCAGAAAAAGTCGAGATTCCAGATCTTTTGGCCTATCCAATTCCAGCATCCATGCTACAGTACCTTGTCGATATTTTGTTAGGTGTACCTAGTTGTTTTTTTTTCTTTTGGCCTATTTCTTTGTCTATGATCATTTTTATTCAGTACTCTTGAGCCTTGACTTGAGTTCAGCAGGAAGCTAACCCAACTCAATTCCCTTGTTGATTTGTATAATGTAGGCATTTTCAAGTGGTGATGAAATAATCTGATGGTTCAGCAAATCATGTTCAATCATTTCAAACATACACAAACATTGCACTGATGAGCTTGCACTTAACAGGAAAAAGATATGATTGACAAACCTGAGGGCTATGTTTTTTCTCTTATTTCAGTTGTATGTGAAATTAAGTGAAATTAAATTGGGTATTTCCTTTTGCAGAATGGTGATGCTGGGTCGCTTCTTCCAGAAAACATCTCATGCTTATCAAATGCCCACCAAGTCAGGCAGACCTGTACCAGCATGAAGAACCTTTGATAAATATTGGTCAAAAGGTGTACGTGATCCATCAGGGTCACCCAGTGATAGTGAGATGGCTCGCGGACGGCTGCTTCGGCCCTCCGTGCTGCACCGCCAGATCGCCAACATGCGCGTGTTCCCGCGTGTGCGGCTCGAGTGCTGCGTACTCATAGCCATCGCCTGGTGCGCGCTCGTCACCTTCCTCTTCATACAGTACGGCGAGGACCAGGTGCACAGCAAGACCCTCCAGGAGACAAACAAGTGTCCCGTCTGCTTCGGACACACCAGCTGCTTCATGCTTCACTCGAGTAACATGCACGTCGTCAAGCTCACCGGCCTGTCCAAGGTGTCACTCTTCAACTACATCAACGTCAAGAACGTGTTCTTCGGCAAGTACAAGGGTGACGAGATCGTGCTGAAGAAGCTGGCGCACGACTCGGAGTTTGCCGAGTTTGACGGTCGCGTGTGTAACGGCTCGGCGCGCTGTACGCCTCGCGGTCGGCTCTTCACGCGGCTGCTGCGCGGCGTGTTCCCCGACATCTCCGACGGCCGCTCCGAGTCGCTGGCGCTCGCCGCCGGTGTCGGAGACCGCTTCCTGCGCGAGCACCTCACCTGTCCCTCGCAGCGACTCATGCGCAGACTGTTTGACGCGCTCGCCGACGAGTCCAAGGAGAAGTTCCTTCACTTTGCCACGATGCTGCTCATCAACGCCGAGCCGCTGCTGCTGCAGGTAAGTAATAGATAATGCAGACCAACATTCTGGTGTGCATTATATGTCCAAGAAATCAATTTGTATCTATCTGATATGTCGTTCTGCATTCGTGTTATTTTGTGAATATATGTAGCGTACCGCACTTGTTGATGACGTGTTCCCTCCATTGAGACAGGATGGGTGTTGTAATATCAGCTTCCACTTATCGACCCTGCCATGACGTTGCCCGTTTCCTCCGTCCACGCGCCAGGCGTTTCCGCAGTCGGAGGGCTGGCCGTTTCCGCGCTACCTGGGCGCGTGCGGCCGGCTCGTGATGGAACAGTACGTGGGACCGACGCTGGCCAACTTCCGAGACGCCCCCTGGCAGCAGCGGGTCGAACTGGCCCTGCAGGTGGGGAGACACTGCCACAAGTCCAACCCAACCACAGAGGGTTCGGTTGGACTTGTGGGGATTCAATACGGTTTGGATAGCAAGCTACTAAATATGTACTTGATGTCTTTGGCTTGTCACTGTTAAGTGTTTTCTTTACGCTCGGTGTTGTAGTCAATGCTCGAAGCTTCTAGTGCTACTGCCGCCCTTTCTATATTTTGTGTGCCGTGTATGTTTCTTGGACCGGATATCCGCTGTATGTTTTACATTTGGAGCGGATATCCGCTTAAATATATGTTCATCGCTGCAACCAACCCGCACGTTGCGACTGAGTGTGCATCGCTACCGTCCCGCTCACCACTCGCTGTGTATGTCCCCAGCTGCTGGAGATTGCCGACATGCTGACCACAAACGACAGCGACTTCAACCTGTACATGACGGACGTGACTGCCGACAACCTGGCCGTGGATGCGGACGGACGCGTTCACCTGGTGGACGTGGAGGACGTGGTCATCGTGGACCGGCAACAGCTGGAGAAAGGTTGGTCGTGAGGGAGGGTTACAGTGAACGCGCTATTTGTCTGTGCAGCAGGAAGAAGTTGGATAGATTTTACAGTCTAACCGGGCGTGCACGACTGCTGGGGTGATGTGTAACAGATGTCGTATTTAAATCGATGTGAAAATGGTTTTCGGATGGGGAAAACCTTTAAGCGATCGCGATTGAAAGAAACCAGCATGACATTGGCTTGACTGAATAGGGACGCTCATACTCAGATTGTTTCCGGTGTTTTGACTAAGTCGTTTTGTCGTTTTGTCGTAAGAGTCGTTTTGCGCTCTCTGGTGAATATTAATTGTTTAGGTACGCTAGTGCGATGTTATTATCGGCGCATGCTTGCGAAATGAATTTGCAAAATCACAACCGACATAGAACGTCGAACGACGCCCCCCCCCCCTTCTCCCCACGCAGACGCGCCAGCAGACTGGAACAAGACTCACGTCACTCCCATCCTCTGTGACGACTGCATGGGTTACGAGGCCGACCAGCTGTGCGGACACCACATCTCCGATCACAACTACTTCGCAATCTGCAAGGTGGGTCCTGGTGTGCCCAGGTGGGTGTGGATAAGATCGGAGTTGGTTCGGTTAGTGACCTTACAGAGTGACAGCATCTGCAGAGTACAAGCGGCGCAGGTTATAGACAGGACGACTAATATTGTTTTTGCTGATTGAATATATTTTATCTATGTTCTTTGCTCACACCAACGGCTGCATCTTTCATATGTTGCGGTTGCGGATAATGGAAAACGATTAAATGTTCTCACGTGGTTGCGATACCTTTCATCTGTCCCCATTCGCTCCCTGCCTTACCCTTCCCAGGTCTGACCCCACCCCACCCGCTGTCCTGCCGACAGGGCCTTCTGGCGCCGAACGCGTTCGGTCGCGGTATGTCTGGCGGCCTGCTGCACAGCGTGCCGGCGCTGGTGACCTCCACCCACCCAGAGTTGGAGCGCTGGCTGCGCCTCTGCGCCGACCCGGGACCCGACGGCGGGTCACGCTTCGGGCCAGCCGCCGAGCTGCGGCGAACGCTCAACCAGGTGCTCGAGGAGGCCAGTACTGAATGACCGAGGGGGCAGAGGGATTGTAGGTTTGAGCTTTGGATGCCGGGGAGATTGTGGTGTGGGAGGTGGGATTGTGGGATACGGGACGGGAGGCAAGAGGTGACATTTGGGACTTTAAGGCACGGGAAGGATGAAAATGTTTATTTGGTAATGAGCACTAATCGTTGACACGGGAAGGACTGGCTGGTTATGAGAACCATCGGGTGACAGGGGACTGGATTCAGAGTTTCCCTACCCACTGGGATATTCTTGGAATGACATTCTGTGGGAGAAGAACTGTTGCAGAAGACTGGATTAACTTTATCATGACCTGAATGGCATGATGCCGACTGAATACTTCGGAATGAGGCTTCCAGTAAAGGAACGGGATATTATGATCGATTACGGGCATACAATAGACTCATGACATGAACGAGCAACAGCCTAGACCACACCGTGTTCTATGCTCTAGGTTTGTCTTGGCTGCGTTCGTACAGCGCTGTGACTGCGTCCATTTCTACCACCTTTGCCGATTTTGAGTGACGCCGTGTCCCTCAAGTGTCCGATCATGACCACTAGTGCCCCTTTGGGAGGCCTGCTTTCTAACGTGCGACTTTTGCACTTCTTACGCGAAACATAATCGAGGGGTTTTAGCCCAGAATTTGAATCACAGCCATTGTGTGCCATCGAACGATACATCTGTACATCTGTAAATTCACATAAGTGATTTCAGGATGGCTAAGGTCTGGCTGCTCTACATAGGTTCTAAGGCTTCTTCGATTCCCGGTTTTAGTCTTTTTTCCTCCATGTGGTTCTTTCTCTTTTGCAATTGATTTCCTGATGAGTTAGATAGCCATGACATTTGTGCCGTTGTCATTATTTGGTTTTATCATTGTCTAAGGCAGTCTAGCCATAGTTTCATACTTGGGTTTCTCGCCTTATTTATTGAGTTTTCTGCGGAATGGTGGATACGAGTATGCGTCATTCAACCGAGTAGCCGATACTTTCGATTGTTTTCGTTCGATTTACTGAGAAGGCGTGGGTAGTCTCAAGTCTATAATGGAAAAAGTCTATAAAAGCGCCCAACTCTTGCCGTATAGCTTGCACCTATCGGCTATCACTTTCGACAACCCCAGAGATATGCTTAAAGCGTGCGTTGGCCTACGGGCTTCCATGAAAAACTGTAGGTACCGGTCATGTGCTGTCGGTGGCGGGCACGTTGATGGTATGAGCAGCTGCCATAGGACTCTCTGGTGTTTGGGACTTAGGTGACCGGTTCGCAGTGTTTGCCTCTTGTGTTGCTACCGCGCAGCACTCACGACAGCTCGCCTAGCTTTATACGGGCATTGGCGTAGACGCGACCGTCTCTGTGTGTGTAGATTACCACGACGCTTACACGCAGCTTCCAGCGAGCAGTGGCGATAAATGTTCCAGTGTCGAGCTTAGACGTAGATCGTTGTTGTGACATTGATGTTAGAAACGTGTGCAGGCAGGCGCAGAAATGATTTATTTTTGCATGTGTTTACTGGCTTCACCTGTAGATGTGTAGTCGTTTTATGAGTTGTTCTGAGGAAGTGTTGCATTTATATCGTGAACGTATCAAAGAGAATGTTTATTGTTTATTCCAGGACACCTTAGTGATAGGATGTCTTCGATGGGTCTGTGTTTTATTGGATCCAGTAGGTTGGAAGCAGTCATATGGGTTAACCGTGTGTGCCTGACAGCTGCCAGTAATACTGAATTACTCAAGTCATCTGTGTCCATGCATTAGTTAATTGCACCTGTTAGACATTCACAACTCACGCAATTAATTGTATTTACATTGTGTTCACTTCAGTGCACCTGTACGAAGCCAGTGGTCTTACGCAAGCGCTTGCGACAAATATTGTGAGATCACTAGAGCGCTCTATAGATCGTGTTCGGTGTTCAACGGTAGAACAGACGTGTTAGCATTGTATCAGAGCTTTACACCGCTGTGTAGCCGTTTCGTGTTGTACCGTTTGCATGACATGCGCCACACATCGGCCGTAAGTGTGTACTGTATGTAGGTGGTAGAATTCCTTTACAAGGCAGTCTTCTCAGTTGTTCGACCGGGCGAACGATGTGGTCGTTCTGGCCTGGTTGGCAGCAGTGTTCATAGTCGGCCCCCGCCGGGGCCGGCCCCATCCATCAGTGTTTTGTAGGTGTTCATCACACATCGAGGCTGTGGCATGTGTTGTTTTCGTAATATAAACGCTGAAACGTCCTATCAATGTATCCGTTTGATTACCGGGTTCGTTCAGCCTGAATAGAAGCCAGATGGATAACCTCCCCGTGATGGACCAGAGGACATAGCATTTCACATCTTCCACGATTCACGAATCAGGAATAAATCGCTACCGCACTGTCCCGTGCCAGAAACGATCGAGCTGGACACACTAGCTTACCGGGAAAGTAGAGGTGCACAGGAAATAAACATTTTTCGGAATGTATTGCCTCACGCTGCCTATTCAGCTAGAATTGCACTTGGCGGAATGTGGGGTTTTACTCTCGCCCGGGGTTCACATTGCAGCTCGTCTGTTTACATAAAATTGACCACAGCACGGGGACCTCAGTACAGGCACGGGGACATACTGAGGCACGGGGACCTCAGTATGTTATTCGGTGGATAATATCACACCCAAATCCAGCTAAGAGCACTAGAATAGAACAGCATCTTTCACCTCGTAATTACAAAACGATATGTCGAAGACCCATGCATTATACACATCGTGAAATTACATCGCGGTGATTGCACAATGTTTATAAAAATAGCGTTGTAAGCTCTGCATAAATGCATGAAAAATACGATGTGAATGCAAATAACTATAGGATATCCCACAAGATAAGTCATCGGCGAGGGAAAGGCACTAGTAGCCTTGTTCCTTACATGATCAAAACATGGAAAGATGAGACCAAGAAGGGAAATGAACTGAGCCTTATCCATATTACGACGCATTTCTCAACACATCCACGCTCGTCCCAAATCTAGACGATGCATATTGCATATAGTTGTTGGGACCCAATGCCCATTCACATCATGCGCATTTATAAAAGTGGTAAGATGAAACGCGGCAGGTCGAAGGAAACCTGCGCCGATAATTCCATTCCCATTAACTACAGCCTCGGTAACATTGCAATGCACATTTTATGGCGAATTATTAAGTCACACGATCCATCTCTCTACCACAGGAAGATTGCGATAAACAGTCATAAAAGGCAATAAAACTCGCAACGAGGAGCCACACAGCACTATAAACATCTCAGCGTAACGGTAGCAGTGGCGTGGCCTCATAGTATGGGATTAAACGCTACCGTGGCCGCTGTATTACAGCATACTGACACTCTGTCGTCTCACAATTCACCGACAACTCACCACCACATCTCACAGGCGGGACACACTAGTCTGGATCCCAGCGACACCCCGCGACACTGGATATAGGTAGAATTGTGCCTCAAGACCCCACTGATGCGGACGGTACCTCCTGGTTAGAGGTCCGAATTCCTGATGAACCGGTTACCCTCGGAGTGTTTTCCGACGTACCGGTACGCCAGCTGGCCGTACACCGCTGTGGGAACGCGGGGGGATGGTTACACACACGGAGAGAGAGATGAGAAGGCACGGTAGTTTTGAAGTGCCATGTGATGTGACATCAGCTTATGTCGTTGATGTCCGAAGTCTAGCTAGCTACTGAACTAGAGGTCCAATAAGGGTGACTGATTCCAGAGAATATTTTGAACAACTTCCTCTTATTTCATTTGAAGCAAAATTAGCGTAAATAGGCATGGAGGCAAAAAAACGGGCACCAGCTAGCTGTTCGGCGAGATCACACGTTGAAGACGCATAAAAAAACTGTCAAACTGCAAAGAACAGGTAAACTTATCATTCTAGTTATATTGCTGCCCTATATCGTTCTTTGGGAATCATTGACCCCCGTTACCGTTCGTTCGTTCGTTCATTGGGGTTTACGGGCGCGTCGACTGCGGTGGTCATTTTGCGCCCATAACGCTGTACTGGTAAAGCGGATATGTCAACAGAGAACTGACGAACTGAAGAAGGCTAGAACTACTTGAGATACGTTATACTAGTAAAACGAGTATATCACAGGAAAACTGATGGATTGAATATAAGAAAAGATGCTGCCGGATAAAACCCAGGGTGAGTTATCACCCAGCAGGTGGCGAATGGTGGTGCCTGGGGGAATGCGGCCGAGGCAGCGTGTCCGGTTTGGTTCGAGGTGCGGGCAACTTAAGAGAATGTGAGTGACTGTGAGCGGCACGGCACAATGGATACATGTTGGTTGATCATATTCTCCACGGAGGAGATAGCCATGCGTTGCATACGTATGCCCTATCCGTAGTCTGCAGAGGACCACTTCATGGTGTCTTTTGCCTTGAAAGCAGGACTGCCAGGGCTCCAGAGTAGGTTTCACCTTTCGTAGCTTCTCGGATCCATGGAGACGCCACTCTGTCTGCCAGCTAAACGTCGTAAAAGATCGAACGGCTGGGTAAAAATCGCGAGCCGGCAGAGGCAAACGACGGAGGCAGGGGGCCGCGGCCGCGCGTCTTGCGGCCGCGTCGGCAAGCTCGTTGCCTCTTATGCCCACATGGCTCGGTATCCAGCAGAACTGGATGAATTTACCTGCTCGTTCCACCGACGTAAGACGAGATAAAATGTCTTGTACTATCGGGTTGTCTGGATTAAAACTCCGTAAAGATAAGAGGCTGCTAAGGGAGTCTGACAAGATCAGATAGCAGGAGCTGTCAGACACCTCGATAAAACACAAAGCCTTCTCAATTGCAACGAGCTCGGAAAAAAACAGAGGCAGAAGTTGGCAAAGAGAATGTGCGTGTGTCATGACCAGTCACAAAAGCGCAGCCGACACCATGTTCTGTTTTCGAGCCGTCTGTAAAAACCGAGGTAAAACCATCATATGAGGCAATGTGGACCCCCGTTACCATTCCCACGTGTTACATATGACCCCATTTTCCACCGTTCACTGTGTATATGTCCGCCCGTGCGTTTATAAATATCAGCCTCTGCGCGCGCGGTCGGCACGCACGTGTCTGAGTGTGCGTCTGTATTGTATACTCACGTCCTCGCTTCTGTCGGTCGACCGGGGGCGGCGGCGGCGCGATAGCCGAGTCGAGGGCGTCCATTCCCCACTCTGTGCGCGCCGGGCCGGTCGGACCGCTGAACTGTGGAACAGACCGGAGGGAGCGTGGTCAAAGGGAGATGTCTGTCAGCTGGATGGCTGGTTTATAACGTGGCAGGGAGGAAATGGTAGTCATTAGCATACATCATAAAACACATGGATGTTCGGCTTATCACGGGAGATCCGGCGCCAAAATGGACTACTAAAGGTACGACTTATTGCCCCGTCGATAACTGTTATATGTTGTTTTCTTTGCACGAAATTCGTGAGCCTCTGTTAAGTTAATAGTATTTTTTCCAAACCCGCATTAAAGCGACCTGCAATGGGGCATGCTATATACTTGATCAAACAAAACCAGCTGGAATGACAGTGAAAATTGGCCCCAGATAACGCGACAATGTGCGGAAAAGGCAGACAAAACGTCAACACAGCAGACACGACCAATATCAAAGTTTCACAGCAGAAGCCGACAAAAAGAACTGTCATGGACACGCCAAAACGCGGAACAGCTTCGGCCGTTTGTCACTGCCAGACTTGGATGTGTGTTCAATACAAACGACTCCGGCCGGCCATGCACTGGAAGGAGTTTTAAGTGGTCCGCCAAGAATGTGCCCCCGTCACGCTAGTCACGAGGCAGCAAGTTTGCAGTTATTTCCCGAAGCTGTTTGAAAGTTACGTTTGTTGACGTGATTGTTTGTTGACAGCAGCAATGCACTCAGGAGGAGATAAGTGGAGTCATTGCAAAAAATGAGACATTGCAAGCTTACATGACCCACTACGCCGATAAGGTTCTGACACCGTTTTTGCCTGCTGTCTAATCAAGCTACTTAAATTCGGTCGGGCCGATCCATGGAATCAATAGCGTTAGGCTCTTTTCCTCGCTTCCACCCGTCTGTTCGGTCACTCACCCTGATGAGGCGCGCGGTACGGCAGTACTGGCCCCGTCGCTTCGCCTCCAGACGCTCCTTCCGCGAGACGACCATCGAGTCCAGGAACAGCAGGTTGGGCAGCATGTAGAGCACATACAGTCTGAAAGGATGCAGAGAAAACGACTCAGTGTGTGTCTCAATATGGAATTTCACAAACAATTTGTGTTCAGAGGGGTGGCAACGACAAAATTTCGCCGCGAAACTCATGAACAGCATATCCTTAGAGCGTATTCTTTCTAGCAATGTCCTGGTGATTTTAAGCCTCCACACTAGCAACAGATATTGCCAACACATGTCTGCTGGTGACACGCACTGTCCTCAGTCCTCTGACCCTGTCAGTCGCTGACCTGTGTCGGGCGTAGTCCTCGGGCGTGAAGCGGTCTCCGGTGAGCTGGTCGGGGCTGCACGGGTTCCCCAGGAGGCTGAGGTACGTCAGGCGGGTGGCACACCTCTGCAGCGTCACCAGCAGCGGCTCCAGCTCCTCAATCTATCCACAGCAGCAGTCAGGGTAACCCAGAGGCCATGTCATGGCAGTGGCTGGTCGAGATCTTATGGTAAAGATGAATATCTAATGCATTTTGCAAAATGGGGCAACAAAAAACTAGTTCAATGCCCAAAAACTTAATTTGTCAGATGTATTACAAAACTCAAATAACAGTGTTCAAGTTCTGACATCACTCCAGGTACTTTTATTCAAACCTATCTTGTCTGAGTTCTGACCTTGTTCTTGTTCAAAGACAGGGTGTGCATTCTCGGCATCCTGTTCAGCTGAAGACAGGTGAGCTCGTTGTTGTCCAGCACCACCTCCTCCACCCTGGGGAACATGTCCAGTCCCTTGGATGTTCTGCAAATCGGGCAACAAGAATGTCTCTCAACTCAACCCTTCAGCCTTTGTAACACCTGAATTCAATAGCATTTTCAGCATCAGACACAGGCCAGAGGGCACAGCTTCAAATATGCTGAAATCATCAATCTTGGTTCTGAGAGAATAGTCTTCTAGTAGGATCCTATTTCAGTGCAAAAGAAGGAATAAAAAATAACTTAATCAGCATACTGGTGACAGGCAATTGATTTTCATAAGAAAGGTGAACTTCACAGGCATTTTGGTGTACCTATCAGCTGCTCCAATCTACATTCTGCATGATATAGCAAACCAATATTAAACTAGCCATTGAATTTTCTTTAGGGTAACGGGATTAAGTGTTAATCAAAGTGCATTCCCATTGCTCATTGCTCATTGCTTGTAGAATCACTGGAGATCAAGCAACATTCATGTTTACATATGCATACTCGCTGACAGACTTGACACATATCAGCATTGGACATTGGTATGAGCAACCCAGGCCGTTTCATGGCCTGACACTGCAGTGCCCTATGCTGCAGTGCTGCTATGCTGCAGTGCAGTATACCGCTTACCGCTTACCGCTAAGCGGTAAGCGGTATAGATGCTATACTGCGCTGCCAACACCATGCTGCGCTGCTGCATTGGTGCTGTATTGGTGAATTTGTGTGTTTGAGACAATTTTGGCCTAACATTCCAGCATTGCAAGCATCCGAGTGTATTGATCTTTCCAAAAAATTCAAATACACTGCTGCGCGTAGTACGCTGTAGCATGGTGCTGTAAAACAGAGCCCAGTAGCACTATGCTAGTACCTGAGTTGTATGGAGCTGAGGTTCAGCCTTATGGTGTCCTTGGCAAACAAGCCACACACTTCCCTCGGAACATAGCCACCTTCTGAAGCAAACACATGCAGCTGGAAAACATCCAATGTCAGTATCAGTGACATCAGTGACATGGATAAGTTCATTTATGCCTTGTAGATGCATGCAAGTGAGCATGAATCCTGCATGGTTTGTCAAAATGAGTAGGTTGATCAAACACATCTCAGTTTATCATTAAAAGAAAACAAAATCAGCTACACTATTAAAACTTAGGCGTCCAAACAACAAATTATCGTGAAAATACACAGAATCTCAAAAAGACAAATAATGAACACTATCACGGCCAATATTTCATTAATATTGGGATATCAGACACTGCCACAAAACATTACGATAAGGCTGGATTGGAACACCGACCTCTTTGGATTCCTCAATGAAGTTATAGAGCTCATTTTGCATTGCCGTGAAATACGGTACGATGGGCACACCGGAAAATGTAAATAGGTATCCTTTAGTAGAACAAATTACTTTTAATTGTGACCTAACTATAGAAATCCGCAGGAGCTCTTCGCACTCCACGAATATCTGTTAAATTCAGTTTTGTCACTGCCGCGCCGTGAATGCGGTCAATGAAATAATTGCATTCTATTTTACTGCTATTTTTTGTAGGTAATAACACAAACAGAACATCACCGGAAAAGCCATTGCAATCGATGGCAGATCTATCTGAAAGAATCTTGGGTAGATCAGCTAAATACAAATACGTAAGGGCAAATCAGCCAATTCCCGTTTATATGCTTTGCGTCTCCGGTTCTCTGCACACTTACAAAAAAGTCGTGAATCCCAACATTCCTAAGCGCAGTCGTCTCTTATAACGGTACGAAATATTATTAATCCCTGTCAGGCATTGTTCTGCAAGGCATCAGCATTGGACATACTGCATCAAATTGAGAGCCCATGTGTTACAGAATGTATTTCAGTCGCCCCTATGATGAGCCCGAGTCTCAGCAGCCAGCCCACGACCGCATAGCGCCATACAGTGGATCATTAACAAAGTTACAGTTTCACATGCGCGGTCGCCAAGTGACGTCCGTCGTCCCTCCACTCGCCGAGCGCTGACCCGTCGGCGAGCGCCACTGACTTCCTCGTCCTGTGCGCGCACCACGTTCACGATACAACCACCCGCAGATACTAGAAGTCTGACAGCGGCGGCGGCAGGCGCGCCGCGTCCCGATACGACACGATACACGGGAAGGAGGGTCCGCCGGTCAGCCGGCTCACTCCCACTCTGTAGTACCCGGCGGCTTGGCCGTCAGGTCGTACAACACCCGGCTGATGCCACTGACGTTCTGGATTTCCGCCACCATCCGCTTCAGCGTCTGAAAACGAGGGTAAACGTCACATTACTGAGGGCGCAACGGAACAGCTTATCAAGAATGACTCATGCGGCTGCTCTCAACCAGGATATCAACCATGAACCATAACATCTCTATCTCCATTTTTTCCCCAAATTTGACAAACATTAAACTGCCTTTGCGAAATTGAAAGCTTCCATCACAACCGAATTCACCCGAAACCTTACACACCGACGACTTCTCCCGCCGTTGCTGTCCTCACCTCGAGTGGCAGCTGTTTACCGGGCGTGGCCGGCACGCCCGTCATAAAGTCGTGCGTGATGAAGGTGCGGATGACCACGGAGCGCTGGCAGCTCGGCTGGTGGCACGTGGCGTCACGGTCAAAGTGCAGCGGTAGTAGCACCACCGGCATCTGGCTGATGACCGACGCGGAGCCCGACGACGACAGCACCTGGGTGAGACACGGGAGCGGAGGGGTTACAAATGGAGGAATACAAGCGGGAGCGGAGTTACAAACTCTCGAATGAATCAGGTAACAGAAGCTCATGGATGAAATTGCATGCAACAAACACAACTTAATTTTATTTCCCTCTCAAACAGCGGCCTGGATGTATGTAGAGGCTAAAATTATAGAAGCAGCTCATATCACTAATTATCTTCCTCACGACTGATCCCCAAATACATAGCCGGCCTCTCAGGTCTACCACCTACCTTCGGCAAACTATCCCTCCCATTGTGGGACCTGGCACTCCTCCCCCTCGATCGACCCTCCACACCGACTGACCTGATGCGCCACATAGTCCGCCTCTCGGATCTGAGAGAGCACGCCCGAAGTCAGGAACGTGGGCGTCACGGAGGTGAGCGGCGCCTTCACCATGCCGCCGAAGATGTAGCATACCCTGCCGGAGAACATGGCGGCTGTCATGAAGTGCCGATGAGGTTTCAGGTTTGGATACCAGGGCGAGCAACATACGCAAATTAGCTATGTTCGCAACACTACCTGCTAGCATTATATATCCATTTGTTTATCATTATCTATTATTGCGGTTAAGTTGGACGGTGACGACATGACGAATTCAAATGATCTCGGCAACACGACCTAGGATGACCACGTCAGTGTAGTTTGGCCAACAATTGGCAAACCAATTCACTCGAGACCAAGTGATTGACGATTCATTGATCTTTCATTGGCTGAATGGATTGAATGACTGTGCGCTCCAGCAATAACGCAGCCGCGTGTTCTGCTCGCGGCCAGCTGTTCTGTGGAGCGACAATTTCTGTCCGAGGGTAGTATCGATGACGTCACAGGCTCAGTGACGCCACCTTTCTTCCCCTCGACTTCGCGACAAGGCTGAATCCCGTGCGTCAAACACGAACACAGTTGAAAAAAGTATGTATAACACATTTACGTAGGCTCCCTACAGGTTTTTACAGTCTCTCACTCGTCGAGTTTTCCAAGACTTTCGTTAGGTGAGCTACGATAGTAAAATGGCCACCCTCTAGACATGCCATCGATGACGCCATTTCTGCCATTACGTCATTGGAGGAAGCGATCCTCCGCCTATAATGAACGCCGCGTACCTGTTGATGTTGTGGCAGATGCGTGGTATGAGCCGCGCCAGCTGCATCAGGTCGTGCCAGTCGGGCTCGGCGTCGCTGCTCAGGCCGGCGCAGTAGCTGTATGTCCGGCCGTCACCCTGTGAGAACGGTATGGAGCGCACCGAGTTGGCAGTCAAAGGAACAGGTTAGGGTCATTCAGGGACAGGGTCAGAGGATCACTGGAATGCGGGGTCAACGAAAGCCCACAGGTCGACCACTCCCAGCCGGACAGTATCAAAATATGAGCCTGTATCATTATGAGCATGCATCTTGAATAACTATAAAAATGGCATAGACTTTCAAACAGTTTTGGCCTTTACAAGTACGGCACACCATGCACCAGATGTCACTACAAAGCCTAAATAAACGACAAATCATAAAAAAACATTATATTAATACCATCTTCAAACAACTGGCACACATATAAGCATACATTGCTTTCTCACCATTTAAAGACTCTCCCCTCCCTCAAGTAACAAGCATCCGCACTGACCTGAACTCCGACGGTCTGTATGGGCAGCAGTGTGGTGGCCAGCCGGTGCCTGGACGAGATTCGCAGCAGGGTGGTGCGGTCCTCCTCCGATGTCGCGCCGTCTATCCGGTTCAACAGGGCGTGACTCTGCCGGGAGGGGACACGGGGTCAGCGAGACAATGGTGACGAGAGGAGGTGGGATGCATATAATTAGAGTCACAGAGATCCAGAGTAAAGTTACAACAGCAGATGGCGAGACGGCGGTGCCTCTGTGGTCAGTATTCACTCGCTGGATGTAGCAGTGGTCAGTATTGACTCACACGTCCTCTGTAGCTGCCATGGTCGGTGAGTACGCTATATATTATCCTCAATAGTTACACGCCGGCTGTTTCCAGCACTGAATTCAGCTGGTTTGCAGCAGCCTGTGGTCAGTACTCACCCGCTGTTTGCAGCTGTGGTAGTCGGCGATGATTCGCAGCAGCACCTGCGTCTCGGAAAAGTCGGAGCTCATGTAGGGCTCCTCTGCGCAGATGACCCGGATGGCCAGGCCGGGTCCGGGGAACGGGTGACGCTGTACCAGCTCCGGCGGTAGACCCAGGTCGTGGCCCATCTCTCGGACCTGGCAACATGGACAACACCAGGCCGGTCAGGTCAGCCGGTCATACCAGCTGCTCCTGGTACCAGAAGATGCTACGGTCGGGTTACGAAAAGTTAATCTCCTCAATCGAGACGGATATAGCTGATTAGGTCAGCCACGTAATGCGATATCCTCTAAAGCTCGAAATCGAAAACCCATAACTCGCAGACATTTCCTGTCGACCTGTGGCATATCAGAAATTTGTATGTTTATTCATATCCGATGTCCATACAAAAGCAACTATTCTAAATAGACAGACGTTTCGACCTCAGGGTGCCTTCGTAAGTGACTGAAAACACTTCTACATTAATAAATCAATCAAGATATTTTACACTTCTTTGCAAACATGACTGGGACACTTTTAAGTCCTCTTAAGTGTCTTTGCCTTTCTGTCTGTCACGGAGAAATAGCGATGGGTTGGAAAACGAGGTCTGGCTCATTCGAACGACCGCGACGAGAAGTATTATAATTGACATCCATAAATGAGCTGACGCCAGCTGTTGAGGAGGGCTAAAACGAAGGGTGGCCGCTTTGCCCCACTCTCCCCAACAATTCACGGAGATTCTTCGCCACAGCCAATGTGAACACTAATAACATCACCACAGTCCTGTCACCAATCACCGTTAACACCACCATCACCACCATCCTCTCCCACACAAACCTCATCCTTGTGGAAGTCCTTGAGCGGCTCGACGACGCGGCCCTGCTGCCGCAGCTCCCGGACGAGGTCGGTGTCGTTATGGTGTGTCTTTATACACTGCGCCGCGCCAGAGGCCAGCTGGGACGCCGACTCTATGAGGTCGGGTCGCAGCGTACCCTGGCCGAGCAGCACCTCGTCCGGACGCAGCGTCAGCTCGCTGATGACGTCATTGGCCACCTGACGACGGACGGGGGGGGGGACACGCCGGTCACGGTCACGCTTAGCTGTGTCCGTGAGCTCCACTAGGCAATGTGGGTGCATTATCTACGTAGGTAGCTCAGAGCCATGGAACGAAATAATTCATTTTCGCGATAATTTCCGACCTACGTCATTCCAGCTCCAAGTAATCTCAATTCTCACCCACTAATGCATTTAATATTGAACTCTTAACCCGCGCACCGACGGGGGTCTGCGCCAACTTCGCAACGACGGGGGGGGGCGGATGACCGCCCCCCCCCCTGAGATCTCGAGAACGAAGCAAGATAGCGACAAGCGGTAAACGGCATCGGATACGCACGGTCAAGATCTACAATTTTTACTAGGTCATTTTCAGGTCAGGTCAAAGATGACGTCACAGGGGTCGAAAAAGTCAAAATGGCGGCGCTAGATATGGAGAGAGTTTTTCTCGAATAACTTTCGAATTAGTCAAGATAGGAACAAACTAAGGGCATCATCGTAATCCTCTCGTCAATCCGCATCGAATGATATATATATATATATATATATATATATATATATATATATATATATATATATATATATATATATATATATATATATATATATATATATATATATATATATATATATATATATATGTTGACCTCGAAAGGTCAAGGTCAAAGGTTGACCTCAGGTCACGTGACCTCGAGGTCATCATGTATATCATTCGATGCGGATTGACGAGCTGAACACAATGAGACCATCCACGCGTCTGTATCTTGTTCCTGTACGGAGTTATTGGCCAAAAACCTTTGGTGAACTTTGATGATGTCACATGACCTCACAGCTGCCCAACAGCAAAACAGACCTCAAGGTAGTGAAGGTTGATCGTATATGAAGTCATGTATGGTATATGGGGCCATTCCGACCCGTTTTAGTGGTAAAAACAGGGAGTTGATTTTTCCCCCATTGACTTATAATGGGGAGGTCGCGAAATTGACCTGACCTTAGGTCACCGATATCAAAATTCCGAGATATACAAATTGTAGCTACTAATGACCTAATAACATCCTGCGACTTTCAAATGCCTCCGACATCTACTGTAGCTCTGGCACGGTGACAAAGTTGCAAAAAAGTGACTTGAGGTTGGGTCATTCAAAGTGACCTCGTGACCTGACCTTGAAAGGTAGGAGGTTCAAACTTGCACACCATATGTAAAATTGATGAGGGAATAGTCATACCAAATTTCGCGGCGCTACGCGCCGCGGTTTTCCCGCTATTCGCGAAAAACCTCAGGGGGGGGGGCGGATATCTGCCCCCCCCCCGTCGGTGCGCGGGTTAATGCATGGAACACCTTGGCGAATCTACAGAAGAATATAATCTATCTAATATCAATCTTACTTCCCCCAAAATTCATCCACACCGATACTCTGTTCAGGTACAATCCTTCAATCGCGTCATCGCATTCCCGACGAACCGAAGTCCTTATACTTCTCGTAGGTATTCCTCGTTCCCCTCACCCCCCCCCCCCATACATCTTCTCCCCACCTTGATGAATGTGTCGCCAATGATTTTCCGTTTCTGCTCGGGGTGCGTGGTACGACAGAGCAGACCGGTGGCACGTTTCCGAAGCACGCCGTTGGCTCCCGTCTCCGGGATTGTCGTGCTGCCGTTCAGGAAATTATGCCGCGCGTTTATCACTGTCGGGGACACACAGACGGATAGTTTAGTTTATAGCATACAATTACCATGCGCTGGTAACATAAGACAAATAAACATAAAGATAGGGGATCTGGAGGCTGTCATCTTAGTTCCTGAAAACCGTAGCGAACAGCATGAACAAAAGGCACTGTTTGTAAAACTAAAGCTATACTTGTTTGATGTTTCGAGGATATAAATGAAGACAACCGTCTCCAAGCAATCTTCATATATCAAATCATGGTCTCGTATAATCCAAAGAAAAATGTGATTTTTACAAATTATATGACAAATATGGGTGTAGCCAATTCACTTAACTGCCGATACATTTCAAGTGATGTCAAATAACACACAAACAGATTTGATATTCATTAAGTGAATGAAAATCCACGCAGCATACACAGTAGGGCTGACCGAGATTACTTCGAATTGGGTGAATTTCATATTTCGGCTTCGGCTCACTATTTTTCCTATGTAAAATTGAATTTTAGATAGGGTCTTACATGAGACAAAAATTGATCAGGATACATCTTCCGTAGTAAAAATGCAGTTTTATGGGAGCTGTTTTCAGATGTCAGTGGCATATTTGCAACATCAGTTCCGTACCTCCTCTTTCTTATCGATGAATGGTCTTTTGCTTCGAAACCTCATCATACGGCGTACGAGTCTAAGGAATCAGGTTGGATGGAATACCGGTGGATGCAAAAGCCTACGAAACAGGTGAAGCTGCTCTTCAGATCAAGTTAAACTCTTCCAGAATTGCTGAATCTTGCCAGAGGCATTGACAACTAAAGCCTATCCCTCGGCAGGAACAATACAACGGCACTGATTGGTTGTTCACACATATCGTTACAGGTAGCTAAATATAAGCGATATCAATTCGTTGGATGCAAGCTAATAACTATGCCCTTGAATAATTTTTCCTACTATACAGTAACATATAGTGAAAAGGCACATGTCAATGCTGGTGTTAAGGTTAGTACCCAAATCTGTTTGAAAGAACTCTATCAACATATGCAATTGACTTCTCAGCTGATACAAATCATTTAAATCAATTTTATTCAAATTTGTTTGCAATTGTCTACCAACAATCACCATCGAAGTGCACTGAAGGAATATAGCTGAACAAATAAATATTAAACATGTCAATGGGATCAGTAAGTTTAGCGATTTGGCGGTTTCCATTCATCCGAGTCCAGTGATAAGAGTTCCGCGACTTCTGATGCCTTTTTATATTCCATCAGGGCCCATAATTCAAGCAGATAGCCCAAAGCTAAACGTAGATGGATGCTTAGGCCAAACGAACCATCAGGAAGGCATCTGGCGGCATCCAGAATGAAGTAGGTAGGTACCAGCCGTAAGGGCTGTGTTGCAAAGAGGAGTTTTGATTCAGGAACAGCTCATGATCGAAAAAGAAAGAGCGAGAAAGAAGATTGGTGTGAGAGACATCGTGAAGGAGCTGATTCCGCTTATCCTGGCGCAGTGACTGAAATCCAATGCAAGATTCAGCCCTCCAGTCCAGTGATCATCTAGGAGAAGAGTCTCACGGTCAAACAGGAGAAGCTTTGGAGAAGAGTCGAAGGAGTTGCTGTAGGAAGGGCGAAACAAACTGAGAGGAAAGAGTTATGCAAATGCTGAATAAACTACGTAATATCACCACTTGCCCTCATTCCATCCTGTTTTGTGATGAGCCAAATAAAAGGTGTATGAAATACCTAAGGTGATATGGGTTTTTCGTCAATAACTCCCGATCAAATTGAGTTAGCGAGTCGCCAAAGTCACGAATGGACTCAGGAAGACCTGCCGAATCGAGTGATATGCAACATAACCTCTTTTAATCAAGGCCGTGGCCTGAGGGGACCTGACCTGACCTTGACCCGAGGTCAACACCGTAACTTACTCTCACCCGAACAAAAAGTATACCATTCGACGCGCCTGATATAGCAAAACACGATGCTGACAAAATTGCGGCTCTGCGACCATTTTGAGCGAAGTTATTCACCAAAAACCGAACCGGTCTAGCGCCACTTGACCTGACCTCAGAGGTCACCAGATAACCTCAGGCCTTAAAATCGGGTACCAATCGCTGCGTCTCGTAACGGCGTACACGCTCGTTCTTTCTCCAAGGCTCTAGCTCAATTAGGGGCGAAACGGCGAGGGGGGTCGTACCAACCTCTCATTCTCGGCCGGGGTGCGTATAGAAAACCAATAGGTCCGGCGAGGGTTAAATACAAATGTGCAAATTTACTACGAAAGGAGTGTTTTTATCAAAAAATTGCAAGAGGACATCCCACCTTAAAATTCAATTTTACATCGGAAAAAAGGTGAGCCGAACTGAAATTGCAAATTCGAAAATCTCGGTCATCCCTAATACACAGGCATGTGAGCAGTTCGTTCGTCATAAATACTACGCACCCCTGAGTTTGAGTCCGATCTTGCGGAGACTCTGTTCCACCTGCAGACTCTCGTGTTTTCGCATGAACCCGTTGTCGATGTGGACGGCTATCACCTGGTCCTGGCTGAGCGCTTTGTGCAGGAGCGCCGCACACACGGTGGAGTCGACACCACCGCTGACCAGCAGCTGTGGACAGAGAGGTGACGGTTACACCGCGATATCGACAATGGCATTTGAACGATACAATATGGAGGGGCTTCATTGGTTCATCTCCTCTTTGGCAATAGATCTTTGCGGGTCGACGAGGAAACAGCAAAAGTTAATAAGTCTGGGGTATGGACTTTCACCGAGGCATTGAATCTATTCTCAATCAAGTATCCGCTGACAAATACATCCGCAGTCAGCGATAAGATGCAAATCCAGTACACTGTCATAACCGACCGCCAAAGCATCACCGACTGACCAGGACTTTTTGTGAGCCGACGGCGGTGCGGATGTTCTCCAGACACTCGACCTCCCGCGATCGCAGGGTGAACGATCCCGTCACACCGGCCACGTTGTACAGGAAGTTACGCAGCATCGCTGTGCCGTGCTCCGTCAGGTCCACCTGGCATAGAGCAGAACGTCAGTTTACATAGAGCGTATTCAAAAACTTATGAGACAGGCCGGAAACTGGTCAGTACCAACATGTCCGCCTAAAACACGTCGTTTATATGCATTGAAGGATATCTCTACATGCCCATGATACTCCCTAAGCACTCTTCATCCCAGTCCGGTCCATCACCCACCTCTGGGTGGAACTGTACACCGTACAGCCGGAGTTTGTCATTAGCGATGGCGGCCACCAAGTTACCGGAGCGGCCGACCACCTTGAAGTTGTCCGCCACGCGAATCACAGAGTCGCCGTGCGTTAGGAGCACCTGTTGCGTCTTCTCCAGGTCCCTGCGGCGGCGTAAGAGAGCGTCAGGAAGGAGGGGGTCGATCGGGTGACTAGTGCAGACAGATGTAGATTACTGCACTGCTGTAGGTTGCGTCATGGGCAGCCATCGCGCTTCTTTAAATTGGACACAATAAAACTGCTAACTCATACCATCTCTTATTTACTAGAATGAAGAACGTCAAGACAATTCGCAGCGTCGATCGTCCACAAATGCGCCCTTCTCCTATCCATCGCCACTCACTTGAAGAGGACGCACTGGTTGTCGACCTCGATGTCGAACTGTCCGTCCTCACGCTCCTCCTTGGCCTGCACGACGCCGCCGAACTCCTTGTTCATCATGTGGAAGCCGTAGCAGATGCCCAGCACAGGGATGTTGATCCGGAATATGTCCGAGTCATACTGCGGCGAGTCCTCGGCATTGACCGAGCTTGGTCCGCCCGAGATGATGATGGCCCTGGTAGCGAGAAGAGGAGAGACATGTGACATCGGATATCGAAGCGATCATTGGTGAATGAAAGTGAATAACCGACAACTTCCGAGAATGGCTTGTGATGAAGTCAGTTTGAATGCAGATCTACAAACTCTTTCAGCATATCATGTTTAAGACCCCTTAAACTTGACATTATTTCATTGCTGGCGTTTAGGGCTCGCCGACTCCCACATAGCGACTGCCATAAGAACGCTCGGTGGCAGCATGCTTACGTCGAAGGGCAGTTTCAGATCCAAAAATGCCTTCCTTTCTTTTCGCCATCCCATAAGACTCACTTGAAATTGCGCTCCTTCAGCGTGAATGCGGGCGTGTCGAGCGGTAGAATCTCCGTTTCCACGCGTTGTTCGCGCACGCGCCGGTCGATCACCTTGCCGTACTGGGCGCCCGCGTCCAGGATCGCCACCACCTCCGAGTGCGCATGCGCGCCGTTCATGGCGTCAACGCGGTGGCTCGGACAGGGCGCCAGGCGACCCAGGAAGCAGCAGGACAGGATCGCTGCGAACGCGAACCGGGCCGGTCACGGCGGTATATCGTCCCGGTTGGCACACTGCATAATGTGGTGAAATATGAAGTCAGGAGAAGCAGGTACACAGTTGAAAAGAAGTGAAAATGAGCTGAATATTACATGAAATTAAATTGGTGTGGATTCGGGCAGTCAGTTTTTTTGTGACACATAGATTGCAGGTGCATCATACATTGTATGTGAGTTATTGAGATATTGCAATCATATCGAGACAGGCTACACCATGGCATATTTACATCTTGCTAACGCATGCAAATGTCAAGTAGCAGAGCTTAAATGATCAGTATTTGTGCAGTATGCAGGTGAGGTAGTACCATGGGCGAGAGGCCAATAGCCAGTCGCCTTGAGTAGTTTTGAAGTTGTGAACACATGACTGAGCAATATGGGCATTCATTTCATGAAATAAGCTTTTGGAAATAGTCATCTACCTACCTTATGCAACATTCAATAATGCATCACAACTAAAATGCAAGTCAGTGAAGGTGCCAATAAATGACAGGGAACTTTGATTACCTATATAATTTATGTGATGATCACTTTTTTCACAGGATATCAATAAGAGACTGTTGGCTCCCTCTAGCTAGAATATTATCTGTTTCTATGGTAAAGCTAACCACCAGTCACATTTTGGGGTCATATCAAAATCTTATCTCTGTAATTCAAGGTAACCAGCACATGTGACAGCACCTTGCTAAAGCTGAAACATGATTTTTCAAAGAACATGAATGGCCATGGCATTTTGAAGCATCACATTCATATGTTACAAATGCCTCATACAGATACAAGAGGCAAATGGCAATAAAGTAAAAGTGCACTGCAAATCAGCATCAGGGAAATTTGCATTTACAGGTAAACAAAAAGTGTCCATAAACATGCCAGAAATTATTGATAATTTTTGCATAGGAAGCATGCATTTAATAAATATAACCTGAAGTGAATTGAACAGGTGAGTTGAGACCAATTCAACCTCTCAATGGAGTTCTTATGGCAAACAAAACAAAGAAATAAGAAATTCAAATTCAAATTGGTGGGATTCACTCAACTGCTCTGATGCAATGACATCAACCTAAGCTAAGCTAAGCTGATGAAGAAAGCAGGTAGGTAGTGATACATCACTGTAAGAGCAAGCATAATGTGAGAGAAATGTCTAAGGGTACAATGTCAGTGGAAGAAACACTATGTCCCAAACTTTCAAATATATTTAAACCAGGTAATTCAGCATTGCTCAGTTATGTTTCATGACAGTTTGTTATGTTCACAGTTTACCACAAACACTGAACTGCCGTTGCATTAATGATAAGCAAGGCACAATTCCTATGCACATAAGCCTATGAAATGCAATAGGATGCATGGCAGAATTAGCTTTCAAGTCATTTTTATTAAAGGGACTATCCCACCTTCTAAAATGTTGTTAAAATCAGTTAAATTGTGCCCGACTTTATAGATTGGATGACCAGGAACACGGTTCTGGCATTTATTTTTCATTAAACATCTTAGGCTTCCCATATTCCAAACACAAACTTTCAAATATGTGACGTCACAGCCCAAAATTACCTCCTTCCCCAGGCCACATTACTGTCATAAAGCTGATTCTTTTTACTCTGTAGGCACCACAACAAAGTTCAGACCAAGTTTTAAGCGATTTTTCAATGAACAAACCCATTTAAATCAGAATGACTAAACGAGGTGACGTCACACTAACGGTCGCTCCATGTTGAAGATAGGGCCTTGTACAAGGCCCATTTTCAAATGAAGGGAACAAATTTCTTCAACACCAAGAGGCCGCGGGGGTTGAAACCTATATAGATAGTGGTTTCTGAACCTCGCCGCAAACTTGGCTATCTCAACTCAAACCCCATGTTAAAGGTGGGATAGTCCCTTTAAGTAATCATTTATTTCTAAATTAATTTAACTTGTTTACCACTGAGATCAAACTGGTTAATTCATTAGGATAATATCAAAGATATTAGTAGGTAAGTGCAATGAGAGGGTACCTAGCTAGGTTAATCGTTATAGGTATTAGCTCTAGCTCACTTAGCAAGTGAACAAAGTTCTTATAATCAAAATCCAAATCAATACAATGAACACAATTCAGCAATAAATCACCTTCCTATGGTTTATCTTAATATCAAGTGCAACATATGTTCCTTCTTGCCTACCAATGGTCACTAACACGGACACCAAACTGCTCTAGCTCGGACTGTTAGCGGTTTTTTTTCGGACGAAATGAGCTTGGCAAGATCAAAATGTTTGTGCAAGGTAAGACTTCTACTGATAGTTATAACAGTTTTGTGGTCTGTGGATTATCTGCATTATGGTCCGACATATATTTACACTACAAAAAAAAGAAAACATGTAATGCCTAGTTTTTAATCGATCAAACGGAGAAGACAAACTGGAACACGGTCTTCATAAACAATCAGCTAGTGCGAATCACATAACATGTCGATTGAATCGTAGACTTTGCAAGAGAGGTTAAAAGACAATAATCATTATTTTCCATCAAATACCTACCTACGTTCAACACCGAACCTCACGCCACGCCGGTACCACGCATAATAAATTGAATGTCAAGCGCGCGGTCTCAAAACATCAAATGTCGACAAAACCTGCGCAGTGATATGATTTGGTAGCCAATAGATATGGAAGCGGCTTACCTTCATCGCTGGACTTCACGTAGGTAAAGTCAAGATTAATTTCGTAAAGTATTCTCGGACTTTCCGCCTTCCGGTGACGATCATCCGTGTCTTTTATATCTATGAACATAACCTTGATCTATGATGATCCGGCTGAGTAGTATAGGAATCTTGATCCGGCTCTCAGATTTCACAAGATGCCTTTTGATTCCTGCCTTACACACCAGCAGAGTAGATAAGCTGCCACGCATTGCCAATGAGAACTATCGCGATGCCACGACATAAATATGCATTCTTGACAGCTTCTGGACAAATTGACAACGCCCAGTCTATTAACCTAACCCATGCACCCTGAAGCCTAATCCAACATGCAAACGAAACGCAAGAAACGTCAAACACGCGATCATTTGACTGCTGGTTATATTTAAAATAGTCCACAACCAGATCACGGGCTTTGGTGAAAACCATGTCAAAATTAAGCATCGCTTAGAGGGCACAGGGATCACATCTTCTGCACCGTCTTGATGCCCAGGATGTCGAAGCACCTGGTCATCACCTGTGCGGTCGCTTCGCAGAGCAGCATGCGCGACATGTTGACGTTTACCACCTCGCCCGTTTGCCGGTCCTTCTCCACGCAGTAGCAGTTGTCGTAGAACTCGGTGAACGTGGTCGACAACTCATACAGGTAGTCGCATAGACTGTGGATGAAGAGGTCCTCGGTGACGCGTACCACCACCTCTGGGAAGCGCAGCAGCACGCGCGCCAGCTTCCACTCCTTCTCGTGCAGCAGCTGGATGGCGGTGCCAGCTCGGGCCGCCTCCAGCAGCTGTTCGGGCGTTAGCTGCGCCCGGCGGCTGATGGAGCGGATCCGCGTCAGAGCGTACAGCAGGTACGCGGCCGTGTTGCCCCGGTCGTCCAGCATCTTGTCGAACGAGAACACGTACTCGTGGTTGCGGTTGTGTGACAGGTCGGCGTACTTGATACAGCCGTAGGCGACGTTCTCCTGCGCCTCGCGCAGCTCGTCGGCGGTCAGCTCCTGGTCGCGGCCCTTCTCGCGGAGTTTCTCTTGTGCGCGGCGCACACCCTCGTCCAGCAGATCGACCAGCCGCACCGTGTCGCCCGAGCGCGTCTTGAACTTTTTCTTGTCCTCGCCAAGCACGACACCAAAACCGACGTGGTCGCAGCGGACGCCTCCGTCGAGCCAGCCGGCGCGGCGTGCGCACGCGAACACTGACTGCAGGTGGGCGCCCTGGCCGGCATCCACCACGTAGATGAGCCAGTCGGCGCGCTCCTCCTGGATGCGCTGCCGCAGCGCCGCCATGTCCGACGTATCGTACGTGAAGCCGCCGTCCGACTTGACCACCGTCAGCGGCAGGTCGCAGCCGGGCGCAAACATGATCTTCCGGCCGTCGTCCTCCTCCAGGAAACCGGCCTCGGTCAGCTGCTGCACCACACCCTGCATGCGGCTCTGGTAGAACGACTCGCCGCGCGGGACCAGACCGTGCACGTTCAGCCGCTCGTAGATCTTCTCAAACTCGCGCTCGGATACAGCGCAAATGAGCTTCCAGGCTTTGATGATGTCCTCTTCATAGGACTGAAGTCGTACAACGCAGTCGTACGCCCGCTTCTTGAAGGCCTCGTCCTCGTCAAACCGCTTTTTTGATTCCTTGTAGAACGCCTGGAGGTCGGTAATGGGCGGCGTCTCGGTTCGGAAGTTGGGGAACTTGTCGGCGAGGTGAGCGATCAGCATGCCGAACTGGGTGCCCCAGTCACCCAGGTGGTTGATCCGCAGCACATCGTGACCGAGGAAGTCGAGCAGTCGCGCGATGCTGTCGCCTATGATGGTGGAGCGCAGGTGGCCCACGTGCATCTCCTTAGCGATGTTGGGAGACGAGTAGTCGATGACGACGCGTCGGCGAGGCACGGTAGGCGCCGGCACGCCACCCACGATCATCAGCCGCAGCTGCTCCGCCGCGAACGTCTTGTTGACGAACACGTTGATGAAGCCAGCGCCGGCCACTTCCAGCCGTTCGACCAGCGGGCTGCTCGGCACGCAGTCGATGATTTTCTGTGCCACGTCGCGCGGACTCATCTTGACACCCTTGTCCTTGAGTCGCTTCACGATCGGCAGCGCGGCGTTGCACTGGTAGTCGCCGAAGCGCGAGTTCGAATTGACAGCCGTCGCCACTTCATCCATGTCTGGGAAAGCAGCCCGGATGGCGGCGCTGAACAGTTCCGACAGCGCCACGAACAGACACTGCGCTCCGCCCGCCATAGCTGTGCTGCCCGTTTTCGAATGCGCACCGCCTGACTTAGCCTGTTCCTCTTCGGTCGCCCGGCGCAGAATGCCGACGCGGTACCGCAGCTTCTGGTTCTCGGCGCGAAGCCGGGCCACCTCCTCGGAGTCGGTATCGTTGGAGTTCGCAGAGCCAGACAGCAGCTTCTGCAGGGTGCTGTGCAGCTGGCGGATCTCCTCCTCAGCCTGCTCGGCCCTCCTGTTGTACTGCTCCAGCTGCTCGGCACTCATGGTGTTTCCTGGTGACAAGAGCAAACCGTCAGTAATGTGGTATTGTGGGAGTGTCAATGGCACATTGCTAAATAAAAAAGTTTGCTCCCTCGCTACCTACCTGATTTGCTACCACCAAGCCACGGCGAAGTTGAACAGCGTGCACAGATCGGATCCCCTTCCAGGACAGGCCTTCCCCAAGGGTCGATCCTGGCACCCAGGGGTGCAGAATTAGGGGTTTTGGGGGTGCTCGAGCACTCCCTGAAATTCAAAAGTCACCGTGCAATAGTGCTCCAGGGGTGCTTAACCCCGCCGCCGTTTTTGGTACACCTTATCATACATCAATTCTACACATGTTGTGAAAATTTAAGACCAAGGTCATTCAAGGTCAGGTCACCAGGTCACTTGAAGTGACCTCACCTCATAAAAAGTTTTCATGTCAGTCACAGCTACACCGAGTAGCCGATCGCTTTGAAACTTTCAGCGATTGCTAAGAGCAATGCTGCAATAGCATGTACAAAATGTATATCTCAGAATTTTGATACCGATGACCTAAGGTCAGGTCAATTTTGCGACCTCCCCATTATAAATCAATGGGAGAAAATTGAAATGCGCCTCTTTTGGACGAAAGACATTATAAACACTCCCAAACACCGAATTACAAGTGGTTTAGACACACAGAACATGAAAATGGTGTCCGTGACCCTTGTTTATGCCCTGAGGTCATCTTAGGTCACGACTGGTATCTAACAGTTTTTCGCAAATAGCTTTTGATAGAGGCATGCTAGAGCGATGAAAACGCCTTAGATGTGTTCAGCTCGACGATACGGATCGACTGATATGCTGCAACATGATCCTTTCCGGTCAGGTCATGACCTTGACCTGAGGTCAAATTTTCAAGTTGACCTTTCAAGGTCAAATTATAGTTCATTCGATGCGTCTTGACGAGAGGAACACGATGCCGGTAAAAGTAAGCTCGTACAAAGCTTGGGTCAAAAGTTATTGCAGAAAAACTATTTCCGAAAAAATCGGCTATTTTTGCAGTTTTTGCCCCCTGCAGGCAAAACCGTTGACGTTAGGTCAAATCTGAGAGAATTACTCAGAAAGGGCGTTAATAGGGCTATCGAATGCACTTTTCCGCGGCGCTGTAGCTCTATTGGTTCCCGAGTTATGCGTTGGCTTCTTGGAAATTTTCGACATTCGACCTGGAAATCGGCGAAATTTTGCCTTCTATGACCTCTGGTGACCTGACCTTTGACCTGACCAAAAAATTGACCGAAGTGATTTCGTCATTATTTTTGACGCTCTTTCGAACGCCGCCTTCCGCGTATCGCTACGTGGCCCAGGAGCCGAGTTACAAGGGGGTGTTGATTCACTTTGGCGAACTCTGCGCCAGTGTTTGGGGGAAATCAAGCCTTGGATCGCACATCTACGCACAATAACCAGCCAGTCATGGTGTTTCCAAGAACAACAGCTCTGGACGGTAGTTCATGACTACATCACAGGAACACTCGGACTCGAGTATGCAGGGTCGGCGAGGCTACCCGCCATGTCCTACAGAAACGTCGAGCAGTTCGACCACGAGTTCCATGGTTCGCGTGGTAGCCGGCTGCAGTGCAAACTCTCAACACCAGCATGGCCGCTCAAAAAAAAAGAAACATGACCGCTAATGGCAGAAGCTGGCATACCGATCGTCCAAGTCATGTGCAGGTCTCGAGCCACTAAGATGCTCTGCCTGGTGGGATCACTATGCTCTGCCTGGTGGGATCACTACCGACAGACGACCGCGCAAGCGATCGCAGAATAGGGCCGCGGAGACTGAACGAAGACTGATGGAGACTGAAGTACAGACTGGAGATGCCTGGGGAGACTGAAGACACCTCGAGCCTGTCACGTGGAATGAAGCGAGACGCGACTTTAGGTGATGCTCCCTTGCCCCCTATCCCTCACCAACCAGACCATTAAGGAACAAAAAGCACCTTGTCCTCCCCCTCAGGACATGCGATGTGGATCTGAAGTGATGGAACAGTAGAAGGCTGCACCATGAATGAAATTAGTGGAGCCACACCCTCCCCAAGTTCAGGAACTGAGAGCAAAAGGAGTTCAAGATGAGAGATCACTGCAGAAAACCTGTACTTGTGCATTCACAATTAGCTCTACAGTCAGTATTGGAAGCACCGCGCATTGGTGCAGTGGATCCATAAAGCCCATCCAAGGCAGGGCTGTTATATTTGAGTCACTGAACCAATGGACTTGGGGAGTGGATGAGGATGTCAATTGGTCAATTGGTGACTCTCAAATTTAGCAGCCCTTTTTCAGTCAGGCTTGATGGACCCACCACACTGATGCACGGTTCTTTCAAGACTGACTGTGCATTGTGCATTGCACTGCAAGCAGGTGCCCATGGTTCCATGCTCAAACTCTCACATGGTGCTGGTCCTTATGGGCAGAGGTGATGGATGACAGGCAACCACCCTTGGTATCTATCTCGAAACTGGCAAACTGCTGCTCCTCTTCTCCTCCAGGGGCAAGAGAGACCACCTGGCAAATTGGCAGTGGCCAGTGGGACTGGGTGTCCATACTCCATACTCAGTACTCATACCTGCTCACAGTGGTATCCCCAGAAATTAGAAAGCAGACATACTTGCATATAGAGCACTCAGCCTCCATGCAGACGCGCAACGGACGCCCAAGCAATCACAGACAATGTAGCCTAGCTGCTAGAAGGCTGCAGAGGCACAGTGTAGGTTGACTTGCAACCAAGCTCTTCTAGCGAATCCAGGGAATATGTTGCCAAGCCAGGGCTCCAGCATGAGCAGGAGAGAGGCATTGGTTATTCCCCACCTGTGGCCGGGTCGCAGGTGAATTGGAATGGCCCGCCAAGCGTCAGTACCTACCTTTGCCTCATCAGCATAAACCATCCACTTTTCACAAGCAATCAGTTGCCTAGAGTGGTAGGTTGTGTCGCATCACACAGGCTGAATGACAGTTAATGCTGGGACCCAGCGCTCACCATAGATACACTTTACTGTGTGAAAAGCTGAATAACTTAGCTTTCCAGTCAAGTGGAACATCATCTGTAGTCAACTGTACATGTGATGCACCCTGATTGTAATCCACCAAGAAGTTATTTGGTGTGTACCAAGGTGAACCGTAAACCAGGGGGTGCTCTCCTGGTACCATGAAAACAAACACAGATTCACCTACCTTACCAAACCTCACCCAACGCCGCCGGCTGATGATGTGGAAGAGGATGACGAACGTCATGCATCCATGTGCTAATCTATGTCAATGACCTGCTATGTATCGTATAGCTTGCAGCATGCATAGCATGCAGTCCGAGGCTAGAAATGACATCACGAAAAGAACAAGAAACATCGGTACCGAGAAATTTGAGGTGTGTAAGCTTTGTGAACAGTTTTTGAATTATACGAATCGCTCAATAACTGATTTAATGGCAGCGAATGCAGAGAATTGCATTATAATTATGTCCTTTTAGTAAAATAATTTTTGCTATGTACGTCATAATGACGCAAAAAGAGCCGCGACAAATGCTACCATATTAAACGTAAATGAGACATTTAATGATGGTCTGAGACAAATGCACATACGATTTGAGTGTTCGTTCACAGAATCATACGCTCTTGCAACAGGCCGTAAAACGGCATTAGGCCAATTATGTTTTTCTTTTTTTCTGCATTCTCAATTTCTTGAACGTTACGCAGGGCAGAAAGAACAGCTAAAATCAACATTCAATGCAAAACAGGTTGATGTGTTGACCAAAATTCCATATGGTCTCGCTTCGGGGTTGATGTCTTTATGGTTTGATTACTAAGGAAGCATTTGAACTGGAGGTCCACGAGAGATAAAAGGCAAACAAGCAAATATGTCTGAAGAATTGAAGAGAAGAATTGTCGAGCTCGAAAAAGAATTGGAGGCGATAAAAAAGGAATCATGTGAAGAACGACGGGGCCGAGAGAAAATTGAGCAGATGTCTAGTGAAGTTGTGGATGCAAACCCATATAGGTGAAGTATTGTTATTTTATTTATTTTCCTACAAGTCTAAAAACAAAGTGTGAAAGTAACTGATCAAGTTAAAAGAGTGGTTGGGCTTCGTATAAATATTCTTTTACAAGGAATTTATATATATGAAACAACTTTGACTTTGGTGGGTAACTTTATTGTTGTCTTAAATGACTTCCCCCATGAATGAAACGTGGTTATTAGTTAACACCTAAATATTTCATGATGATGGTCACCAATATGCTAGATCAACCATGGTGAGCATTTATCCAAACGGAATCTCTGTTTGCTCATTTTACTTAGCATAATTATCATACCCCTACTGTAACCTTTGATCTTTTTCCAGTCGTTTGATGGCACTGAAGAGGATGGGAATTGTGGACAACTATGAACAGATCAGAGAGTTCGCCGTAGCAGTTGTGGGAGTGGGAGGAGTTGGATCAGTGGCTGCCGAGATGTTAACTCGATGTGGAATCGGTAAGGTGAGCAGCTGCCACTGAACTGTTACCATTTCAGCCACCCTGTAAAGGAGGAGTGGTACTGTTGCAGGGGGCACAGTCCATTCCTGACTCCTCAGACACCATTATGTTAGCTCAATATTGAATATAGTCTTTCCCCATTTGTTGGGAATTATTTCATTTGTTTTTCTCCCACTTCACAATATGACTGCCTTTACTTTTACCAGCTATTTGTTTAATGCCTCTAGCACTGGGGAGTGGCTGCTCACCTGCTGGGTCGATTCAGCTTGATGGAGATAGTATACCTATCCCGTAGCTCAGTTGGTAGAGCACCGGACTCCCGGTAGTGAGAGCCCGGGTTTGAGTCGCTCTGGTGCTCGATATTTGAGACTCCTGATGGGGACAGTTTGCGGTTGGTAGGAGCTGCAGGCACAGCCAGTTGAAGGCAGTTGAGTGGGACAGGCCGTGTCCGGCTTTGAAGGGCATGTTAAACTTTGGCATCTAAATTCTCCCGTGACCCGGAATTGCGCGATCGGACGGTAGGGGTCGGGGTCTATGCAACAAGCTCTGCTTAGCGTGGGCCCCGGCCCCCGGCTCTGTCAATCTGTCCATCCAAACATTGGAGCTAAATCTATAAAGAAAATACCTACAATGCATTTGGACATGCCGTTAATCTTGTGGAATTTCTTTGGTGTGGAATTCCTCACAAAATGGCCGCTCGAGCAAGCCCGTTTCGCCGGATCTCTTGGGATTCCTCGCGTTTCGTGATGCCCGAACGACCGTTTTCGTGAGGAATTCCTCATCGTGGAAATTCCACGCAAAAAATGGCCCGCCCGAACGCAGGCATCGGTTCCTCATCACGTTCAAATTCACTGACATTTGTCATTGTCTCACCCCCAGCTGCTGCTGTTTGACTACGACAAGGTCGAGCTGGCCAACATGAACCGGCTGTTCTACCAGCCGCACCAGGCCGGCCTGAGCAAGGTGGAGGCGGCCGCCCGCACCCTGGTCTCCATCAATCCCGACGTCACCATAGAGTGCCACAATTACAACATCACCACAGTGGACAACTTTGACCACTTCATGGGCAGGATCAGGTCGGTGAGACTGATCAGGGCAGGAGGACACATGAGTGAATATGAAGGATTGTTATGCGGTACCTATGAGGCTGTCCACTCATGAGTGTTTACTGTCCAGTCCAGTCCAATCTACATGCCCACTTAAGTCTGCCTCTTTTAAGTTTCATGCTTATGTGAGCGTCATCATCATATCGAAGAGTTTGCTGATAAGTGACGAGTCCTCAACAAACATCCCATCTGGCTCGATATGATCTGTGCTCTGTCATTCCGCTTTCAGATCCGGCAGTCTAACAGACGGCCCAGTGGACCTGGTGCTCAGCTGTGTGGACAACTTTGAGGCGCGCATGGCCATCAACACGGCCTGCAACGAGCTGGGCCAGACCTGGTTCGAGTCGGGCGTCGCCGAAAACGCCGTCTCCGGTGAGTCCAGCAGGCTATTCGATCAGTCTTGGTCGATCATGTTAGAGATGATCAGTGATCACCTGGGGAAAGCTCAAATCTGCCCACAATGTGCTTTATGAATCTGGTCATTGTAGACTTCTGCCAGTTGCCGTCTGCGGTACACATACATTTGCCAATCCATGAACCATCGTTTTTAAGATCAAGAGTTTTCAAAGCACATCGTCATACGATCTCCACATCTCACAAACTCGCCATCACCTCCCCATCCCCCCTCCCCCTATACAGGTCATATCCAGCTGGTGATACCCGGCGAGCTGGCCTGTTTCGCCTGCGCCCCGCCGCTGATCGTCGCCTCCGGTATCGACGAGAAGACGCTGAAGCGAGACGGCGTGTGCGCTGCCTCGCTTCCCACCACCATGGGCGTCGTGTCCGGGCTTCTCGTCCAGAACACGCTCAAGTGAGTCGGCCGGTGAAGGTTGAGGATAGGATGGGGTACCCAAAGCCGACTTGTAGGTGACGGGTTTGCTTTGAATGACTTTCTGTCTTGTGATAACTTGACTTGTGATGAATGAATGACTTGTTGACGTGAATGTGAAAGACTTGCTGCGCTGTTGCCGTGACTTTGGGTGCAAAAAGGTCGACAAACCTGAACAGGCTCTTATAAAGCCCTTGTAGAGCTAATTGTTTCTTGATGGCGTCCCGCAATCACCTGAACTCGCCGTAATTCTGTATTCCGTAAACTTATTGACAAGTTGTGTGACGTTAACTGTAAGTATACGGTCTGGTCGGTCTGTACAACGAACTCTGTTGCTGACCCCTGACGATGGCCGTCACCGGCAGGTACCTACTGAAGTTCGGCAACGTCACCCACTATCTGGGCTACTCGTCATTGCAGGACTTCTTCCCCACGATGAGCATGAAGCCGAACCCGAGCTGTGACGACTCGTATTGCAGGTGCGTCCTTGCGCTCCTCACCGGAGAATGAGACCACTGATTTTTCGGTAAAATTGATGCCCAAGTAATAAGTTTATAATTAAGTCCCTAAAGACAACAGTAATGCTAACCATTTGGCAGTTTTTTTTCTTCTGTAAGCGAAGTTGGTGTGGCTTGAAACTCTACAGCTAATCGTAGATGCAGGCTCACATGTAGAAGTACTACGAAGCACATTAGCCGGTTCCCTCCATTGGAATCTTTCGTTTTCCGAGCGTTAAGTCACGTGTTCATTGGTTTATCTTCACTCTACAGACAACGGCAGAAGGAGTATCAGGAACGAGAGGCTGCCAAACCCAAAGAGGAGGTGGTGGAAGAAGAAAAGAAGGAAGTGGTGCACGAGGATAACGAATGGGGTGAGTGGAGCAATGCGTGTAAAATAGGCGTAGTGACGCAGACAGACGCACCGCTGGGCAAGCCGATTCGTAGGCTGAGATTTTTCGATGGTATGATTCTTGTTCGGTTGGTGTAATTATGTACTAGCAAATATCTTGCAATATCTGAGTTGCATAGCGCAAATAATACATTAGAATTACGACCAAACTGATCATCCGTCTCGTTGCGACGCATTCCTTCCGTGTTTGTCCCATCCCCTTCCGCTGACCCGAAATTCCTCTCCACCAGGCATCAGTCTGGTGGACGAGACGGCACCGGAGGAGCCAGAGAAGGAGCTGGTACAGGGTGTGCGACTGGCCTACAGCCGCGACGAGCCGGCGCCGCCCCCTCCGACGGTGGACGCGCCGGCGGCGGCGGACACCTCGGACCAGACCAGCCTGGACGACCTGCGCGCTCAGATGATGGCGCTCTGAGGGCGTAAGACGGTGAGAGAGCGGTGAGAGGGATGGGGGAGGGAGGAGTGGAGAGAGTGAGTGGCGAGCGAGAGCAACCACGGCGGAGAGGCGTGTGACGGATTGTGTTGCAGCCTCCGTTCCAAGGGACAAGAGGGTATGAGGAGAGAAAGCGAGTGGGAGTGAATCTTCTGAGCTGATATGATCTGTTCGAGCCGGGTCAGATTCAGATTGCGAGTTATAATTTCCCGAGAGGAGTTCATAGAATATGACAGAAATATGTTGTTATGCCGGTCTCTGGTATTCATTACTTATATTGAAGGAAGACGTCTGTTGGCCCACTGCCATGCGAGAATAACATTCCTGAGAAATGAGTATCGTTTCGTTCCCCGTAATTGTAAGCACTAGTGTGATGACGTGATGCAGAGTTCGTAACACCAAACAATGACTATCTAGTTAAAAGGAGGCTGCTCGCAAGGGCCTAAAACAGCTGCTCGAACCCTGCGTCCAGCACCAAGGAATCGTTAGCTCTAATCATTGAACATCCCAGCCTGACAGACCTGCGTGGCTGCGCCGCTTTACGGAGACCTGATTCTAGACCGACAGCGAAAGCGAACGATGTGACACGATTGTGGTGTGTTGACCACGCCAGAGTATGTGAGTCGATACGACCGTGAAGCCCGATGTGAACGGTCATCATTTTAGACGGAGGAAGAGCTGCTGGAGCTACCGAGCTCCGCTTATGTTGGGCGATATTGATGTTGAGCTATTTATTTTTGACAAGCGGTGGTGTTTTTAAATATTGGTGGTTGGTAAATACAACATAAACCGATCTATCGGTGCGTGTTTTCTGCGTTACAAGCCAGTGAGATTGTCAGCCGTGGGATTTGGTGCTGGTTTGACGGACCGCATGCCATCGGTAACGATGGGACACAGTTTATTTGTCATGAAAGAGACGCAACATCATTGGTCAAAATCCTGCCCGAAACATAAGTCTATCAATACCATGCTCAATGCTCATTGCTCATCTCCAAAATTTGGTCATAAATTGCACAAAGTAAATGTGCACCGGGTGCACAGCTATCACAATGCAGCGGTGTGCAGTGCTCAGCAGCGGACCCGCCCCGGAACAATGGATTGTGATCATTGGTTCAAACATATAATCAAAGTTACACTTCACAACCTGAACTTATCGCGGTGACACGACGGCGCCTGAGCGCACCCAGGGAAGCAAGGCAAACGTGACGTTCGAACGTGGCATGACTATAAACGTTCGATCAAAGTGACTGACAAATCGATCACAAATCCACGATAAACTAATTCACAGTAGTTCAACTCAGCAACGTTGCATACACAATCACGCGAATGCACTAGCATGAAACTGACTGAATCGCATCGCACTAGACACTTGTTGGGTCTCCAGTGTGTTAAATCTGTGCATTGTGCAGCCTACACAACATGTTATCGGTGGAACATAGCTCGCTTCATCTCCCACGCTTCTTACGCTGCCGTTGAGTGATCGAATGCCGAGACAACAAAACGAACAGGCCCCTAGCCCCCATACACTAACGATCATAAATCCAACATGTTATCCACAAAAGGCGACCATATAACGCCGACTGAGGTAAAAGCTCACACTTAGGTTGACCGAATGGGAGACTCGAGAGGTGGACCAGCTTGGTGCGTAGTCACAGAGGCCCACTGCAGCTCCGCGGGATGTGAGTGCGGAGTATGGACATCCGGCCACATACGCAGCGGCCACATCCGATCTCGCAGCGGATCATGGCTGGCAGACTCACACACAGTGCGGCTAATGTGCCAGAAGCGGTGGGATGACCGCACGGGTCAGTAAACCAAGCATCACGCTGGTGAAATGGCAGGATAGCTCCACTCGACAGCAGCTGCAGCGGCTAGCATGTCAATTGTCAATTTTCATACTGGCAGTTGCGTGTGTAACAGTAAACCTGAACTCAGGCACATTAGGCAAGCCGTGTAAAAGTTCTAACGAAGTTAGAAGGAATGGGAAGTCGTAATATCATCCAGTATGTCGCTACATGATGCAGTTACACACAAAACATGTCCATTCTGCAGCACAGGCACAGCCCAGCATAACCACAAACAAAAACAGCCGCCCAAAATGCCACCGATGCTCGCGGTCCGCTCCCTCAGCTGCCGGCAGTTGCACAAGTAACTCCAGTCAGAGCTCAGTAGCGTTCACTCACACCAGGCACCGTCGCCGCTACAATATGTACGAGCTGGAGAGGTCCAGGTTGGCGAAGCCGTGCCGCTGCCGCCGACTGCGTTTGTACAGCGACGGGAGCAGCATGATGAAGGCCAGGAAGAGCAGCTTCAGCAGCGTGGCCTTGGAGAACAGGTCGTCCAGGGAGGACAGGGTGCCCAACACGTTACCGGCCTCCACGCAGATGAAGTTGTACGGCATCAGGCCTGCGGAGTGGGACATGCACGATTCACCTCTAGAATACCAGGTTTAAATATATTGACTGAGGACGTGTGATCGTTAAATGTGATGTCAATGCCTAAAAAAGAGAAAATCATCTACAAGCCTACAATAACGTTTCAGAATTGTGGTACCTAATGAAAACAGTCGTTTGAACAGAAACCTTTGCATGATATTTTAGCCATAAGATAGAAACCACTTTGATTGAAATAAAAAACGACAAGCCAGTACGTTTCCGAAAACCGATATCAATGACGTCGACAACATTCATTTCATACTGGATAGGCCAGGCCTCTCCTTTCAAAGCAGTCTCGAATAATCCACACTCGAACAACGTTCACAAGTGGTACTCACCGACAAATACGGAGAAGCAGAACATGTGCAGCGGCACGCCCACGATCGGAGAGGCCATGTTGACGAACCAGTTGGGCGTCATCGGAAATATCCGGATAAACAGCAGGAAGTAGAGCAGCTGGTGGCGGTTACGGTGCACCTGGAGACGAACCACAATGACATTAGGGACATTAGTAACGGGCTCCGCCATCCGCGTGGAGTACGAGAAACAAAGCTGTCATCGCAAATGATTCGACTGAGGAAAACATTGCATGATATCACGATGAATTTCACGATATCACAAGATTTCGCGATAAAGCGACGTAAGGAATTTCCACCAATCATATACCCTATCATGAACTGTCACAGCACTTCGTCCAGTTTAGAAAACCCTTTCCCAGCTCATCTACACCGTTTCGCCATCCTTGACCGGTGACTCCATCCACGCTCGGTCGGGCAGACACCGACTCCGGCCCGGCCCAGTGTGCCCCCAATCCATACCGTGTCTGTGAGCTCGACGATGCGCCGTTTGAAGTATCTGAGCAGCAGGTGCCTGCAGCAGTACTTGGCCAGCAGGTAGCAGTTACAGGCGCCGAGAGTCGTCAGCGCACAGCACAGCATCCAGCCCTCGAGTGCGCCGTAGAGCGCACCGCCCAGCACGTTCAGGAACATGCTGCCTGGGATGGAGAAGGACTGCTTGTAGATGTAGGCGCTGCAGAAGAGTACCAGCGTGAAGAGCCAGTGGTCCTCTTGGTAGTGGCGCAGAAGCACCGCCAGCGCCTTCAGCTGAACAAAGTTGCTTGGGAAGCGCAGGTGGGTGGTCACCACCTGTGGCAGAGATCAGACGTGGGGTCTGTGTAGAATGGTGCATCATGGACTAGATTACCCTGATATTCAATGTTTCAAGGAAAAAACTAGTAAGGAAATAACAGCATGATTTCAATCTACTTTTAACATTCAATGCAAATATTTGATCTTTCAAACTCAGAACAGTTTAAACAAACAACACTAAAAGTCACTGTGGCACAGTGACTGCTGACTGCACAAAACAGATTTGATATAAACCACTCAATTCATAACCTTCGTGCTTTTTGTAGCTTCAACAATGCCTAATAAGGTACTGAATTAGTCAGTCTGTAGATGCTGAAGGCCTATGCAGTCCTGGCTCCTCCGGCCTCCCCCTCTCCACAAAAACAGCCCCTTGCTGACCTTTCCATCTGCATCTGTAGTGAGTGGTGGAGCACTGCTGACCAAAACATACAGCCAAAGGGTGGCAAGGGAGATGACTATAGGCAATATCCAAACCCGATTAAAGCGAGTAGACATGGTGACAGCCATTTCACTTGAGTTGTAGCAAAACCTGTAAAAAAGGTCATTGATGGGTGATGATAGCAAGTCCTGTATCGCGACCAGCAATAACTCCATGAAAATTACCTCAGGTTTATGGTATTATTCATCAATGACTCAAGAAATTTGCCAGACCAAGTTGTAACAGATCAACTATCTAAATGAGCCACATTCATTGCCTATGTGTCACACCACATCAAATCTACTCCATCAGTCCATTCCAGTTCCAGCCAGTATCATATGATACAGAATTGAGAATGAGTTATTCTGGTAAAAGTCACATGAGCATTAAGCACTTAATCATCGTCTCGACGAGATAGAATATTCCATCGGCGTTACATCTTATGAATGAGAATGAGTTAATTTGAGTAATCTAGACATAAGTCGCCCTGTCTTATGCCCTTCTTATTTTCTGAAATTGCTTCTCTCATTCCAAAATGGCATGAATAAGCCAAAGGAACTGCTGAATAAGCCGGCAAGGTCAAGGTGTAAAATGTTAATATAAAATAAGCCTATTGTGATGACCATGTCATTCGTCGCTTTTCTACTGATTTTCTTCCCACTCGTACAATGAATTCATGACACAGTTCTACTACACACATTTTCACACAAAAATTAAATAAATGCATTGATGTACCTATCTTTAAATTTACAGCAAAATGGGAAAACACTCATTACACACCCTCCGTTACCCCGCCTTCCAACTTGTTTACATTTGTGATACAAATCTTGCGCAATCGTCGGCCAACTGCGCCACTAAAATATGGCACCAAAAATTATCGATCCAGGAAAAAACGGGTGAAGGAAAATTGATGAGCAATCACATCACGGGTTTCAGATTTTCAGAGTTCAGACTTCAGAGTGAGGAGATTGAGGCGGACATGTGCACTGTGCAGGTTCTCTGAAGTAAGATGACTCCGTAAATGTGCTACACACTATTCTCGTGACCTTTTGTGTCTCTTACACATTGTGCATCTTGCGGAACTGCAGTGTGCGATGACCAAAGTAATCTTGCGATGACCAATGCGAAAAAGCACACAGATACAGTCGGTGTTTATCCCGGCGTCCGGGGCACCAACTTTAACCCCGGTCGGTCCAAATGATAAGTTGAAAATAGATCATGAGAAAAGTGATGAAAATCAAAGTTCGACGTCATTTATTACATTATTTAACACTGATACATACACAAACAAGTTCAACAATAAAAATACCTACAAAACAACATTCACACTGTCATTCAGCTGAGGTCTCTAGAATCACACCTCCCCCCTCCCGGCCACACAGTGGTCACGACGCCCCCATATCGGCGACAGCTGCCACCGCCTGTTCGGGCGCCTCTTTGTACAGCATGAAGTGTCCCTGCACGGCTGCGGCGCTTAGCGGTCGGTCCAGCCGTCCGGCCGCCTCGACGAACCGCTCAGCCAGCGCCGTCTGGCCGGGGTAGAAGCGCAGGAACAGCTGGCGCAGCTGATAGGGCGTCACGTAGCCGACCAGCTCCTTGACGTCGACCCGGCCGGGTCGGATCAGCGCCGGGTCCAGCCTGACCGGAGCAGAGAGGCGGGCGACAAACGGTCACAGCCAATCGCAGCACGGCGGTTAGTGACTATACACAGCGGACGGACAGGAATGATGCATTTAACGAAAACCTATCGGAGCTCAACACAACAATTCATTGAATTGGTGCTCAAAATGCCGTTTTCAGCGTATCTTCATTCTTCGGCCAAATACAATGTGTGACAACGCAGCTGACTTCAGAAGGAGGCCGAATATATGTATTCACAACTCAGGTACACTGCTCGGACCGGGGCTCGTATCGACTCACCGGTCGAGGTAGTTGGTCGTCATGAACACAATGCGCGCCTCTGTTGAGGCCACGCCGTCCAGGCAGTTGAGCAGACCGCTGAAGGTGACTCTGGAGAGACCCTCGTACGCAGCACGCATCTGAGGAACGGTGAGAGTGATGATGAACGGTGAGATGAGAAGTGAACGTCGGTTGGAAGATCAAAATAGCATTAGAATCATAAATATTAGAATTAACACTGATCTGAACACTTGAAATTTCTGCTTTGTATTTTAGTCGTAATTTCTCATATAGACCGAAAAAGTAAAATGTCACGAAGTCCTTATCTGAAAAGTTATAACACGAGAAAACACTTATCACGACCTTCAAGCTCCCTTGAAGTAACGCTCAGGACCGTCCGATTCTGCATATTTATCTGATCGGCGAGTCTGAGTCGCTTCTGACCTGCGCAGCCGGTCGCCCGTGCTCACCTGCGCGGTGTCCTCGCGGCTGACGAAGGCGGCGTCCACGTCCTCCAGCAGGATGATGCTCTCGGTGGGCGCCACGGCCAGCAGGTGGTGCAACCGGTCGTCGCTCAGGCCGCGCTCCGACAGGTTCAGCACGCAGATGCTGAAGCCGAGCTCGCCGGCCAGCGCTGTGATGAAGGAGGACTTGCCGCAGCCGGGCGGTCCGTGCAGCAGGTAGCCGCGCCGGTACGGAATGCCTGGCGGTTGGCACACATCGGAGGGGAGGAAATTACTGGCTTGTCAGCTTGCTGTATACGATCCAATGTATGAATGCACACATGTTTTTGTCCAAGAGAAACATTTTATAACGATCTTCCTCACCCATAACTGACCACATACTCCTCACTCGTAAAAAAAGAAAAGAAACGGAAGGCACTATGCAGTATGCATGACACTCATTCACCTTGATGTTAGTTGTTACTCTATGCAGACATGTGCATGGATCCGAGAAAATGGATCTGGGATCTGATCCCACGGATCTTGATCTCGGATCCGACGGGATCATAGATCCAGCTCTGTAATTTATCGAGAGATCCGTAGGGATCACAGATCCGAGTCTCATTTTTTGCTTGAGATCCAGTGAGATCATAGATCCTCACTTATTTTTTTGTCAACACATATATCCCAAAAAAGCACTTGTTTCAACTCACAAACGTTCTGTTTTGGTGATTTTATGTGATCGCACGTCATAATCCATAGTTTTGTGTCACTTATTGGCATAGAAACCCTTTAAAAAATGGTTTCAAATGTGGTGCATGGTGGGATCCACTCAGATCATAGATCCATGTTCGTAATGTATCGTCAGATCATATGAGATCATAGATCCAAGATGTATTTTTCACGCCGGATCCGGTGGGATCATAGATCCCAACCTGTACTTTGCTTCGAGATCCACTGGGATCATAGATCCATCACTCGGATCCATGCACATGTCTGACTCTATGCAACCAGTTCAGCGCTTTGACAGTAGCGATTAGGCGGCCGTTACTGAATTGGGGATAAATAAACAACAGTGTGGTGTTGGCGACTGGAGATATACTGTTCCGCAAAACCAAAATGCGCTGCGGTGTAGTATACCACTCGTCTGTAGTAGGCATGTTTTGTTTCGTTATTGAGCAAAGTTTACGAATTTGATAACAAAAAACGCGTTTTTGACTCTCCTGATCAATTTTTAATTTGAAAACTGCCCCAGACGGCTTTTTTTCCTCCCGACCGTCTAAGCTGTATGGTAAAGATTGACAAAGGACTACACGATTTTTTTAGAGGCAGGGGTGCTTGACATGGTAACCAGTCCACAGCTTAACTGTCCTGGCATCAAACTTATTACACGGGATGCAAAATTCATGCGTTTTGGAGCTGTTTTGCCAGGCGTTTTTGCATTTTTTGCCGCCGCCAATTTATACACAAGTAGAAAAGAGACATTGTGACTAATAACACTTCCACGCGGGAAGAACATGTGTATGCGCTACAAGTAATGCATAGGCCTGAAAATGTACGGTAACTAACTTTTGGGTTTTTAGTCAGCCAATCCGTCCACCCAGTCAAAAATCCGTGGCGACGCCCCTTGAATACACCTACGTCAGCATTAAACTTGAGACCCACTCGGCGACTTTAGCTCGCTAAAGACATATTCAATCAAGATTCTTGGTAGGGCCTCTTCACCCTGGCGTATCAAAAGCCACGGTTGGTGAGCAAATATTCACCCCGTCCCAGTCTTACGTATTTCCCTGATTTCCCTCTCTCGCCACCTACCTCTGTCCTGGTACCAGGCCGGGTTGCGGCGGAACTCGTTCACGTCCGCCAGGATCCGCTCGCTGATGTCCTGGTCGAGCACTACCGAGTCGAGCGGCCGGCGGCGGCGCGGGTGGCCGAACTGGCGCCACTCGGATCCGGCCGCCGTGTACATCAGCGTCTTGCCCTGGTTCTCCCGCAGCGCCAGCTGACGAGCTGCCCACATACACGTGACGTCATCAGAGGGCGATAAAGACTGTCTTGCAGTTTATTCGTAGCTACGCTATCATGGATATTTGCACGAAACCTGCATTACCAGTAGCGGCCTTAAAAGGGATGGGAAGAGGAGGAAGCGCCGGCGTTATTCACTTCTTTCTATGCACTGCAATGCTAGAAATGGGTATCTGTTGGCATATTTTCAAAAATCATTTTTCTCCCGAGGGTAACAGAGGTTCCTTAAAGACGACCAGAGGCCCCCCGTGAAAATGCAGGTGTCACAAGGCCAGTTTTGCATCAAAAGTCAGGTAGCTATGCCCAGTTTTGGCTCTCTGTTGCCGACGTGTTCCGAGCGGTCGCAAAAAAAAAAAACGATAAGGTGGCACCCACGCCCCCTTCGGCCGGCCAGGATCCTTCTAACCAGGGACGCTGACGCTGGAAATTTCAGACGGCTCCGGCTCCGGCTCCGGAGAAAAAATCGGATACGGCTCCAGCTCCGGCAGCCGGCTCCGGGGGCAGAAGGTAATTGTACGTAGCATTTAGACTTGAATCGTCGCCCACGATTCACCCGAAATGAATAATGGATATCAACATGTTCGAAAGTTGAAAACACCGCAGAACATGACGGTACGAGTAAGTCTCGTGGTCTAGTACGGCATCCTCTCCCACTGCCGATCTGTTTATTGGATTCAAATGGACCGAAAACGGAACAACTTTCAGCTTTTTAGTCCCGGGTCGAGCACTCTGCTACCAAGTAACGAGGGCACTATCCATGTCGCAGACGCAGCAGCCGGCGCCGACTCGGTGACGTTTGTGCCTGTGCGTCACGAGCGCTCTATAGTGGACTGTATCTTGTTTCTGTGTGACTGGGCTTGGCTACTGGTCCATAGCATTTAGGTGACTGAAACGCAGACCCTCATAACAGGTACAAGGATGAGTAGGGATAGAGGCCACGATGGCGTGACTCGAGGGGAGGTTAAAGAGTCGCGCTGGCGCAACGGGGGTTCGTAGGACAGAGTCCACGATGGCGTGAACGGAGGTGAGGAATAAAGACCGTGATGGCACGATCGGGCGAGGTATAGGGAGGAGGGTAATTCTGCGTTTGAAGTGTAAGTGAAGTGAAGTGTAACTGGAATGTATACTGTGCCGCTATCTTGATTCTCTCACTCCTCGCTCTCGGTGATCACTTCCTTTGTCACACCACTGCACTGATTTCACAGTCTGTATTGCAAAGAGCAAGATCCGGCAAACCAATTACACTGCTTGAAGGCTGCGACGAGCGGAACGAAACAACCGCCCGGCTCGACGACTGAGGCTGAACAGAGAGTAACTTGAGTATACTGTGCCGCTAACTTGAAGTCTTTTGCTCAATCGCTCCAGGTGACCACTTCCTTGGACACACCACTGCACTTATTCACAGTCTATATTGCGATGAGCAAAGAGCCGGCAGAAAACCACCACACTGCGTGGAGGCTGAGCCGAGCGGAGCGAACAACCGCACGGCGCGAAGACTGGGAGAGAACAGAGCGAGGGAGGTGTTTACAACAGGTTTAAATATGACTGGCAATGGGGTCACACACAGGGGAGATAGCGAGGGAGCAAAGCAAACGGTATTAGGCAAACTAACTGGACGCGACGAACCGGAGATAAAGAAAGAGATATGGCGCGACGCAGCGCGCCAGCGGCCGCCGAGACGGACGCAGCGCGTTAAACAAACGTAACCGGGCCCGCCGCGCCGACCACGTTCCCCGTGAACAAAGCTATCGACGGGCGTCGCCGCGAGAGGGGTCAGGTCCGGCACACACAGGTGCGCGCAAAAACACCCCCACTGGGGCGGGGGGGGGGGGACGGCGCGGCGGCCCGCTCGGCTGACCCACCGGCCGCCCGCCACCCTGCTCGCGAGACGGGCGACAGGACAGTTTTGGCGGTCACATCCCGCCCCCCGTGTTCGACTCTATGAGAACACTAAACTTTGTACCGCCACTGATATATCGGCTGGTAGAAGGCCTCGACGGGGCGGGGTCCGGACCGGGTGAGCAATCGGCAGTTCCCACATATTTACACATATTTACATTACTGTTCACAGCACTTGCTCACTGTTCTCCCATCACCGCGATCTGGGCGACAGCCATCTACCCGCTTATCCTCCCGCTGTCTTGATCTGGACAGAACGGACTCTTCGATCTGGTCCCGGGAACACCTGGGTCGTGCGGGCGAGCGGCCGCGTAGCTGGCGGTGTGTTGGAGTCGGCGAGGAGCGCTGGATCTCCGGCGAGCACGCTCTTGATGCCCCTCCGTCTGTTGCGTGGCTGGGGCGAGGGCATGCACCGCCCGCGGTGCTGCTGCCGCCGGTGCTGCTGCTGCTGCTGCTGCCTGTCGCGGAGACTCTGGGACGAGGGCATGCACCACCCCCGGTGCTGCTGCTGCCTCTGCTGCCTGTCGCGGAGACTCTGGGACGAGGGCATGCACCGCCCCCGTAAGGGCCCAGCCGAAGTCGGTTCGGATGGCGACTGGCTGCCCTGGTGGTCCAGCTCTCACCTCGTGCTGGATCACAGCTTCGAGAACATTGGCACCCAGGAGCAGCTGCACTTCGCCCTTGGAACAGTCTTGCACATCTAGGTTCTCCAGGTGACGCCATGTTTGTCGGTGCCGTTCGCTGATTCGTGGCACAGAGATGTTCATCTTCGGTACGGCCCACACCTCGGATAATGTTATCCGCTTCTCGCTGGCCTCAGGGGACAGACCTTGCACTTCCATTACCAGCTTCCTGGCCACTTGCCCCTTTCCAGTACCTTGAATCGTCTGCATGCATAGTTCCTGCGGCTCGCCTGAGATGCCCAGCTTGTCCGCTAATTTCTGACTGCATAGGGATGTCTGGGCGCCAGGGTCTAGTAGAGCCAGCGTGTCTTTGGTTCCTGTACTTCCAAAGACTCGGACTGAGACTACTTGCAGCAGCGTAACATTGCCTTTGTCTTCTTGATGGCATCCCGAGGCTGCCGCGACTCTCTTCTGCTTGGTTGCGAGACGTATCCTCGAAACTGCTTCATCAGCCTTTCTCTCCGTTTCCGCGGTTGACACTTTGGATGGCTGAGGCCTGACTGGCTGGCCGCCGTGGAGGAGAGCGTGGTGCCGGTACTTGCAGCCGTCCTTCCCACAGCGTTTTGCCTTCCGGCAGTCTTTCACGCGATGGCCCTTCTTCAGGCACCGGAAACATCGTTGCTCACCAAACACGTGCTTCAACCGGGCGTCGGGAGATTTTGCAGTGAACAGCTTGCACTGATCCAGATTGTGATGTTCTCCGCAGAGAGAACATTCCTGTTTCTGGATGGGCCTCGCAGCCGTGGTAAAGGCCTGTCTGCTGACAGTCTCAACGGCGCTCTCCTTCCTGTGCTTACGGCTGGCTTCTTCAGAGCTCTGTTTTCCGTTCGGGCAGCTTCTGCTTATCTTAACTTGAGTCTGCAGCCACGCATCTACATCCAATAGCGACGGTTTTCCAGGTTTTAGCTCCAAAGAGAACTTGCCCCACTCGCGCCTCAGCTCTCTTGGTAGTTTCTCCACTGTTCGCTGTAAGCTATTGCTGCTGTGCAGGTCTGCGCTCGCTCCTATGTTCTGCAGAATAGTGACCGCACAGTGCACGGTTGCTTGAAATATTTCCAGTGATTCTGCGTCGTCTTCACGTGGGTCCGGAGCGTCGAAGATGCTTTTGAGGTTGTGCCTAATGATGTCATCGTCCTGGCCGAAACGTTCTTCAAGCGCCTTTAGAGCTTGGTGGTAGAGATTTCCGTCGTATAACATGCCAGATATAGTCTGCTGTGCCAGACCGCTTACAGATGATTGTAGGTGGGCGATTTTCTCAGTGTCGGAGAGGGATGGTTGGTCATGAACCAGCGCCTTGAACAACCCAACCCACCTCGGCCATTCTGACGCCTTTCCGCTGAAGGTGGGAAGAGTTAGTCTTGGAATACTCTTTGTGAAGGCAGAAAACGCGGTCGCTCCATCTGTGCGCGGCGCCTGCTGCGGGCCTTGCAGTCCTTGTATCCATGACGTCGCGTTTCCCACCTTGCGTGATTCCGATCTTTCAACTGGCTCTTCAGGACGCACTCCCACTCGACGGGCCGCTCTGGTGATCGCTCCTTCACACACTGGTTGCACTTCAAGCTGACGGTTCCTTATCACAACTGCTTCGGCTCCGAACAGCTCATCCTCAAAATCATTTCTTCTTTCCATTTGGAGGTCATCGCTGAGCTCTTTGCGCAGGTTGGCTTCTAGCTGGGCGGCTTCAGCTTCATCTTCAGCGTCTTGTAGCTGTCTTCTCCTCCGAGCTTCCCTTTCTTGACGCTGTCTCTCCTCTTCTTGCTTCTCCTGAATTCGTCGTCTCTCCTCCTCTTGCGTCTCCTGAATTCGTCGTCTCTCCTCTTCTTGCGTCTCCTGAATTCGTCGTCTCTCCTCTTCTTGCTTCTCTTGAAGCCGCTCCTCTTCTTGCTTGCGCTTCAGCTGCTGTAGGCGTAAAGACTTCACCTTTGCAGCGACTTCTGCTTCAACTTGCAAAGCTTTCGAAGCGTCACTTGTGTTGCTTCTTTGGGCGACAGATACATGAGAGCCGGCTTCTGATGGCGCCTCATCTTTGCGCTCAGCAAGGTGCTGAGTGATTCTTTCCCCAATTTCTTGTCTGTCGCGCTCGGCTTTTGCGCAATACGCTTCTGCCTCAGCTCTTTCAGTTTGAGATGTCAGACAGGCTTCTAAAGCTTCATTTGCTGCGATGACACCTTCCAGGGACGAGTCAATGGTTTCCAACAAACCTGCCAGGCGCGACCGACTCCCGCGAGCGGCGATGATCGCTTCCGCTCGGTGACACGCCCGTGAGAATGCTGCCAACTTTTGCCCCCGTTTTCGGCGCAGCAGTTTCAAGTTTTCATTGGCTGCTTCCTGACGAGCTTCTTCCTGGACGCTCTCTTCTTGCTCGGCTGCGCCGGACTGATCTGTACCTTCTGTTTCTGACATGATGCGGGCTCTATCCGGCCCGGAGGACCAGTTAAATGTCGCAGACGCAGCAGCCGGCGCCGACTCGGTGACGTTTGTGCCTGTGCGTCACGAGCGCTCTATAGTGGACTGTATCTTGTTTCTGTGTGACTGGGCTTGGCTACTGGTCCATAGCATTTAGGTGACTGAAACGCAGACCCTCATAACAGGTACAAGGATGAGTAGGGATAGAGGCCACGATGGCGTGACTCGAGGGGAGGTTAAAGAGTCGCGCTGGCGCAACGGGGGTTCGTAGGACAGAGTCCACGATGGCGTGAACGGAGGTGAGGAATAAAGACCGTGATGGCACGATCGGGCGAGGTTGGGGCTGTGCCGGCCTACCTTTAAAAGAGATAAGGATAGAGGCCACGATGGCGTGACACGGGGAAGGTTAAAGAGTCGCGCTGGCGCAACGGGGGCTAGTAAGGACACAGTCCACGATGGCGTGGACAGAGGGGAGGAATAGAGACCGTGATGGCACGATCGGGCGAGGTTTGGGCTGTGCCGACCTACCTTTAACCCTCGCCCATGTAGGGGGGGGTTGGTGCAACCCCCCCCCTGAGGTTTTTCGGAAATAGTGCAAAAACGGCGGCGCGCAGCGCCGCCAAATTTTGGGAACCTTATGGGGCAAACCTTGCGCATCTTTTGATAAAAAAAATTTGACCGGGTCATGTCAGGTCACGGAGTTATGACGTCACAAAGGGAACAGCCTCCGGCCGGATTTTCACAAACTGAGTGCCAACGCCCGAGGTTTCCTGCCGGTGGTACGGACATCGGTTGATGGATCGTGATGAAACTTCCCATGCATGTTGGGGCAAGTATTGGCTATCATATGGTATAAGAAACTTGACCGGGTCAGGTCAGGTCACGGAGTTATGACGTCACAAGAGGAACAGCGTCCGGTACCATTTTTGAAAAGCGCCCGAACCACTATTTTGCTAATTCTTGTCACCTCAATGGGAATATGCAGCAATATTAGCTTCTATAGGGAGCAAATGGACCTCCCAAATCCAAAAATACAATCAGATTTCAAAAATTTAAATTTTGATTTTTCGAATTTCTGCCGCCGACTGTGACCTTGCCGACTTCCGGCGCTCCCAACGCGCCATTTTTAGAGCTAGGGAAACGAAATACATACCAAACGATAGAGAATTGATCAAGGAACACGATAGTGAAGGTTTCAAGTCGATATCTCCCACCGTTTTGCCGCAATCGCCGCCGAGAATTGAAAAAAGTCTATTTTTCCGAAAATTTGACCTTTGACCGGTCAAAAGTAGGTCAAATTTTGACCTAGGACCAAAAAATATACCACCAATCGCGAGATCTCGGCGAGAGCAATCCGTTGGTCTTTTCCGCTAAGCTCTACGACGCTCCGTTTTCAAACGCCAAGGGGGGGGGGTCGCACCAACCCCCCCCTGCATGGGCGAAGGTGGCAGATCGCCGTTTACGGGCGAGGGTTAAGAGAGATACGGATAGAGGCCACGATGGCGTGACACGAGGGAAGGTTAAAGAGTCGCGCTGGCGCAACAGGGGCTAGTAAAGACAGAGTCCACGATGGCGTGAACAGAGGTGAGGAATAGAGACCGTGATGGCACGATCGGGCGAGGTTGGGACTGTGCCGACCTACCTTTAAGAGAGATAAGGATAGAGGCCACGATGGCGTGACACGGGGAAGGTTAAAGAGTCGCGCTGGCACGACAGGGCTTGTAAGGACAGAGTCCACGATGGCGGGAACAGAGGTGAGGAATAGAGACCGTGATGGCACGATCGGGCGAGGTATAGGGAGAAGGGTAATTCTGCGTTTGAAGTGTAAGTGAAGTGAAGTGTAACTGGAATGTATACTGTGCCGCTATCTTGATTCTCTCACTCCTCGCTCTCGGTGATCACTTCCTTTGTCACACCACTGCACTGATTTCACAGTCTGTATTGCAAAGAGCAAGATCCGGCAAACCAATTACACTGCTTGAAGGCTGCGACGAGCGGAACGAAACAACCGCCCGGCTCGACGACTGAGGCTGAACAGAGAGTAACTTGAGTATACTGTGCCGCTAACTTGAAGTCTTTTGCTCAATCGCTCCAGGTGACCACTTCCTTGGACACACCACTGCACTTATTCACAGTCTATATTGCGATGAGCAAAGAGCCGGCAGAAAACCACCACACTGCGTGGAGGCTGAGCCGAGCGGAGCGAACAACCGCACGGCGCGAAGACTGGGAGAGAACAGAGCGAGGGAGGTGTTTACAACAGGTTTAAATATGACTGGCAATGGGGTCACACACAGGGGAGATAGCGAGGGAGCAAAGCAAACGGTATTAGGCAAACTAACTGGACGCGACGAACCGGAGATAAAGAAAGAGATATGGCGCGACGCAGCGCGCCAGCGGCCGCCGAGACGGACGCAGCGCGTTAAACAAACGTAACCGGGCCCGCCGCGCCGACCACGTTCCCCGTGAACAAAGCTATCGACGGGCGTCGCCGCGAGAGGGGTCAGGTCCGGCACACACAGGTGCGCGCAAAAACACCCCCACTGGGGCGGGGGGGGGGACGGCGCGGCGGCCCGCTCGGCTGACCCACCGGCCGCCCGCCACCCTGCTCGCGAGACGGGCGACAGGACAGTTTTGGCGGTCACAATCCATTTCATCACACAATCAGGACTGTGGAGTCGGAGTCGGAGTCGACAGTTGTGACCGGAGTCGGAGTCGGATTAGAAGTCGATTTTGGAAACCAGAGTCGGAGGCGAAGTCAGAGTCACCGAAAATTCGTCGACTCCGCAGCCATGTCAGGCCTGTGGAGTTGGAGTTCAAGTCAGTTGGGGTCAACAATTATGCCCGGAATCAGAGCCGGAGTCAGTCGGCCGGCTGACCTTGGCCGGGTCGAACGCGCGAGCGGTGCTCTGCGTGCGCGACCGTCTGGACGAGCGAGTCTGGTCAGCTGATAACCAGTGTCCATGTGCGGGCCAGTCATGCCAAAGAGGCGGAAAGTGTGCTCCCCAGCGCAGGGTGAGCAAAGTGATATAGACATCTGTGCTGAACTTAAAGAGTTTATTGCACAAGAAAATGTGAAGTGTGTGAAGGAGATACGGGACTCGAACGACCGACGGCTTATGGCTATAGAGGAGTCCTTGTCGTTCGCGATGGATTCCCTCAAGGCGGTGTCGGATCGACAGAATTCAGCGGACATGGACATCATCCAGCTGCATAGGGAGACCAAGGAGCTGATGCGGCGCCTCCAGCAGATGGAGCTGAGTGAGGACCGACGGCAGCAGGAGGAGCGGCGGACGTCTCTCATCTTCTCTGGACCGGCGATACAGACGCTGACTCGCCGGGAGGACGCCGCAAACCTGATTCGGTCCCGGGTGCAGCAGCACCTGAGGCACTCACTGGACTCTTCTCAGGTGAAAGCCATGATCCGGCTGAAGAATGGTAAGGTTTTAGTTGACTTTACCACGGCTGTGCGCGGGTCTGATAGAGACGTCCTATTTAGGACTAAGACCAAGCTAAAGGGTTCTGGACTGTTCATCTCAGAGTCTCTCACTCCTCGCCGTCGGGCAATGTTCTCTGATCTACTGCAGCTGAAGAAGGAGGGGATCATTTTCTCCGTCTTCACGAGGTCCGGAGACATTCTAGAATCTAGTGTGTCGGTCACGTGACTGTGCACCCATTCGCATCGTAGACCCCGAGGCGGTGCGTCAGTTGGCGGAGACGAGTGCCCCTCCCCTCCCCACTTATTACAAAAGCATTATGTTCAAATGAAACCCACCTTCTTCTAGCATATCAAAGTAGAGCTGTTTGTTCCTGCCGAGCGCAGTGAGTGTGACAGTCTCCCACGGAACTCCCATCTGGAAGTCAGTGGTGTGCTGCTCACGGTTCCTTTCCACCCGGATCCAGGTCTTGTTGTATCTGCAGAAATGAAGTCCATATCTGGTTCATAGCTTTTCAAAGAACTAAATAAGCAAGTCAATGGCTCACTACTTCAGCTTCAGTATTTCGAGTGGTGAGTGTATGACAATTAGGCTGTCCATTGGTAAGAAAATGAGCCCCAAGGCCCAATCAACCCATGCTCTTTCAGTTAGGTTTGGATAAATATTTTTGCTGGCAGCATTGACAAAACATGGGCAACTATCAATCAGAGGTGATTGCACTGGGCCAGCCAACTATCATCTCAGTCCAACTTCCAAGTTGGTAGGTAGTCAAGACTTGAATTCAAAACTCAGTAAAAAGCAGGAGCACTTACCTCAGAAAGTGAACTCCAACACTGGGAATAAAGTCATAGTTTGTGGTTATCTTGCCACTGTCATGCTGCCTGTATGTGGTTTCAACGCTTAAGTGTTGTGTTTGCTTCGCACCTTTCTTTGTGATCCACTGAAGAAGCCACTGATAGCTCTTATCCTTGCATGGTACCTCTAGAGTCATCATATAATGTCTTCTGAACATGATCATGCCAACTTGTGATCCCTTTCTCAACATTGCAGCTCCCGCACCAACACCAAAAAGACCAAATCCAGCTCCAAAATATGGATTATCAGAGAGGGATGATATGAGGTCGGCAAACGGCATTATGATGATAAATGGTGAAAAACAGACCTAATTAGTTGCGGAATGCACAGACTGACGATCTCGACAAACAATAAAGCAAAAGTAATGCAGCCAATTGACACAAATATTCAAATTTTGAGTTCATCCTATACATGCTGCCTTTTGTGTCCTCCAAGCAGCAAATAATGAAACAACTGCGTAATGTTTGTATTCACAAAAACATCGCATACAGCTTATTTTTCAGGAACATTTTAAATGATAAAAAAATAAAGACCAATATGAGTTAAAAAAACAGTATATGGTGAAGATTCGTGGACTTAGAAAAACGACATAATAAACTAAAGCATATTTTGATTTTACAGAAATAACTTAAATTGTATAATTAAACGGCTCGCATAAAATAAGCTTGAAATGGCGCACATAAGACACGTGGAGGATGACATTCGCGAAGAGAAGTTGTTTTGATATTTCGGTCACGGCGGTGACGACGCTGTGTTTAGGCTGTGTCAGTGATTTTCAGCATTGTGCTAAATTTAATCTTTCATCAATTGAAGGGTGTGAATATGGCCGAAATGGGAAAAACTGGTGCACCACCACCTACGCCTGCTTTACCAACAACAGGCTCATCTTCCCCAAGCATGGGTGTCATCATTGCAATAATTGCAGTGGTTGTCAGCACAAGTAAGTTGAAAATTGCTGTTTTAATCATTGTGACATTGAATAATGCACCAGTGGTGTTCATTACTTTCCTGCATTCTGCAACAGTGATAACCATTTTCTTTTTGACTTACACACTACACAGCCATGTGGATGCAGCCCAGCCCTACCATATCAATATCCATATGTTCAATGTTATCACAGAAGTGTGGAGTAAAGTTAGGTTAGGGTGGCAGGGAATATGGTCAGCATTTACATGGAGTTGTACATCTAGAATTGATCATTTCGGGTTGCATTGCATCATTATTCTGCTCCACATTTTTTGTGCACTTGCATGTGTGGTAGAAATTAAAACTGCATTTTTTAGATTATGCTGGCCAATTAATGCACATTTCAAACTCAAATATTGTTAACTACATTGCAGTGCACAATGCTCAATTATATTTCTATGTCCCAGGCTTGATATTATCCATAACAATAGCTTCTGTTTCAAGTCATTTGAAGAACAAGGTAAGTTCTGATTAATAAGGTATTAGCTATAAAGCTTGTTAGATATGGACAAAGAACTTACCTGCAAAATGTTTTTTCAGTACTGCTTTTCTTGCTGCTGAAGAAGAGAGTTCAGCAGAGGTCTGTGTTGTTCTTGGGTCTCTGTGACAGTGGCAAAACATTGCTGCTGTCACACATTGGATACAATACATACAAAAACACACAGACTTCAATCAAACCAAATGAAGCAACCTATTCTCCAGATGGCAAGGTGAGAATGTGTACCCTGTAAGGCAAGATAAAATTAAGAAAGTGGGTGGATACAAGGCATGCTTAGTACTAAGTGTAGCTATATAAAAATATTGACACATAAACTGCTGACTAATTGAGCAATGCATCTTCATTAGGAAACTAGGGGCAATACCAGTTAGGTCGAGTCATTTATATTTTATATATTAGGTGAGTCTGTTAAAGGTCCAATTACTTTTACCAATCATGATCAAAATGTGTAGGTAGGTATTCATTTTGACAGAACCTTTTGTCTAGTTCCTGTTATATGGTCAGTGACCCAGACCTGATACTGACCTCTCTGATCCCCACGATCAGCGTCGGCTGGAGCTGGTGGACATCCCCGGCCACGAGCGGCTGCGGCAGACGGCGCTGGACCGCTACAAGGCCGGCACGCGCGGCCTCCTGTTCGTCGTGGACAGCACCACCGTGCAGAAGCAGCTCAAGGACGTGGCCGAGTACTTGTACACGGTGCTGACGGATCCGGCGGTGGCGGCGCTCCGGCCGCCGCTGCTCGTTCTCTGCAACAAACAGGACCAGATGCAGGCCAAGGGCGCCAGCCTCATCCGCACGCAGCTCGAACGAGAAATGTAAGATTATGGGGCTAGATATGATAGCTTCTCGGTCCTTTCGGTGCAAAGAAAAACGAGACAACTAACATGAGTCGACCGCTTTAATTCGTCACTTATTTAACAATATGCAGCAGACAAACATAAGTGATGTACGCTCGCGGCTCGACCTTTACCTGGTTTGATCTGATCCATTTGTCCACGTGTGACGTGTGACGTAGCTTTCTTATAACTTAATCATTGACGATCAGATGACTACTATATCTATCTACTACTCTATCAGAAGTCTATGACCTAATGCTTTGTCACTCATGAAAGCTCTTTCTTACCAGAGAAGTCTCCTGACACGCATCACTCTTGCAGCAACACGCTCCGCTGGACGAAATCGTCCAGTCTGCAGGGCACCGACGACTCGTCGACGACGGCCACTCTCGGCCGAGAGGGCGAGGACTTTGAGTTCTCCCACCTGCGCCAGCCGGTCGAGTTTGTCGAGGGCTCGTGCGGCGCCAACGAGGACGACGAGCCCAGTCTCGAGGCCGTCACTGAGTGGCTGAACATGCTGGCCTAGTGGGAGGGAAAGGTTCCTGCAGCCAATGGCGAGTTCCCTTGATCTGTGAGACGAAATTTGAAAATGAGTTTGAAGATGTGGGCGCAAGGCGCTAAGGTGAGCATAAGATATCGTGTGGTGAGCTGCTATGGGAGAGGACGGAGGAGATGTCTGAGAAGTGGGCTCAATGTTGGCGACAAGACGACCTGGAAACAGAAGATGTAAAAAAGATGCGTGTCCATGAACTGACAGATGTCATTTCATGGGTTCACGGGATGTCTGAAGACGAGGCTATGAGATAGTTGGGTGGGGGTGATATGTGCCTGTGGTGGGCAAGACTCGGTTGTGTGTCGCACGCGGTGGGATTGTGCGAAAAGCTGCCAATCGGAATCCTGTCGGACTGAAATGGTGTGGGTGCTTTACCAGGGAGACATTCGCGACGGCTGCTTTTCTATGTGGGTAAGGTTATTTATAGTATCGTTCGTTTGAACTTGTGCCACCGCATATTCTCTTGACAAGCTGAGCTAGTGTCGTGATGGATCCTGCGTCTCGTCTATAATAGTTAACTTTTCTGCTGCAAACTTCGGAAAAGTTAGAATCGCAGAAAGTTTAGACCACACCATTAAATCAGATAATTACCAAGTGATTCGGATTTTGTTCTTTTCAGGGGATGGTACTGAAAGTCCAACTACAATACAGTAAAACTTATATTGTCAACTTACAACCTGGTCGGCTGCACAGTGCGCCGTGTTAATATTCTTCGAAATTCATTCCAAGTAATTTTGTAGCAAATGTTGGTAAAAATGCATGCATATGGCATATCTGGCATGACGAATGCCGATGCTATTTTCAAAGTGTTTTCATTATCGCGTTGCAAATAGAGTCGTTATGTTCGAGTGCTCTTTATACGAAACTTTCTGCTTTGCTTTACCCGTAAATAAGTCGTGAAATTGTATGAGATATGTGTAAAACCCAAATAACATTTCGTTGAAAAAATGTATTTTAATTCCAAACATAACCAAAAAGTTGCGGCTAAACGCATACCTTACATTGTTATCTAGCTAAATAATATTACCTACATTTCAGACGAATGCTTTGAGTACTGTCATTTATTCTCCATAATATAACACAGGTAACTGTATATGATTGCAAAATATCGGCACATCAAGGGCGTGGGTGCATGGGCAGTGGGCACAGCCTGGTAGTGGCAGTGAACGGTGGAGCTTGGCGCGTAAAATATCACAGTTGATTTCAATAGCTCGGTGATCACTGACTATAGAATCAACAGGCAAGTAAAAACAGCAAAAATAACAGTGAGAGACACGTCATATATGCTCGAAAATGACGTTAGCATCGTGCCATATCACAACTTCTGCGTCGATTTTCTTGTTGTTGTCTTGCATTTTCTTCAGCTCCTCCTCGAGCCTGTACCCAGCTCGGGCGAAAATAACGTCATTTTTGCCCAGTTTCAGGCACGGACAGACGTCGTTCTTGCCGTCGCCGACATACAGGACACGGTCGTACTTTCTCCTGGCACCAGTCATACGATCCAGGTGCAGCTTGAGCGCGTCACCTTTACAGAGGTTTCGCTCGCAGATGCCGCACGTTTCCTGGTCGGTGAATGGCGTCACCACCAGCCGACCGTCCTGGTCAAAGTTGGCCGGATTGGTGAAGATGTTCATGATACGGTCGTACAGACCATGCGTCTCTAGGATGTGTTGGATAAACACAGAGTTTGAGTCGGAGATAATGATGATGTCTATGTTTTCTGGTACGCTGAAAAGCATTGTGTCCATGCCGGGAGCCAGCTTCATGGAAGCCACACAATTGAGGATGTCAACGGGCGTGCGACCGAGTTCAAAGAGATAATCAAAAACATCCTGCATCAGGTGAGTCCAAAGCTTATCTCGTGCGCCAGTGATGGATTCGGGCACCTTGCCATCCTCGCCTAGCCTCCAAACGTATGTGTCTGTATTGTCGTCCACTATGGTGTGATCAAAGTCCATCACCAGGAGGGAAACATCAGTGTGTTTCTCAGCTGTTGCATGTTTCTTTGTCTTACTTCCCCCAGGTTTGGATTTTCCAACACTTGATTTTCTCATTTGGAAGCCTGTAAAGAAATTGCCATCAAAACCAACATAGTTTCTTTATGATGAAGCCATGTCGTCAGTGCCTACAAGCCTAAACACAGGTAAGTACCAACTTATAAAATTATGAGGTACTGATGAAAAACTATCACTTACCAAATGACAAAACTATTGATTAAACATTTTGAATTTATTCAATGGTTAAAAAGTGACCCTCTTAGGGAACTAACTAAATCACCTAAACAACTGATTAATTGGGCAAGTGGAAAATTATATCACCATCAGGTAGATAAAAATATTTACTTGCTCTCAAATACGAATATTTGATTAAATATACCAGAAGTATCTTCAAAATTTTAAGTACTAGCACACAGATCAATTATGAAAAATCAAATAACAATTAGAGACAAACAGGTGAGTCAATACACAGTTCAGCATCTTTGTAATCATTTTGTAAATAGCATGAAGTATATTTTTTAATTTAATAAAAAATTCATTGATTTACATCCATTCTTTACACAATAAGATAAACTAAATTATTTTTCTCTGAACACCACTGTCGCTGGAGAATTTTGCCGCATTCAATGTCTACTGGACAACAAAGATTTTATGTCATCCGGCCAATACCATTCAATGTCAGCACTAAGCAGGAGCTGAGTTGCAGCTGTCAAACTTGAACCGCATTTGCTAGACAGCGTACAATTGTAATCTTTGCCCTCTTAATGTGTATAATTTAAGTAATAAATGGGCTCCTACAATGAAGAAGAGCTGTAAGGAAAGGTCCAAGGCCATATAACCGAAAGTTTGTGCAAGATTAGTTCCACTTTTATTTGTTTAATTAATGTTTAAAACAAACTGCAATAGGAAAATTTCCCTGATTTTGATTTGCCCAGAAATGAAATCAAAATCTAACGACTCCTTGGGATGTGATGCCCTATTCCTACAGTCATCGAATGTATCGAATAAAAAAGGGAATATGAAAGAAACACTTAACTGTGTGATGTATAGTCCACAGCTGCAGTGCTTGAAACCCGAAAATATTATGTAAAACAGTTCAATTTTCCATTCATTTATATTAAAATCGTACTATGCACAAAAGTGCGGCATTAAATGTCGCATACAAGCAGCTTTTGTATTCGAAGGTAGCTTGAAGGAAACTCCCTACGACAGAAAAAAAGTCTTCATCGGAAATACTTTTTTGCATTTGCGAGATATTTTTAATATAAAAACATTTTAAAAATATTAGAAAATTGGCCTCACACCTTTTTAACTCAAAGTTCACGCAATCGATCATGCAGATGCTACCAAAAAGCTGTTACATAATGAAATTACATATGGTAGCACTGTTCCTCAATTTTAGGAAGGCTTGCGTACGCGTAACCGATAGTTGATATTCGATCGTGAGAATTTTACTGAGGAGGATTTACGGCACGCTTTGAGCTGCTGAGTGGTGTTTTCGGCTATCTGCCTGGTGTTTTAAGCTATCAAGTAGATATCTGCGTCTTCTTCTCTTCTGAAAAATGACTACGGCTGCTGTGAAATCTGGTCTTTTGGCCGGAAACTTCGGCCTTATTTGTGGGCAAAGTCTGGTAAGCACTGATGACCATGACCCATAAATCAAAATAGGCTGCACACCCACACCCCCACCTTGTTGTTTTGTTGGGTTAGGCCCTTCGGTTCAATGGGACCATTTCAGAGCCGGGAGGATGATAGGATATAGGTGGAGACATTGGTGTGGGCAGGCACCCTACCACTACTGAGTCAGTCACCGGGGCTGAACCCGTCCAGAGGACAGGCCACCCAGCCCCAAGGTACTTATTACACCTGGCTGTGGGGTGCGCACTGCGCTGCGCTCCCTCGGGAGCTGCGTTGCTGCTGTTAGATTCTGGGAGCGTATTTTCCTTTCTTATATTAAATAGGGTCAACTTCTTGGAGGTAAGCTATGGTATTTCTGAGCATGATTAATAATGTAAATAGAGTGAATAACCTTATGCTCATGTTATATGTTGCAAATTGTTAGTTTTAATTATATCAATTTGCAACATATAACATGAGCATAAGGTTATTCACTCTATTTACATTAGGGTATTCAACATTATTTTATCACCCATGTTAATGTGCAGGTATCTGTGTTTACTCACCTGGTTACTGGTGCATAGCTTTTCCTAAGTTTTCCTATAATTAACTGGTCTTCGCAGCTAATTAAATCTTAGATTCTAAAGTTTGTGCAATTTTCAGAGACCATTATGTGCTATCCTTAAACTACAGGAAGATGGATTATAGAGGTTCCCTCATGTCATTTGCCTTGAAGAAAAATAAATTTTGGTTCTTTTTTAGCACAATTGTATTTTTTGGTTCAATTTAAGAACCTGACTCAGCATTCAGCAATGTTACATAGACTGGTTGTGATCAGTTTGATGACACTGGGATCAGCATGCGTATGACACTGAGATCCTATCCAAGTATTTTGAATGACTCAACATTTTGTTTGCCTCTACTTTCCTGTCATCTATCATGCCTGGAATCAGGAATGCATACTGATGATGCTCAAATGATTAACCTGTTGTTGATAATCAATGCCTTTATGTGCATATACCTTGAGTAAATATTTTGGTCCTTACCTTACTAGGCTCTGACTGAATGATGCTGCAAAGCAGGGCAATGTTATGTTCTGTTTGATAAAGCAAACTGTCTCCTTTATGCCTTGAATGTTCTCAATCTTAACATTCTGAACTAAGTTTCATGGTTCTGTTATTGTTTATTATCTCTGTTTGAACTTGTTCAATGCCAAAGGTAAGTGAAGAAGGCCATTGTTGAATAACACTCCCAAAGTTACTTAAATAATTTTTTATTTTGAAGCATCATACTGGAATGAGCAGGTTCATTATTTTACGCCGGTCCTCCTGTCATTATCATCCTGTCCTGTCATTACGCCGGTCCCGTAGCTCAGTTGGTTAGAGCGTTGGACTCCGCGTGGTGAGAGCACGCGTTCCCGGTTATGACAGTCCGGGTTCGAAGCGCGACGGGCGCTCGACATTTATGGGCCTCCTGACAGGTATGGTTGCGGTTGGTGGCAGGCCGTAGCCAGGCGAAGTCAGCGAGGGGACCGGCCGTGCGCGGCTTTGTGCGCACGTTAAACTTTGGACTCTAAATTCTGCCATAGAATCGGAATTGCGCGATCGGAGGGTAGAGGGCAGGGTCATCGCAACAAGCTTCGCTTAGCGGTGGCTCTGTCCTTGTGATTCCTTCCCATCAAAAGGTTCGGACTAAATTTAAAAAAAAAAAAAATTATTTCCTATTTTTCAATGCATTGTAAAGGTAAAGGTGTTTTCCAATTGTATGTGAGCTGCACTGGATGGTCATGACTTGCTTTTGTGTCAGGTCCGTGGGGCCCAGACGGCGGCGGCGGCCAACCCTGCTTCTCAGCGGCGCATTAAGCAGTTTTCCATCTACCGATGGAACCCAGACAAGCCTGGAGACAAGCCCCACATGCAGGCAAGTAGCATACATCATTTGGCAGCTGGTTGTTCAGTGTTCACCATTACTGTCCACTTGTCAGAGACAAACAGTAATGTCGGTATCATGCTGGTTTTGTGTGTGAATCTTTTTCACACACTTGGGAAGGAATTTTCGTTTGAAATCGATGTCTTACAGCCCAGTTCTTCTAATCATCCTTTGTTTCTCCTTTACCGTCAAACATTACTTACAACTTCATGGCCTGCAGACCTACGATGTCGACCTCAACTCGTGCGGGCCCATGCTTCTCGACGCCCTCATCAAGATCAAGAACGAGATGGACCCGACGCTGACGTTCCGGCGCTCGTGCCGTGAGGGCATCTGCGGCTCGTGCTCGATGAACATCGGCGGTGTCAACACCCTGGCCTGCATCAGGTTAGACTGGCGAGCGAGCGCCGGGTAACTCGGCTCGCACTCTGCTCAACAATGTATGACCTTCTTAACTTCAAACTTTTTTGTATGATACGATTTGGTTCTGCTGAAACAAGTTTGACATTTGAATGTCGATGTTCAAGCCTGTATCGTGATCGATGCTGATGTGTTGCGGACTGATGCCTGACGCGAGGTGTCGCCTCCGTCCGACAGTAAGATCGACACGAACCTGTCGAAGCCGACCAAGGTGTACCCGCTGCCGCACATGTACGTCATCAAGGACCTGGTGCCGGACATGAACAACTTCTACGAGCAGTACCGCAGCATCCAGCCGTGGCTGCAGCGCGCCGACGCCAAGGGACGCGAAAAGGAGTTCCTCCAGAGCGTCGACGACCGAAAGAAACTGGTAAGGGCCGCTAATAGATCAGGCTGATGGTTTCATTGATTCAAGGGTGCAGCTGCTTGTCAGTGTGTAATTATCGTTCTTCTCTGACAATGCTAGCTAATAGCTACCCAAATCACCTATGATGTCTCTCGCATCGTAAAGAGTACGAAGGCGAAAGGGGCATCATTTTATATATTTTCGACGTTTAGTAAGCTTGTTTTTGACGGTTGTTCTGACGGCTTATGTGATAAGTTTGAACGGGTTGCGGTTCTCACATCGTAAAAATGAGAACAAAAAATCGTTCGGAGTCTAGTAGACCAGCAGGCTTTACCCGTCCGTCACAAACGTCTTTACCAGTGACGGCTGTGACGCTCCTCCCCTCCCGTCGACAGGACGGTCTGTACGAGTGCATCCTGTGCGCGTGCTGCAGCACCTCGTGTCCGTCCTACTGGTGGAACGGCGACAAGTACCTGGGACCGGCTGTCCTGATGCAGGTACGTCGGGTATAGTCGGGGCAGAGAGGGCCGTCCGTGTTCAATTTTTGTCACCTGAGATTGGCGTCGGATATTGTTCGGTTTGTTACTCAACAACATTTGTCAGCGGTGTTCGGTAGCGATCGTTTGTTCACGGTACGACTATGGATAGGTGGATGGCATTTGTTGATGTGTATGTATGAATCCGTCGCATGTTTCTGTGCGCGGATGGGAACTTCGAAGGCGAATTTCACGGTTACGTATGCTATGAGACGTCCGTTGTGTCTTTGGAACGCATCGGTTCATTTTATTTCGACTGATGTGAAGGGTTGCGTCAGGCAAGCATTTATTGAACCGTGTCACGATCTGGAATATGTAAACACATCCGCTGCATATTCCAAGACTGTGCCAACAGCTGGTGAGTTACCGGTCGCTGCGCTCACCCCCTCCCCGCCTCTGCCCGCCTATGACGTCACCTTCTGCTGACCTTCAGGCGTACCGTTGGATCATCGACTCCCGTGACACGGCTACAGAGGAGCGGCTGGGACGCATCCGCGACCCCTTCTCCGTCTTCAAGTGTCACACCATCATGAACTGCACCAAGACCTGCCCCAAGGTCGGTGAAACCGCCCTTCAACGGCTCGGGGATTTCATTCATTGGGTCTCTTTTACATTCAATATTTGGATACGTTCATCAATTTTACCATCTCAACTGTCAGCTTGAAGTCGAGTGTAAAAAACCATGTTTGATCGGTAGCTATTCTCATTGTGCTGAAGCCAGAGACGCCGCGTCCTCTATTCGATAACACGCTCGATACTGGCAGCCGCCTATGTCATTACGTCAACGTTACGTAACACCCTCCACTGGCAGCCGCGCCCCACCCGTCCCCACTCTAACAAAACACCACTCCCGCCTGACGCCGCCCCTCCCCCCGCCCCCCAGGGCCTCAACCCCGGCCTGGCCATCGCCGAGATCAAGAAACTTCTGTCCGGCATTGCTAAGAAGCAGGAGCCCGGCCTGGCCACCACAGGCACCGCTTAATGCCGCTTTAGAGACAGACTTTATGTGCTTCGTAGTTGGTTTGGCCCGACCAGACCGCAGCAAAGACGACTCGGGCTATCCGAAGGAAGATGTGTCAGGCGCCGAGCGGTGCGCGAGTAACTGAACAGTGGTGTCGGTGTGATATTTTGTTCGGCCAGCGGCGAGTGAGGCTCGGCCAAACTTGTGCTGGCTCGCTTCGCTCTGTTTGACTTGAACGACTGCGCGGGTGGGCTATCACATGTTGTATATACATATATAATATAATATGCGCTCCCCGTGGAACATTTGGATAATACGACGATCTGCACACACGTAATAGCGACCAGCGAACGGGAGTCGTGCGCAGACTCCACGATAAATGCGAGCGTTGCCGGTCAAACGCCTAGGCTCTCTGGTCCGCCCGGTAAATGCCATATTCGCGGAGCGGTCCACCAGTCCGACCAGACCAAAGACGCAGCACATGTTGCGTCATCGGGGAGCGACTCTGGGTCACCGGTGCACGTCTGTCCGTCACCGGCCGCTGCAGACGGCGGCGCACAAACACCAGCTGGGTGCGGGCCAGCTGGCACGGCCGCCTCACCCCGCCACGGTGCCAACCATTACCTAACGGACCCTATGCGCCGCCGAACAGGCACGTCACCGACAGACACCGAGAGACGAGCGGCACAGCGCCCGCGGACACAGCCTGAGAACGGAGCGGGCCGCACGCCGGCTCCGAGAAACATCACAACACGCCGCGGCAAGGCGATAATGCACACGGCGCTTCTCGATATAGATCGGCAACGTATGATAAACCTTGTAAGGCTGCCAATTATACATCGCGTGAGTGCAACAACGTCATAGCATGGCATAATCGTACATTCTTCTGTAACATCGGATCACGACGGAAGAGCAGTAACACCGGAACACAAACTGTGTGTGCTGTCACACAAGACGCGGAATCAAAACGCAGTGAGAACAACACATACAAGTAACACAGTGCGATAATACCGATATACGTAGTCTATGGCGCTAGCGCCGAACACATAGTTGCATACCGAAGGCGAAGTAATGGCATACATCGCAATGGCTGTCGCATTCGTCGCGCAAGCAGCGATACGGAGTCGCACCCGGTACGAGGCGTGTCGATCGGACTCCACTACATCGAGCACGAAACTACCGAACTGAGTCGTCCCAACAGTCAACAGCTGCGCGTACCGAGTCACCAGAGGCATGAAGGAGCTTAGCACACACGGTAGAACGCGCGCTAGTTCAGCTGCGGAGGCAGGAAGACACCCAGAGGCGGTCGGCGTATTGCACGGGCGTCACCAGAGCCGCCTGCCGGTCGGACGGGGAACTACTAGGCTCCGGAAGGCGGCCGACACGGGAGCTTGGATGTCTCATGTCTGACTCTTGATCACATCACAAGCGAGAGTGACTGTGGGGAAACCGGCTAGGTTTTAGTAGAAATCATCACAGAACGTGAGTCATCAGTGCACATAAATAATAGTCTTGCCCAAGTTCTAAGCGATGCATGAAAGCTCAATATCGGCCTTTCTGCCCGTCAAGCCAGACATCCAGCTTCAACCATGAGTCCCAGTCCTGCTCCTGCCACTTGCGACCCATCAGCTCTTCCCATATGATCATGTCACGCCTGTGCTCCAACTTTCACCCATGCCGTACCGTAAAACACCCATCACAACCCCTCCACCCCCGCCCCGACCCGGCCGGTCTCCCGGAGGCTCACCCGTGCCTACAGCCTTCCGTCGATGGCCGAGTAGAACAGAATGTAGCCGGCTGAGCTCTGCACACTGCCGCTGTTCAGCTGGTACACCTCGTGGTCATCAAACTTGTGCCAGCGCCCCGTGTTGGGCGCGCGGCAGAAAGCCGTGTAGTGGCCGCTCTCCATCGACCCAAAGTGGTTCACCACGCCGTACAGGTGGTACTTGTGGTGGCGGTAGCGCGCCTGGCGATCGGAAAAGGAACGAGGCGGGTCAGTGAAGGACGACAGATCGGTGGCCATTCACGCTTATTGATAGGGGATGACGGTTCTTGCATTGGCAGCTCACATCGTCACATAATTAACGTCGATGGTTTACATCTTTTATTCTAAAGATTACAAGAAACGAAATATGTTCACCAATGAAAAATTGAAACAACCAGCACCTGTGGTAACAGTTTGACAGTTGAATGAGAAGTGAATACAAGCTTAACAGAAAATGCCACGATGTCCCACTCACATCCTTGTTGATGACGTAGGGTGACATGTCCAGGTTCTCCAGAGGGAACTGCACGTTCGACTGCTTCTTCCTCCACAGACCATCGTTATAGAAGCTAAGGGAAGACGAACCATATAGCAATCAGCTCATCAGTGTTCAGGATCAGCTGATGAAGGAAATTCAGTGGATTCGTTTAAAAACGCCGCTCTTACAAAGAAATCAAAAGCACCAAGCCCGATTAGACAGAAAACGAAAATGCATCTAGCAAAACGCAGACTCCGCACCAATCGTGCGCTTGCACATCGTCAAAAAAAGCTCTCGCCTACCACAGAAAACATTGCTGACTTTTCACGCAAAAGATCGCTCTTCAAAACCACTGTCATGACAAAATATCGTAGATATATTCTGCATATTATTGACGACTTTCGTCAAAATTCAAAACGATTCTGGTCCCTTCTCAGGTCGACTAAATCGTCAACGCGCACTGTGCCTGTTCTCAGAGTCAATGGTCGTGATGTGACGGATGACTTTGAGCGAGCTGAGTGCCTTAATCGCACTTTTTCCTCTAAATTCTCGGATCCAGTTGTAAATGAACTGCCAGACGTTACATCTTACCACATTGACGCACTGTCCGATTTTAATGTCACTTATGATTCCGTCTTGAATCTGCTGATGTCTCAAAATATCCACAAGGCGTGTGGGCCAGATGGACTCAGTGCTCGCATCCTGCGTGAGTGTGCTGAAGAAATAGCTGTGCCTTTGACCAAAATTTGCATTTTTTCTTATCAGCAAGGAAAATTTCCAAGCACATGGAAGCGCGCACATGTCATTCCAGTTTACAAAAAAGGTGATAAGAAGGATCCCAACAACTACAGGCCAATTTCCCTCCTACCTATCTGCTCTAAAATCCTTGAGCGCATCACATGTGACCAGCTGCTGCACCACGTGTCACCAGTTATTTCCCCGGCTCAGCACGGTTTCATCCCCCGTCGTTCCTGCAACACCAACCTTGCCTGCCTTGTTAAACGTGTGTGGGACTCGATTGCCGAGGGACTCCAGACTGATGTCATTTATACAGATTTCTCATCGGCTTTCACCAGTGTCAACCATTCTCTTCTCCTTCACAAACTCCAAAATTCCTACCATCTGTCGGGTGCTGCTCTTCGGTGGTTCGAGTCCTATCTGCGCGGGAGAGAGCAGTGCGTTGTGTTGAACGGACGAAGGTCCTCCTGGGTGCCGGCTGTGTCGGGGGTGCCGGAAGGCAGTATATGTGGGCCAATTTTGTTCGTTTTATTCTGCAATGATATCCCGTCGCATATGTCTTCAACATGTCTTATGTATGCAGACGACTTGAAACTTTGTAAGCGTATTCGCTCTCCCGAAGATGCTGTCGCCCTTCAAACCGATCTAGAAAATCTTTGTACGTGGTCTGACATCTGGAAGCTAAAGCTAAATCCCGAAAAATGCAAAGCAGTAACTTTCTCTCTGCGTACAAAGCCAATTACGACGCCATACTTCATCCATTGCGTTACTTTAAATCGTGTATCGGAGATTCGTGATCTGGGTGTCATACTGGACTCAAAATTAACCTTTGCATCCCACATTGACAGCATCGTTGGGAGGGCGAATCGCGCCCTAGGAATTTATCTGCGATCAGTGCAGACATCTCGTGTTTCGGCGGGTCGTAGGCTCAAGCCTGGCCCCCTCATTACGGCCTTTAACGCGCATGTGCGTTCAGTACTAGAGTTTGGCTGCGTCATCTGGTCTGGGGCCGCCAAATCGCACATAGTGCGACTGGACAGAGTCCAGCACAAGTTTTTAATGTGGTTGGCCGTAAACTCTAGCAAACCATCTGATTCATTGGACTATGCACACCTGCTCAATCACTTTAAGGTTCAACGAATCACAAGTCGACTGTTACAGCACGATCTTACCTTCTTACATGGTGTGTTTAACGGCAGATTCGATGCGACTGACATTGTAAGCATGTTTGCTTTTGCAGTCCCAGCTAGACTTACTCGATCACGACCAATTTTGCACGTCCCCGTGGCTCGAGTTGAAACGATCAGAAATGGAATGTTCTGTCGGTTGCCGCGCCTAGCCAACTCCTTATACCAGACAATGCCGAGCTCTGATCTGTTTACAAATCGATCATCTTTTAGGAAGTGTGTATTGGCGTTTCTTAGCTCTCGGTGAGCCCTGTACATAAATGTGGCATTTTTTATTAGTGTTATTTGTGCTTTTACTTTTTAACTCCGTCTTTTATTGGGTTTTGTGCCTGTTGACGGTTTCAATAAATACAAATAGTGGACTCCTCAATGGATGCAGGTGCATTTGGCATGCCATCTCTTTTGACTGATCAGCTGTACCAGAGTCTACTAACCTAAACTGAATTCAATCTTACCAGAACCGCACACACGCCAAACAGCTTTCCTATAAAGCTATCATTCATGGCCTTCCCTTGCCCCACCCTGACCTTACAATGGCCCTATTGTGCCCTACCATACCCGCGCCATGCCCCTTCGTGACCCTGTTGTGCCCAGATTCCTCACCGTTGTATGTGTATGATGAGCACCGGCGGGAGGCGCCAGATGTCCAGTCGTTTGGTGGCCTCGATGCTGCTCTTGCACTTTGGACAGGTCCAGCCACTGATGGTGTCTCCAGCCATGTACAGCTGGATACACTCGCTCAGGGAGCATCGGCTCGACCTGACGGCATATTCAGAAGCCGCGGCGGGTTATACCCGGTCATTAGCTTGTCTAGGGGTGATGCCAGAGGCCGTAACAGGCCACTGTCTGCTGCATCTATAGATGGTAATCAAACAGGTCACATGATATTGATAAGTCAGGCAGCCATACTTAAGTCAGGGATCACCCAGAAATGGGAGGGTAATAGTCAACAAACTAAAATCATCGGCGCCAATATGTCACCATAGGCCATGCCGAGACATCGACAGGTTACAGAGCGGAGGTCAAAGGTCACTATGGGTCCCAATCATGGGTTATCGGCGATCCACAATGGATCATTGAATGTCGTACAAATTAGAGGTGGCAAAATGTGGACCCGAGGACCCGGTCCAAAGAACCAGTCTGGACCCATATGGGTCCAGACCGGTTCCTGGAAATTTTCTGACGGGTCCAACCGGGTCCTACCATAAACTATACATCTTGCACACTACACATTATTGCAAAATATGAAGTGAATGAAGTGAATGTTTCTTTGCACACAGTAGCGCATGAGTATTCCCAGTGGGAAATAGGCTGTTTTACATGATACAACTAACGATACCTACAAGTAGTTTGTATTAATTGACTTTTGGGGAACGGGTCCAACTGGTTCCGGTTCCAACTACGACCGGGTCCGACTGGTTCCAGAAATGTCCAGCCGGGTCTGGTTCGAGTCTGGTTCTCAAAATTTTCATCTTTTGCCACCTCTAGTACAAATTCATGCACGATGAAGTGCCAGTATCATAAAACGTTACCACTCATATCGGGATGTGTTGATAAGACGTCATACCGCATCACACTGAGTGCATGAAGCAGTGTCGCCTGAGATCTCAGACATTGCACGTGATCCACAGTTCGACAGCAGCAGGCCAAAAGACCACAATTAAATCGTAAAAGATTCAAGCGAACTCGTCCGGCATAACTTCATCATTAACTTCTCGAGGAAATGCAGCTATAAATATGCACGTCACGCCTGCAGCTACTAGATTCAGCTCATTCTCACCCTGCGGCGCTATTCCGCCAGTTGATGTCTCACCTGGCTGGCATCGGCACGGAGAGGTGTGAAAACGTCTCAAACTTGACCGACTGGTTGCCGCAGCGGGAGCAGCGCAGCGTCGACTTGTGCTGCCCCCAGAACAGGTTCAGGATGAACGACCGGTTGCTGCCCTTGAAGTCGTCCCAGGCCAGCTTGGCGGCACGAGCGTCCGGGACGCCGTCATTCTCCTGCTCCTGTTGACAAGATGAGCTAGTGATAACATCAACAGGTAATTGTAAATAACCGCAAATATACAAATACAGAAAAAACGTATAAATACACAAAACAGTATTACGCTAAATATTCTATTACTTCATTTTAGCGTTATGTTACAACACTAGCACGGAGTGTTTAAAAAAAGTTAATTGAGCGCCTAAAAAGGGTAAAAGCAACGATGCAATTGAAAAAAAACACTATGTACATTGTACAATGAACCCGAGCAGTTGCCTACCAATTACACTTATCTAACCGTTCTGCTTACTTTGAGTGGCTGTTTCCGGTGCACCTCGTTCAGGTCCTCGTGCAGAAAGTCGAGCAGGTACATCAGAAACTCGTGCGCGTCTTGCTGCGCCGAGCCGCGGAACCGGCCGTGGTGCCGGCCCATCACGTCCTTGAGGTCATAGAGCGCCACTGACCTACCAACGGGCACAGCGACACGGTCAGGTCACGCCGGAGTAGAAAGCGTTGGTAGGAGAGGGGAAAATGATGCTATATAGATAGACAGAAAGGAAATAGGTGACAAGATTTGGTGAAACCATTTCAACGACAATCCTTACTTTGTTGCGATGCCAACTCAGCCAAGGCAAATGGCAGAGGGTCACTCATTGCCTACTGATAACTCAAAAGCTTCGCAACACATTTATAGCACCACTTAGCTTTTGAGTTTAGCATCTAGCATATAACGGCAAATATGTTATAAACGGCAGTATTGGACCTAAAACAATACATCCATCCATCTCCTGCCGCCCAGTCCGCTCGCCCAGCTCCCAGTCCGTGCCGCACCTGTAGTGTCCGCTCCAGAGCACCTTGACGGCTGCGGCCAGCTCCTGCGCCGCCTCGCCGCGCGACAGCTCGCTGTCGTAGTTGATAAAGTCCTGGTATCTCTCGTTGACAAAGAACTCGCTCAGGCCGGGCGTGTTGTTTATGCACTGCACCACGGCGTTCATGTAACAGGTGTTACCCAGGTTCTTCAGCCCGGTGAGGGCCGGTGCCACGGAGCCGTACGACGGAGCGAAGTGGCGAGTCCGGGCCGCCTGGATGGAACAGAGAGCGAACGGAACGTCAGGAGATGCAGCTACTGAATTTTTGACGTTCAAGAAACAACGCTGACAAATGAATATACCTAAGCCGCGAGGAGCATGCAGAGGTAAAATTTTGAACTTTAAGTGGAATTACCGTAAGCATCTTAAATAAAGTCACGAAAACGTCATTACCAAAGGAATAAATGCTTTGATTGGAAATGGTAACAAAAAACGCAAGTGTGTGCAACGGTAGCATATCAGTCCATCCTAAAGAATCGGAGTTTGCCGTTTCGCCCATGCTAAATGTTACCAATCCACATCCCGTCCGCCGGCTCACCTGCACGTCGCCGCGCTGTGTGCGCACCAGCGGCTTGGTCTCTCGGCTGAAGGCGGGCGGCGCGCGATCGGCGGCCGGCGCGCCCGCCTGCTCCTGGCCGAGTCCGGCGATAAACGGTGACGAGTGGGAGCGCTTCAGCCTGCCGCCGCCGCCGCCGCCGTCCCCCCGCAGCGGGGCGCGGTGCGTCTCGCCGTCCCTCCGCTCCTGGCGCCGCTCCTGCTCCTCCAGCCGGCGCTCCTGCTCCTCCAGTCGGCGCTGCTCCTCTGCAGCTGCCCGCCTCCGCCGCCGCTCCTCCGCCGCCTGTTCTTCCGCCAGTCGCGCGCGGTTCGCCTCCTCCTCCGCCAGTTTCCTCCGCTTGGCTTCCTCCTCCTCCTCCAGCCGCCTCTTCCGCGCCTCCTCCTCCTCCAATCTCTTCCTCCTCGCCTCCTCCTCCAGCGCTTTTCTCTTGGCCTCATCCTCCGCGCGTCTCCGCCGGTCCTCCTCGGCCCGCGCGGCCGCCTCTCTCTCCGTCCTCCTGCGCGTCTCCTCTCGCTCCTGGTCGCGCTGCCGGGCCCTCTGCGCCGCCTCCAGCTGCTCGGCCACCCGCGCCTGCTCGGCCTGCAGCTCCTGCAGTCGTCGGTCGGACGCCGTCCCGTCTGAGCCGCTCTCGGCGGCCGGGCCGTCCGTCACCGCCGCGGGCGACTCGTACGCCGCCAGCCGCAGTCGCAGCGCCTCGTTGTCCGCTCTGATGGGGAGGATGGAACCTACGTCAGTGGTTTGTAGTCATAGTAATCACTCATGGATCTCAGCAGCTGTCAGGGGCATCAGGACGGGTCCCCGGCTGCAGATCAAGGTCGATATCCCCACCCCTGTGCAAACCGATATCGGCATACCCGCGCGAGAAAACCTCTGAAAAGGAGCGCAACAGAGATGCCAACTTGTCCCGCTGCCCCGCCGAGAGCGGCTCCCCGATCACGAACTCAGCGAGCACGTCATCATGCTGCCGCTGACGAATCGGCCGTCATCAGCCGACACTGCGTTCACCTCAAAACTGTTTGCCTGGTCAGGCATGAGGGACTATACATGCTAAACACGCTCAATAAACCTGATCACACGGTGGCGGTGATACAGCCAAACGCGGAATCGAGTGTGTGAGCTGGCGACGGCCGCCAATAGTGACAGCAGCTTTATTTGTTCATTCTGAAACAATTTGGTTGCGTAAAAAAGAAAACAGAAGCCCACAAATTCCATTCAATTTGCTTAAAGACGATAACATGACTGGCTGATAAGCGATTCGACCCGCTGCAGGCTTCAGCTACCATACCTATCCAACTATATCTGAGAAACTTGACCGTGCCTATCGACGTGGCGCAATCAGTACCGTTATCTTCGGGCAAGATTTTACAAAGAATAAAACAGGACAAATAAAACAGTATCATTACAATATCCACTCAAAAGGCTTCACATTTTATTTACACACCCAAATCTGCCAAAAGCAGGGCTTGTTATGCTCGCCGAATGGCGTTCGCGTTGTGCGGCGAACTTGCCACGCCTGTGGCCCGAGAATCGGTGAACAAAAGTGGCTGTGCCGGGATTCGATCGCCCCGCCCAGACGCTTGTCATTTCACAAGAGTTTATACACCAAATAACGAAAATTGGAAAATTGTCGGGTGGGAGCAAGAAACCCCGTCCCATATATTTGCCGGGGTAATGGCGGCTGTGTAAAACGCGTGCTCCAGGCGAGGCTCGAACTCGCAACCCCGGCATAACTCAGTACTGTCGTATAAGTACCGTGCGCTAACCGATTGCGCCACTGGAGCCGCCGGCCGAGAGTGACGTAAGATACCAACTAACCCATGTAGCTCATGTGTGACTGACCTGAGGTCAGCCTGGCGCGCCTCCCAGGCAGTTTGCTCCTTCTCCAGCCGCTGGATTTCGGCCAGCAGTATCTCCTCCTTCTGCTGGAGTTGCGCCCGCATTTCCGACTCCAACTGCTGCTCCCGAGACTGCCGGACGCGCTGCGAAAAAAAGTGCCGGTTGCGTGTCAATCGGTGTTGCAGGTCAAGCATCAGTACAGGTGACACACTAGAAGGACATGAGTGACTAAACCAAGTCACGTGGCTCCCAGCGTACTGCAGTAATATCCCATAATCGTGATAACGTTGCCGATTGTGCGGAAAGCTTATGACCGTATCATCAAAGATAACAGCTGCATGTGGGATACATGTCAAGAAGGCAATCTGTTGCTAGTTGCTTTGTGGTTTCTGCACCCTATCCGCGTTTCTATATCGCCTTAGCTCAGAGAAAGAGCATTAAATAGAAATATATGGCTAACACAAATACTATAACATCCTGCATGTATTGTGAATATGATAAAGAGATAAAATTTCAGCAAACAATGTGAGTTCACTTAAAAAAACGAATTCATCTGAATTTATCTGTATTAGGTTTACCATGCATTTATCTGTAACAGGCTGTGATGCCGAGTAATGTGAAAATTAGCGAGCCTTGCTGCTACCTAAATGCATCTGGTCACCTTGCACAACTGAACACTTAGCCTGTCAAAACCAAAGACGCTAAACGATCCCATCGATCCTTAATCATGCTTCTTCAGATCCACTCCCAAATTCGATCGATACCAGTCAAGACTCAAGATCCTTATCAATCCACGCACAAAGCCCTCCTATCTCCATCCAAAGTCGCTTATACTTGTCCGGATCCCCATTTCTGACCAAGTCCCCCATTCCCGTGCAGATTAGCTCAATCCCACTATCCCGGCCCTCCCGATCCCACTGTCCCGTCCTTCCCGATCCCACTGTTCCAGCCCTCCCGATCCCAATGTCCCGTCCCTCCCATCCCACTATCCCGTCCCTCCCGGCCCCACTGTCCCGTCCCTCCCGATCCCACTGTTCCGCTCCATCCAATCCCACTGTCCCGTCCCTCCCATCTCACTATCCCGCTCGACCCGATCCCACTATTCCAGCCCTCCCGATCCCACACCCGCCCCGACCCACCTGCCAGTCTCGCTCCGCCTCCAGCCGGTTCTTGCTGAGCTCGAGCAGCTGTCGGGTGGCCGACTCGTCCAGCTGCGGCTTCAGCGCCCTGGACGGCACGCCCGGCCGGGCGGACCGCGCGCCCGCCGCCCGCTCCGGCTGCTTTGACGGCTGGGAGGAAGATTGAGACGACGGCTGAGAGGAAGGTTGAGACGCCGGCTGAGGTCGTGAAATCTGTGTGAGCGCCGGGTTCCCGGTGGACGCTGGCGGCCAGGCCAGCCGCTCGCCTCCTGACGGCCTGACGCGCAGGTTTCGAATCCGCTCGAGGAGATCGTCGGCACGCTGCGTGGCGGCATCCAGGTCCACATCGCCGACAGTCGGCTGGCTGGGCCCAGCCGCCGGCGGATCGGACGGCTTCACAGAGCGGTCTATCGACGGCGCCGCAGCCGTTCCGGCGGCGGGCGGCGGAGTCGGCTCCTCTAGACTCGGGTACTCGAAGCTGAGCGGTACTTCGGCCTGGCGAGGAGCGGTGGACGGCGCGCGCGCCTGCGGGTTGGTCGTCAGCATGGGGTAGGTGTGCAGCCACATCTGGTAGCCGCCAGCCAGGGTGACGGGCCGCGCGCAGTACGCTGCCGTGTCCCACTTCACCATGGCGTCCCGGAGAGTGTCCAGCGGAGTACCGGCCTCCTCTGAGCCGCTCCAATCCACCAGCACCAGCCGGTCGACGGTGCGGCGGCGCGCGAACAGCTGCCGGCTGGGCTCGGGCAGCTGGGCCTCTAGCGCCGGCGCCGTCACCCCCGGGCGCACCATCTCGGCCGGCACGCTCACCACGAACCGAGAGACCAGTCGTGAGTCGGCAAAATCGGCCGCCGGCCGCACGTCCACGATCAGGTACGAGGTGCTCTCCTGTTTGATCAGCGAGTTGAGCGCCGTGCACGAGATGGTAGTCTCGACGTCGGCGGCGGCGGCGGCCGGCGAGGGCGTCGCGTCCGCAGCCGGCGGGATGACGGCCGTGTGGCTGGCGGATTTACCCACCGCAGCTTTACCACCGCCCCGCGCCGCCGCCTTGTCGTGCTTCTCCTGCTTCGCCAGCCTCTCCTGCTTCTCAATCAGCTTCTTGGCTTCCTCTTCTTCTAACCTGAGGGCGTAGCGGTTCTTCAAGTCCGTCTGCAGACGTTCGCACACACCCAGCGCCTGTTCAAACTTCTTCATACCCAACAGGCTGTTATAATACTTCTCATCCTTTTTGTACTCGGGTTTGCTACGGATCTGATTGTGTATTTCCATGTAGCGCATGAAGAGCACGAAGGCGCGCTCTTCGTCGCCCGCTCGCAGCGCCTCGGCGGCGCTTTTGTAGACGGTGTCGGCGGTGGCACAGCATGTTCGGGCCGGGGCACCCTTCACCAGGTCCAGCTTTCGGTAGATGAAGGAGTCCAGGCCGTCCAGGCTGGTTGCCATGTAGAGGGATTTGATCGGTTTGCCCGTGCTGAGACTCATCGTGAGTATTTCGCGGCAGATATTCTAGTCTGAAACTGAAACACGTCAAATTAGACAATGGTTCGAAGTGGAGCAGTTGATCATACCGATACATCCCTAGTCCACAAAAAAAAACAATACCAACTCCATGTTTTGTAGTTCAAATCATGTCGAGATTGATTCGTAAGCGCCGATGCAAAGTGGTTAGATACAAAAAGCGACATTTTATCAAAAGTAAAAGACTGAACATTACCGTGACCCATGAAATAAGCGACGCGAGTGCTAACAATAAAATGGTGTAAAAGAAATTTGTAACACAGCCAGTAACCAGTTTATCACAATGCGCACCAGACAACTTAGTTCGTACCTACCTGCAGATTTGCGATGCGAGTGACACAGTGTGCATCACATTGTGACACCAGTCATCAGGCGCAGGGTATTTAGCAGGGAGCTGTTCGTCATCGCCAATTGCCAAACACTGAAAGAGAAACAAAGTAGTACAAGCTACGGGCACCTGACATGGCTTCGTATTCAACGATTGATTTGATTAAGACCGTCAACTAGTTAGGAATACTTGTAATACGACACCTTGTGAATTTGTTGTAGGATTGTTACTGATTTACCGTGTCGTCGAAAATGCTCTTCCAGGCTATATTTTCAGCTACGATCTCATAAGTTATGGTTTGACGAGCAAAGCTGCCGATTATCATTCAACTGTAAGCTTCCGTCGGGTAGCCGGGAGGTTTTCGGCACCAGCCGGCATCCTTTCCGAACAATGAGTCGTTCTGCTCACGCGGGTTAGTTACAAGCGTCAGGAACATTCATAGCACCGGTCAAAGTCAAGGTCAGTTCAACCGCGAAATCGCGCAAGATCGCGAGATGCAAATCGGCGAGAGAACTGCCCCCTCCCCCCCCAAGCCTCCGACCAATAGACATATCATTAATTAACATAAACACTTTTGATTGATACACTGGGTCCTAAATCAACGCATCTGTGGGTTTCAGTGCGCTAATGCAGGGCAAACAGCCTTCCTCTAAGTCTAGGCTATATGCATAATTTGCACGGGAAGAGCAAAAAGAAAATGCCAACAAATAATAATAATAAAATACAGAAAGCAACAAAGAGAACCGGTGTCTATCACCCGCCTGTCCCGGCCGAGTCCACAGAGCGGGGCGTCCCACGACGTCACTGCCCGTAACCGGTCAATACCAAACTTGAAACCCAGATAGGTAATCAGTCAGCTAAACATGTCAGTCAGTTCCAAGTGATCGACCTACACAATGCAACCTGGACATCACGTTTTTAGAAACTTGCAAAACTTATGACATCTTTCCGAAGTTCTTACGGTTTAAACTGTACAGAAAGTCCTTATAACCTCCGTTGTTATCACCATGACTCCGTGGACAAAACGGCCAAATAGGTGTGTCTGTTGTGCGGCGTTAGCCAGCGAGCCCCTTTCTGGGCCAATCAGCTCCAACAGCACAGGTCGAGGACAATGGTTTCATTGGTATGACGGGACACGTTCTGTGTCGTCGATGAGAAATTCGAAAAGAATCATCGCAAATACTTACTAAACTGTGGCGAGTAACACTATTTTTAGAAGAATTGAGTATTAAGTACCTGACATAAAGACCGAGTGCGATGTCTCTCGGACGACGAAGATTCTACGTCGTCCGGCCAATCCCGCCCAAGGTCAGCGGGGGCTCGGCTGCAGTTCTGGAACGTGATTGGCCGGACGGCGTAGAATCTTCGCCGTCCGAGAGACATCGAACGCGGGGTAAATATAACCATATCAAAGTTTTTTACAGAGCTTACTTTTGAAATCAAAGCTCCGGCAAACTATAGCGATTATCGCGAATGGGAGCGAACCAGAATGGAGCGCCGATAACGTGAAAGCCATAAAAAAGCCAAACGAATATACAATGTCGGCTTTAACCATGGCAGCAGCAAAAGCGCTAATCCTGCGATTGTGTGTGAACTTGTGAAGTGACCAAGGCCGAGCGGGTCACTACAAACAATAGAATCTCGCGATCGCTGGTAAAATTGAACTCAAAATTCAAATTGACTTTCAAAAGCTCCACGCACTAAGCTGAGAGAGAGAGAGAGAGAGAGAGAGAGAGAGAGAGAGAGAGAGAGAGAGAGAGAGAGAGAGAGAGAGAGAGAGAGAGAGAGAGAGAGAGAGAGCGAGAGCGAGAGCGAGAGAGCGAGAGAGCGAGAGAGCGAGAGAGAGCGAGAGAGAGAGAGAGAGAGAGAGAGAGAGAGAGAGAGAGAGAGAGAGAGAGAGCGATAGAGAGAGAGAGAGAGAGAGAGCGAGAGAGAGAGAGAGAGAGAGAGAGAGAGAGAGAGAGAGAGCGAGAGAGAGAGAGAGAGAGAGAGAGAGAGAGAGAGAGAGCGAGAGAGAGAGAGCGAGAGAGAGAGCGAGAGAGAGAGAGAGAGAGAGAGCGAGAGAGAGAGAGCGAGAGAGCGAGAGCGAGAGAGCGAGAGCGAGAGAGCGAGAGCGAGAGCGAGAGAGAGCGAGAGAGAGAGAGAGAGAGACGTAACTCGTAGGCCGGGGAAGTAAAGCACGCCCGTAATGCTCATCAGCAGTTGTCCGAAGTGAAGCGTTGCCTCCAATGGCCAGCCATGGATACTGAGTGGATCAGACGGAGCTCCTCTGCCATCCACGCTGGATAGGGGTGTCAGGCTGGTGAGCCAGAAGCGTCAATATCATTGTGTTTGTGCAGGACATAAGCTTGAATTTGACACACTATGCGTGTGGCATGCAAATTACGGACACAGGCTTGCACTCCCGACTGGAAAAAATGCACGCTTTCGTCGAGAACTCGAGCGTAGTTGGGCGTTTGCGCCGAAAATTTTCGGCGTACTTCGGCGTAAATCGACGGCTTGCGCCGAAATTTTCGGCGTACTTTGGCGTAAATCGACGGCTTGCGCCGAAAATGTCGGCGCACTTCGGCGTAAATAAGCCTGCGCCGAAATTTCGCCTTGATCCAGTGCTTCCGGTCGTATTCGTATGCTCCCAGAGTTCCAAACAAATAAAAAATCTCACCGTGACTGCGCGATGAGCTATATTCGTATAGGGCGGACGGTGGGACAACACAGAAGTTCAGGCTCTCAAATTGCATGACCCTCATTTATTTTATTATTTTTGGCCAATTACAACAGCCATACCTGGGACCATGTAAAGTTAACCCTCGCCGGACGCAACAGTTTTCTCTATCTCTCTATCGCAAACGGCTCCGGAGCAGTCGCGAAAAAAACCGTCAGGGGGGTTGCACCAACCCCCTCGGCCGGCGAGGGTTAAATGTCTTCGGGAGTTAAACATCTTAAATGTCGCTTATCTTGTCTCGTGTTCGTCTCAGGGTATTTAAGTCATGTTCAGTGAACCTGATTGTGACTCTCCCACGGCGGGAACAGTTCACCGATCGAGAGTGAGGTTATGGATTGTCGGATCCCTTAGTTCAGATAATGTATGCTATCGTGTGCGTATTGACCGTTGTGATTCCTGTATTTCCGGCGTGTGGTTTGTGAGCGGACGCCGGCAATCGGTCCCGCGTGGCCTGGTATCTGCCCGATCCCATCGGCCGTGCTTGCACCACGCCTGTTGAAGGCCCCGTCAGGCGTCAGTCACCGGCTGGGCACTACTGCTGATCAGAGCCGGGCAACAAAATAAAGGTTATGTTATGGAACATGCCAGTGAGTTTGTGAGTCAGGAGATTTTGTGAATTGTGATAGCGAACGCTGGTGCTCGGTCCCGCATGGCCTGCTGATGTCTATTGTCTGCCCGATCCCGTCGACCGTGCCAACAACCGTCTGTAGACAGTAGTCACTGGAAGACAGCCACACACACACGCCAGCCCCCCCCCCCCCCTCGACGAAAAGTGCGTGGCTACAGCCTGCAGCCATCAGTAAGCCTTGAAAATTTTCGGCGCATGAAGCATGGCTTGGTAAAATAATTTCGGCGCATAAACCCTTGCGCCGAAATTTCGGCGCATCACCTCCGCCGAGAACTTCAGCGTAGTGGAGGCATTTTTTCCAGTCGGGCTTGCACTCATACATGCCACTTGCCAGGCGTGCACTACTGTCGAACTGGGCGCACCTCAGGCATGCATGTGCCATGTTTAACAGTCTGGAAATAATGTTTGCCACGGAAGCTTAGTATGCAGCCGTTTACTGATCATATTGCAGGTACTTCTAAGCCAACTGAACGATGATTGGCTGAGCTTAGCCTCCGCACAAGGTGGCTGCAGCCTGCATTCTTGACATTCTTCTACAAATCACCACATTCCTGCACAAGGTACTCCTATTGGAATGAGAAATGAAATATATTTGCCTAGAGTAATCATTGGGCCATAAAATCTCCAAGTTTGTGTTGGTAGGGGTATTTGACAGTATTTAAAATCGCTATAAATGAGGATCGTTTAACCTTTGTGATATTTTTGCTCAAGGAGGTGTGGAATCGAGCAGTAAATCGCCTGAGCAAAAATTAAGCATAAACTTCAAAATACTTTTATTTTATAACAATTCTAAATACTGTCTCAAATATAGCCCCACCTACGGTATATCAATATTGATATGGAAAAATGAACTCACCCTTTACTGTGTCTGGTCTATTAAGAATTCAATAAATCTAAAAACGGGCAATTCAACCTTACGCATTCACTGGCATCACTGAAAACAATGATGCTAATGATATTTCATTTCTATCCAAGCTATCGAGAAACATTCAACCCCAAACAACGCAAAGGACACAATCCCGACGCCTGTGTCACACGTAGGGGGATGCTTTGTAGTTTGATAGCGTGACAACCCAATTTTTATATTTTCATTTTCAATTTTATACCTAATATGTTGTATGTTTTTCAAAGAAAACTTTTATATGTATTATTTTTTTTAGTAAGTTTTAAGTAGTAATCAATAAATTACGCTGTAATCACTTACCAAAAAAAAAACTTTTAATAGCTAATCACGTGACATTTAACACAACCTAGATAAGGGGCGGATTCTTTCTGCCAATTTAGACACTTCTGGCGCAGGAAAAATTTCAGCGAGTTGGTGAGGGTTCATCACGCCGGTTAAATAGCTATTTTCATTGCAAAAAAAAAAAATCATTATTCATTGAAAGATCGTAAAAAACAGGCACGCTTTCAATAGGAAGAAAATGGAATTATACCCGCTTCTGCCGTGACCCGCTATAATGACTGCAAGACTATAACGCTGGAATGTGTCTGAAGTGTCTGAACCTCAATCTTGCTCATCCCATCCTGGAGCAAGTTTTGAAATTTTGCCCTCTTAGTCAAAGAATCATCAATCAATCGATTAATGAATGGATCAAAATCTTTGAAAATTGTGAGTCATGATGTTAACCTGAGACCTACATTTTCAGGTACTTTTGATATTAGATGTATCCAGATCAAAGGAACTCAAGCTACTGCGACTAGAAACTGAAGCCAAGTTGAAGTAAGTACGGAAAGGATAGTTTTTCCTTGGCTTTTCCCTCCTTTGGTTGAGTTGACAACTTAACCCAGATAGTGCACTCGCTTTTAAGCTCAGTGTACTTACTATTTGACTGCTTGAAGTGGAAGATCTGTGGTATTTGAGCCCTGCCATCAGCTGTGCATATTTTAAGTCCATCCCATTGGCTCTGCTCATCTCTCTCTCCCTCCCTACATCATACCTGTACTGCTGGCACCTCGCAAAATGGAGTGGGCGCCCCCCACATGGATGCTCCGGATGCGGGTGACAACTGCGCACTGGTCACCTGCCTGGGTGATGCGTTTCATGTTGTAACAGTGCAAACTTATTTTAGTCAATTTTAACTTCAAATTTAGTCAATTTTAAGTAAATCAATGTGGGAGGATAAGGGAACCACAATGTTTAATTATTTCATACATTGTCAAAGTATGTAGTTTGTAGTCAGTCAAAGTATGTAGTCAGTAGTCAAACTTCTCGATTCAGTCGCCCAGGTTGCTCTTGGAATACTTGTTGATGACCAACTGAAGTTCCATGAACACAGCAGAACAGTGACGAGGAAAGCCGGCGGCGTAGCCCACAACCTCCTGAAAGGCACAGTATGTAGAGAACCTGAATTTATGATGTAGCTCTCATACCTACTCAATTGGCTTGACTCTGAAGTTTCGCTTTGTGCGGGTTCGCCGAAACTAGCTGTTTTGAAAATGTGGACTCCGATCACGAAAGGTTCGACGACGAAATTGGAGAGCGTTGCTGAAGAAGCCCTGAGAGTGCAACCTGACTGACATAAGCTAAATGAAAAAGCAAATTGTCTCAACTATCACGCTTCAGGGGAGTAAGGCCTTGTCCGTATCGGCGTTTTCACTATGCCGGGACGAGTCTAGCCGAGTCTAGGCAGACCCACTCCCAGCTATTTGATCTCTGATTGAGCTAGAGCTTCGCGGAAAAAACGAACGTGTTTCTCGTGACGAGAGGAAGCCGGTGGTACCAACTATTGAGACTCCTTAGCATCGGTTGACCTTCCGACCGGTCAATGACCCAAATGCTACAGAAAATGGCGACTTGCTAGAACTTCTTGAAATGATATTTTTGGCGCACGCTGGGGTCCTGATTTTGAATATCAGATGCGTTTTGTTCACTAATGATCTTTTTATGCATTATGTAAGGTCGGTTCAGGTCGACCCATGCTTTCGCCGATTATTCTTAGAAGGTATTTATCGCCTGAAAGTTCGGCCAAGTGCTACTCTGGCTCAAAAGGTAATTCCTGAATGCTCAGATGTGTAAAACAAATCGAAATTACCTTCAAAAATACTTGAAAGAGTTATGCAATTAGAAAGTCAATCATGGTCATCAAATTTCAAATGCCTTCTCCTGACATATAAGTGACATTTACGCTCTTCATACGCCATTAAATTATCATCATTTTTTGTTGGACTTATCGACTTGTTTACAATCACAAAGTTGGAAACGCGCAAATAAGGGACGCTGACATACGGCGAATCGCTTTTCTGCTATGGCTTGGTCTTGAGAAATATGTCACAGGTAAAAGGTCATTGGGGTCAAAGCCATTCACTTAATGCTTGGGTGTGAAATTGAGTACAACAAAGATACTGAAAGTCTCGTCCCTGTCCGCTTTTTTATATGTAGGATTTTTTATGAAAACTGATATTTTTTCCTCCTATGCCTAAGTGCGAGGATTAAAACGTCATTTTTTTACCCAAAAATAAATAAGTTAACCAGATGTAACACCAGTCTTGGAACTGAAAGGAAACCGCATATGCCTGGCAAGCTATCTCCAAGCATTCTGAACAGTCCAGCAGTCTTCCACCTCATCCGATATGCGCGCAGCCAAGCCGTCTATTGAACGGTGTCTACTGTCTGTCAAGCAGTAGACGAGGATCTGATTATGTCAATGGTCAAATGTGATTTTCTGGAGATATTGTCGTTGATGCCCCGAAGAGCGATTTCGGTTTGAGCGCTGGCGAATCTCAGATCATTCGGTGAGCTTTAGTTACTTAGTTAAATTGTATAATGTAAATTATATTTAGGCTAAGTCAATAATATTTGGGTTCGGGCTGAAAATCGATACAAGATCATTAAACATCGTTTTTTCCGTCCCTCTGAATGACATCCGCTAAGTGGCTCATTTATCGGCTTAGAGTATTCCAACGTCATAAGTCTGTAAGTCTTGCACCTCTCACAGTATTTCCGTGGCATAATCGGCCATAAACAATATTCATTGCGGACGACACTTTCTCGGTGTTCGACCGTTTTTCCTCATTCCTAAACCATCTATGAATTTACATTTAACCCCATAAGAGGCTAGGTTTATTGTTAAGGGATGTGGTTGCAAATTTGTGCTAAATTAGTCCTAATAAGTACTAAGTATTGACATTTTGTTGTGAATTACGTACATTTTTTTTTTCTTCTTTCACTGTTTGGTTGCGGTTTACAGTTTTCGGTATAGGGGAAGTTGGGGGAACGCCGAATACTTTTTTTTCTGACGCCCGTAGCACGCAAGGTAGACAACATAAGCTATTCTTGTTGGCGTCATTCGAGAGGCCAGTCTTTTGCCTTTCAAACATACCAGGCGCATTTGATGAATTCGCATACCGTTAAGCGCACAAACTAAAAATATCAAAGAAGTGACTTTTTCGGCGTTGCCCCGGACTGTGGGGAAAGCCGAAAATGGGAGAAATGATCTACGGGGAATGCCGACATTGATGTTTTGCCACTTTATCTCAAACTTTATCCAGAATTTATCAAAGCTGACACGCGTTTTAAGAGCTTGAGGACGCTTGGTGCACACTGGAAGTTATAATTGTGTGATATAATAAGAAAATGCCAGGTAAATAATTCCTTATAGGTAACAGGCCGTTGTGTCGGTTGAAAGTGTAATTTGTGTGACTGAAAATTCGCGTTGCTATTCTACAGCAGTAAAGTCCACGTAGCGTGCTTTAACGTGCGTAATTGCACGTTTTCGGCATTACCCCAGCCAGCCATACTTTCATTTGCAGGCCCATAACTTTTCAACGTGCCGTATAAATTTCAAATAGGCAGCACACTTATGCAAAGACATGCTGAAGATTACTTGACCGAATTGGCCAGACAAACGGTAGCATAATGAGTAAGAAATGCAGCTTCAAAGGCGCATGTAGTACAAGGAACGCGTACCTTGAAAACGCTCTTGGCGCCCTCACAGCCGAAGTATTCCGAATGACGACTCGTAACAAACATGCGATAATTGTAGTCACTTAAGCCTCAGAGCATCACTGAAAGGTGGCATCCATGTCTTACGGTTTTCGAAATATCTCGAATTTCGGCTTTGCCCCAACTCCGGCATTGCCCCAACTTCCCCTATTGCTCGCGTCGATTTTCTAATTGCCTTTGGTTAGAAAATTTAGAAGTTGGAGTATGATGATTCTCCTCCTAAAGATGTCGATGAAAAATGTCCAGTTGGGTATTCCGAATGCACGTCCTTACTTGTGATTAGTGTTACACATTTTCTAGCAGTTAATATTTAAACGGATATTTCTTTTTGTTATTTTTGTTCAGTTTGCTTCTCGGCACTTTTTTGGATAAGCGACGACATGATGCAAGAGCGGGTTGGTGCCCGGCAGCTTCACTGGTTTTTGCTCGCTCTCCGGAGATCCGGAATGTGATTGTGTACAAAATGTTGTTCCTCCCAAACCTGTTTCTGGCCCGTCAGTCAGCCGAACTGATGTATCGACACCCTTCACACATAGCGACGCTCTTCTTTCTGCGTGTATCTGATGGGCGCTGTCGTTCTTCTAATGAAGGTCCCGTGGCCTGCTTCTACCGGTTGCGTCAGTATGCGCAACTGACACGCTCTATCGCGCGTGCGAGGTGATTCCCTTTTGGTGGGGTCATGTGGGTCGGCGTGGCTGATGTCATTCCCTATGAGACTGATGTAATACTTGTACCTCGTTTGGCTGATGTAATAGTGGTTGATTTAGTTTTTGAATATTTTGCTGGCTCCGAGTGCTGCCACACCTAGCGGTCCATGACTTCCCTATCATGGCAATGGATTATTTATGCTGCCGTTGGTGAAGATTTTTCTCCAATTTGAGATAGGTGCCGGTATCACAAAATGATTTTCTCACGCCCCAGGGATAAATACTCGGAGATAGGAGGAAGCTGGTAGATATTATTTACGAATAAATCAACCGTACCGGGAATAGACCTTTATTGGTATTTGGTACATGGTCATAAGTTTAGGACAGGGTAACGAATAAAAATACAAGCGTTACCTATAAATAGCGGTAAACGTATAACCCCAGCTCATTATTTCCTTGAAGCCATGGCTAACCGTGTCGCTACCCCTTTCCTCAAGCCGTTTTAGTCTTAACCCGCGCCCCGCTGGGGGGGGGGGGGCAGAATCTGCCCCCTCCCGTTTTTCGCCAATAACTTCTAAACGCGTTACGCCAGCGACGTCAAACTTTCAGTACGTTATCATACATCAATTTGACACGTTCCCTGAAAATTTGAGCGAAATCCATCGGAATTTTTTTGAGAAATCGACGTTTTAGTGACGTCATGTTCGCCATTTTCGCCTAAAAATCGGCAACATTTCAAACGCCGCTAACATCTTCATTTTTAAAGGAATCAAGACGTAACAAAAAAGGTTATACGTGATTCTACTTTGTCTATCAAATGGGTATCTCGGTTTTTTTGAAAATTTTGGATTTTGGCCCAAATTTTTTAAAAAACTGACTTGGGAAAATAATTATGAAATCCAAAATTTTGAGTGTATCGAAAAAAACGGGAATATATGTCAGAGAAGTGGTCTATGTGCACCTACATACTAATTTTTAGAAGAATCGGTTCAAAAATGTGGGAGTTATTCAAAATTTTATGACGTCACGACACAAAAAAATGAAAAATGATTTTTTGGAACTTCTAGACCTCGTACGGAAACAAAAATAGCACCATTCGATTCGCCGTAAAAAACTGTATCAGATAGACAC